AGTCGCGTGACGTTCCGCCGCGGTGGAAACTCCACGGTCGGACGTCCGAGCGAATCTTCCGAGAGATCACACGCGCTTTTTGTTCAGTCGTCGTTACACGTCCAGCCACTCGTACGCTCGCAAGTGCCCGTCGTTACGAGCCCTACGAAAATAGTCCGCGACTCACGCGAATATCTCTCGCGAAAGCCGTCGATGCCCCGCTGCGACGCGATTCGCCGCTTCGCCGCGAGCGCACGTCTTCAACCGACGCGTCTCGGTTTCCAGGCGCGGAGCATACGGAAGGTGTCGACTACCTGGCGGCCAGGCTGGGCAAGCGTCAGCTGTCGAAAAGGTCGCGGCTGCCTCTTCCTTTGCCAGCCGACAACGGCGACATTCCGTCTGACAATTACGCGAACAGCGACGAGCCGAGGAACTCGAGGGGTCCGTTCCTCGCGCCGGACGCGCAGTACGAGGTGATCCAGCAGGGTCGTTATTCCTACTACGCATCGAAGGACGACGAAGAGCTGCAGGAGGGTCCGGCGAGTTCAGGATACTTCCGCGAGGACGAAACGGAGAGAAGCAGGGAAAGGGATTACAGGGATTACAGGAGCAGCCAGGAGGAAGAAACGCCGCAATGCTGCCTCAGCGATTCCACGACCCTGGACTCCGGCTGGCAGAGCGGGGAGCAGCCACAGTCGGACGATAACGTGCGACCGGTGAACGTGTGACCCTAGACGATCGCGAGGATCTAGTGCGAACAAAGTGCGACGAGAGCGAGCGACGAATTTTCGCTCGGAATCGACGGACGTGTTCTCGCCGAGATGCCACCAACGACGCGGAGAGACGCGACAATAGTTTTCGACCTGTGAATACGTAATTTAGATCGACCGTAAGTATACTCGAGTCGGAATTTTAGTTCTACAATAGCCGGTGGGAGCCTGCGGACTCCGTCCGTGCTTGAGGGACCGATGAAGAATCGCGAGGTACAACATTATACAGGCTATTGTCTCTCGACGCTACAAACGGTTACTTATCCGTTATCTCGTCGAGAGACTTGAGAAAATATTTGTCTCAGACTCTTAATTCATTTCAGCATCTCAATAGTCTACCTGCATATTTAATATTTGTTTAACTTATAATTTTAATAAGGAACGTGTAATTTATTTATTTATTTATTTAATTGAACGGGAAGATATTTCTTTGGTGCAATGAATAATAAAATAAAGTACAAAAGAAAGGGGAAATAGTATTTGCATAAAAATGTTGTTTCGAAAAATGTTGGGGAGAAATTATTGAATGCGAGACAAAACGTGTAACCTATTCAACTGCATATAGACTATTGTGATAAGCAATTATTAAATAATATAATAAATATTAATATATATATATATAATAGATATTAATAGGTAATACAAGTAATAGATAATAGTGGTGATTAATAGGTAAGTATTAAAAATAAATATTAATAGGTAAACAAGTAAATGAAACACGAAATATTTTTTCCATAATCTTTTTATTATTATTTCGGATTAGCTTGAAAAATTTCGATAGAATTTGGACATTTAAAAGACGTGAAAAAGAAAGAGTTGTAAGATCCGTCGTCAACTGTCATGTCGTCCTGCTTGTCCTATGCCCTTGACTGCTGCTTGTCGTCGTGACCAGACGCTTGACAGACAGGTGTCACATGAAAATACGAATCGATCAGATCGAACGCGATGTTAATTAACGATCGTGACGGAGTTATCTCGAGCCAACAATTTAAATATAAACGACAGAGGTGACGCATAGTACATATAACGATGTGTTATTTGAAATTCCTGTCAGATGATTAAAATATTTTGCCCGACTATTGACGACTGAGATATGCAATCGGGTTCTCATCGGAATCGTATTAATTAACACGCATTTCTCCGATCGATTCGTACTTACGTGAGTGTCAGTGGCGATGTTAGTGTCACGAGTAAATATCCGGATGCCCACGGTGGATCGAGCGGTCGCGGGGGATGCAGGAAGCAGGACGTCGGGACGCTGACAGCAATGCGTGATAGCGCTTCAGGTGTGCCCAGCGTTAATCATCTGACTTTAGTTTCTGATTTTGAAGCATATCTGACAAATTTACCGAGAATAAGGAGAGACCCGTCTCTCAAAGGTCAAAGGAGCCGATATTTGTGGCTCACTCATTATTTGACAGTTATATCTTCATGAATCTTCATGATTCATTCGTTAATCTTTCATGCAAGAAATATCGACCTAATAATAGTTCATGAATATGCATCTGTAACTCATCATGCTGTCGAAAATCATAAAGAATTCACTACCGTGAATAACCGGCTTTGGAGTCTAACATACGTCTCGCAAATATTGATTTGTGCGTCTATTTTCATTTTTTGTTTATCATTGTGTTATTGTACCGAATCCGGATTTAAATTTCTCTTGGCGTACGGCCATTATTGGACACAAAATTCTGCTAACTTTACCCTTACAACTTTTTCTACTTCATCCTCTTTGAGTTTCCAGTCGAGAAATCTCCTATCGAAATTACCAACGTCGAAAGAGAAAGAGGCACGAGAGAATTATAAATAAAGAATTGTGCTGTTTTATTTACCCGTTTACTCATTAATCTCTGTTAGATAATTTATATTATCATATTTAACATTTGCTTATCGTGTGCATATTTTATCTACAGTTGAATAAGTTACATAGTTAATACATTATTTATGGAAATTCAACACGAAGATTAAACGCTGATGTGCGGAATATTTGAGATAATCGAATATTAAATGATTCTCGCACGAGCATTTCTCGAAGCCTCAACACGGAGAAAACATGGCAATAAGCAACTATTTATGGCGTAAAACAATAGCCTGTCTAATGTGACATCCCGAGATTGATTCTCCACGAGTTTCCGACGCTACTTGCAAGATTGACGTGAAACCAAAATTTCGACCGAGTTAAATCCCGTCCTCGGCGACGAGAGCGCGCTTCCGAAGTCGTTGGGACTCTCGCTTGTCCTTCAATTTTCTGGTAGAATCCATTAGACGCTTTAAAGCATTCCAGCTATGTAAGACGAAATCGTTGATCTCGTGTGTGAAGAAAAACGCCTCGAAGACTGTGAAACGTCTGGTGGATCGCATCTTCCGACTGCCGGCACGTAAGAAGCTAAGGACGATAGATTCGCTTTAGAGCGAGGAAAATAGAGCGAAGCGTAGTTGTGTCCAAGTTGAGAAACGACACGCGCTAACGGTAAATTCAACCGGCGAAGATGGTTTGCGAAGATGGCGAATCTGGCAAAAGGACGCGCGTTTCATATCCCACCAAACTCTGCCTCCCACCGAGATCGTCGCTTAGGTTGACGTTCCGAGTCCGAGAACAACACTCGGCGCGATTTTAAGCGATCTTAACAAACCGCGTCGTCAGCGCGACAGGTACAATTTTCCGTGAGGAGATCGTTAGTCGTGTAAAATATTAATCTTTTATCTCGGATACTCAACACGGATCCTACGTTGCCAGTCGCTGCGAAGCGATCGGCGACGAAGACACGTCGCGACCCGACACGTTTCCGTGACGCGCTCACGATAAAAAATTTCCGCGGCGATATGAAATATGGCGCGATATCGTCCGAAACGCGAATTCGAATCATCGGCGAGTTTGCGCTCGATGAAATCTCCTCGGGAAAATAAACGGCCGTGAGAGTTCCTCTCGCGGAAGCTTGCCGGTTCGACGTAATCTATGTATATGTGTGCATGTGTGGTGTGTGTGGTGTGTGGGCGCGCGCGCGCGCGCGCACATTTAGCTGGAGAATAGACGTAAAGCACAAGTAGAACGCGATCGAGCAATGTAACTCGCTGTAAAATTCCCGACGCAATCTCGACTAGACACCGACGGCCGGTCGTAGCGAATAAGCCAAGCGCGCGGAAACTCGTTGCGCTTAGCGCAAAACGCGTGCATCCGGTGGCTGCTGCGATTAGCGGACGCGGTTCGACTTGCTCGCGTTAGAACGCGACCGAGCGAAGACGCGAATCGCGCGGAACGGAATACCCGCGGCAAGTCCTGTGTATTTTTGCTAACTGTGCGATGTCGCTCGTGTTGCTCGTAATAACGAATAACAGAGAGCGTCGAGAGCAGCTTCGAGGAGTAAGTGTGTGATGAGAGAGTGAATGAGAACGAGTGGAGGACGAAGAGGAGAGAAAGCGTGAGAATCCCACAGGATGGGGGAGAAAGAGAGAGAGAGAGAGAGAGAGAGAGAGAGAGAAGGAGAAAGGGAGAGGCGGGAGAAGGTTATTATTTGACAGTTGAGTTATTTGTTGATGACGTATCCGCGAATGAGCGACTAGACTGATCGTTTCGTCAGAAAGGTGTCCACTTTGTCTGATGCTTGCCATTTGTTACATTTGAGCCCGCGGTAGCGATAAGCGGTTAGCGTTTTTATTCGATGGACTCCGGCCCTTCTTCCGCTGGTTCTTCGGATACGCGACAGAGATGTGAACATGTACAAAAGCGCGTGCTTTATTCTTGCCGATTAGATGTTAGTCGTAATTCCCGGACAGCCTGTTGATCGCGCCTGAGCAGCGTCGAGGTGTCCAATAATCAAACGATGTGTTCGCGATCGCGGGATGTCACCGCGCGAGCCATTTCATTCTGTCGTGCGTTCACGTTGCACGTTGTTAATTTATTTCCGCGAAGAATCACTCACACTTTTGCGCAGGTCAGTTGAACGCCTCGCTCGTCGATTGTGCTTTCTCGCTCACTCACACACGACCCGAGATTTGCGCGAACCTCTCGTTTGATAATTGAGCGTCGTCGCGATCGGCTTACTGACGTGTCGCTTCTTTCTTGCACCCAGCGCCGTTACGTCGCGCGCGGCAAGATCATTCGTTCTAGAAATCACAATCCAGGTGGACCAAGGACAATATAGAGAAAGAAGGAGAGGAAGTGAGATAAAGGGAGAAACGGAGAGAGTAGGGGAGAGAAAGAGAGATCGATCGAATCTACATAATAGCTATTATTAGGATACTCGTCGGTTGTCTATTTTCTCCGTTATCGGCCGCTCGAGAACGTAAGGTAACGTAACGTATACAGATGAAAGGCATATTTTATAATCCACCGGAAGCGGCAAAGAGTCAGGATTAGGGCGGTAGCTTAATGTCGTCGTAAGTGAATAAAAGTGTACCTTAAGGGCGCGAGCCGCGAGTCACAGCAAGTCCGGCGCGTCGTCGAATAAAATGTACTTGACAATGATTGAGAATAAAGGATGATTTTGCGAAGAACAGTCACGGCACGACGACCGCGGCTTCTTTTAAAATTGAGGCCTCGCCATCCTGTTTGCGCCATAATGCGAGTTGGCGTCATCGCGCGAGTTATTCGACGTGTGATAATTACATTCGAAACGGAGATCCTGCTGCGTGCACTGAGCATTACGATGTAATAATCAGCGACGCGCGAGCGATCGCGAAAGAAATAATAACGTTTGTCTCAGTACACTTCCAGTTTCTTTTCTTAGATATTCGCGCAATCTTCATTGCGCCACCCGTCTCTCACCGTTCGTCTGGAGAACTGTCGCCACGAATCACCCTGTATTTTTCAGTGCGACACTGCGAGGCAGATTTAACTTGTTTACGCGGACCTGGTATGAAAAATTATTGCTGCGACGTCGTTCCCTCGTGAGAGATCGATTCGTCGCACATATTTAACCGCTGGTAGCAAATGAGCTGACATGAGTTGACTACCGGCTGGATTTCCGCGGGATTATTTTTACGTTCGATTTGAGGTGGTGTCACCTCAAATATTCTTGGAAAAATAATGTACAGTTTTAGTACAGTCGACCTAGCATGCATACAAAGATTGTCTCTACCATTTCTATACATCCAACTACTATATATATATTTGTCAGACAAGTTTCGAACGTCGAAATTCTGAAGAGTTTGCGAACGTGTGTGTTGGTTTCTTCCCGTCATGAGTCGCTTTCTCAATTATTTATCGCGTCATATAATATCAAAAATATTTCGTATCAATATAGACGTCATTCTTACGCGACTAAAAATATCCTACCGTCTTCGGAGAAGAACGGATCGGAGAGAAGAAGAGGTATCTCTGGAAACTCCAAGTCTAATTAGTCTGTCGCAAAGAGAGAAATAATCTACCCCGTATTAGAGGCTTCAAACACTCTCGACAGTTCTGTGCGTTGCTTGATTGGCCAGAAACCTTTCGACCCTCTCTCGAAATTCCCTGCTAGACTCCGGCAAGGGTAGTCGCGGCCCGGCGAGGCATTGCAAGCCAGTAAAGCTCTGTAGAGTGTCCGACAGCCGCCGGTCGTGATCCAGAATGTCCGGTCTGGGTGCCGGGGGTTTCCTCTTCTGCAACGCCGGTCTCGTCGTCTTCGAGCTGGCGACGGCGCTGCTGTTCTCCGGCAGGCGGTTCATCATCCCGCGGAATGCGATTTTCGCGCTGAGTAGCGACCAGAAAACTTCCAGGAGAGACGCCACGAGGACGTTCAACGTCAACAGCACCTTGGCGTGCGACGGATTCTCGTAGCGGCTGCGCCAAAGAGTCTCCTCGTTCTTCAAGTCCACGGATGATCGCTGCGTGCCATTTGCCGCGTCTTCGTCCTGGAGAATTTCCCTCGACAACGTCGCGAGCTTCTCTTCCAACGCGAAGGACGCTTCTGCCCCAAAGTCGTAGCCGCCATTTCTGGCAGCGTCGTGGACATCGAGCTCGTCGAACTCGGTGTTCGTAGAGGTCACGTTGATCTCGTCGATTGTCCGGAAGCCAGGATCGTTGATGACGTTGAACGGGTTGTTCTTGGACAATGGTGCGGCGTCGTCCGCGCGAGTTTCGTTCGCGGGCTCCTCGGGGGGATGCTGGGGGTGAGCGGTGTCCAACACTTCCTCCAACGGCCACAGGGATCTGCCGGCGCCGGATGTCGCGGCGACGTCGAAGATCGTGACGACGAAGCAGAGGGTCGCCATCACGAGGGAGAAGAGGCTGCCGTAGAAGAAAATCGCGATGTTCCGGTCGATGTACCAACGCCGCCAAGCGAGGAGGCCCGTCACGAACGGCACCAGACACGCAACGAACAGGACCGGACCTTGCAAAGACAAGGCGAGGGTGCCCAAGAGGAGGGACAGCGCGCCGAGGCCGAAGTGAATCAACGACAGGCCGCCTACCGTCGACGCCGAGTAGCGACGCTCCGACGGGTACAAGGACGACAACGGCGGCTTCGTCTTCACTCTGATGATATACACGTTCTCCGTCATTGTCCTTTTCACGAACAACGCTCGCTCCGCGGAATCAGCGGCCCGCCCCGTCTCGTCCCAGCCGTCATTCACTCGGGAAAGGGCATCTTCCCGCGGCAATAAGAGATCGCCGACTCTTCAACGTGCTCGGCGCATCTTCTCGAGATCTGTCGTTCGAAGTTGGCAGTCGTAGAGTGTGACAAAGCGCCGAGACTCCTCGCACAAGCACAGAAACTCGGCCCGAAACCTCCGCTCTCGTCTCGTCAACTTCCCCTTCGCGTTTCTCTTTCCCGCGCTGTCACGTTGAAAGGCACACGAACGTGGTGAACGGAATGCGACGGCCAAGCACCGGGTGTCGCGCCGGGTTACAAAATCGAACTAGGAGCTACAAAAATAAAGCGAAGCGTCACTCGAGCAGGAATGGCTCCGCTGGTGTTCGGTCAAATGATATGTAGAAAGGGTTTTTGTATAACGAGCCTTTTACAGCGTGATATGATCGAACGAAGGCGAAGTTGGTGTCTTGATTTCTTATCGAATCAAGGGACTTGTTCTGTACTTGTTATTGTATTCAGATGTTTCCCGACTTATCCCGGATCCTCTTTGATAACGAGCAAAACCAGACAGGGATACGAAACAATCGAGATATTAAATCGCGCTTTGTCGCTGTGGAAACAAAATGCTTCGTAAAAATATAGTTGCGAGGATAAAGACGGAAAATGAGAGGGACCGTCGACCGCAAATGTCGAGTGACGAATTTTGAGAATATAACGTAACGCGTTTCTTAACCAACAAGGACTGACCAGGAAATTGTTGGGAATGTACTTCGTCGATTTTGACGCGTGTTGCAGAGCGAATCGAGGTAACCGGCAGGTGCTTGACTTCTTACGTTTCGGAAACTCGCGTTCACATTTATTTCCTCGATAACACTATTCGTCGTGAGCCAGATATTTCCGGGGATATTTTAGACTCGCAAAAATTTCATGACGTTCGGTCTGTAATGTTCGTTTCGCGTCTCTCTTATTCCGCTTATCGCGCTCGCGTCTCTTGCAGCTGCTCCGCGAAACGTCTGCGAAACCGGTCAAAATCGGCGAAGCGCACTTGAAAAGTATCACCCCCTCTGCTTCGTATTTCCTCACAATCTCGGCATCTCGTCCATCTAATTAACAAGATACCAAAGACCACACACCGTATTCGTCCCAATCACTGCGCGCGATTCGATCAGCTTAAAGCCCTGCAGAAAGTATCTACAGACGTATCGGGTGAGTGCAAAAGTTCGTGCGGAGTTTCAATAGATGGAGTTATAAGCGTCGTAAAGTGTTGTCATTAATACTTCCATCTAAATATTATATAACGTTGGAAAGGTGACGTCTTCAGCTGTTATTAAAAAAAAATCATTTGTTTTCATACAAACTGCTTCGAGAAATATCACTTTAAAAATGAGTATCGATAAAGTGCATTTACGGCATGTTATGCTTTACAAGTTTCGGAAGGGAATAAACGTTGCCGCAGCCGTAAAAAACATTCAGCATGTTTATCAGGATGAAGCACCAGCTAAACGAACTGTGGAAAAATGGTTTGCTAAATTTCGGCGCGGAGAATTTAACCTTGAAGACGAGCCACGCTCTGGTCGACCTTCTGACATTGATGACGATGTTTTGCGTACTTTAGTGCTCAATAATCCGCGAATTTCAACAGAAGAAGTTGCTACAGCACTAAACGTTGACCGATCAACCGCTTTTCGGCGTTTAAAAAGATGGGATTCGATTTGAAGCTCGATATATGGGTGCCCCATTTGCTGACCGAGAAGAACAAAATCAAGCGAATTTCTGCAGCCGTTTCTTTACTCGGGCGGCTCAATAACGAGTCGTTTTTGGATCGACTAGTGACGGGCGATGAGAAATGGGTCCTCTACAACAATGTTCAGCGCAAACGGACATGGAAACAATCAGGTGAGCATGGTGACGCAATGCCAAAGGCCAGTTTGCACCCGATGAAGGTGATGCTCTCTGTTTGGTGGGATTGCAAGGGCATAATCTATTTCGAGCTTCTCCCCGCTGGCGAAACGATTGATTCGGACAAGTACTGTCGCCAATTAACCAATCTGAATCGAGAAATAAAAGAGAAACGTCCGATTTTGTCAAATCGCAAGGGAGTCGTCTTTCATCACGACAACGCCAGACCACACGTTTCGAAAAAGACGCTGCGCAAACTGAAGAGCCTGAAATGGGATGTCTTAACGCATCCACCGTATTCTCCTGATATCGCACCATCTGACTATCACTTGTTCCGGTCATTGCAAAATTATTTAAATGGAAAAAACTTTGACTCTTTGGAGGCCTTAAAAAACGGCGTCTCTTCGTTCTTCGAATCTAAACCGCGCAGTCTTTATGATCGAGGCATCCATATGCTGCCAGAACGTTGGGAAAAGATTATAGAAAACGATGGAGAATATATCATTGATTAAATAAAGATTTTTGTTTGCCTAATCGCTGTGTGACTTACTCACAAACTCCGCACGAACTTTTGCACTCACCCAATAGATGGAATCGGCCAGAAAGTAAAACACCACAGATGCGAAATCGCGAGCGGCCGGAAGCAACGACACGTCCAGGATCAAGCAAATAAGAGAGCGAAGGAGTCTGCGCGATCGCGGTGACTTTAGCGCCACTCATTCGCTCATTAACCGGAGACACGTAACTCGCGATCGGGTTCGAGGAAGGAGACGGATTCGCGGAGAACGTTCGAACGACACTAATTCGACGACGACGTCTACGCGACGGCGGAGCAGAAGAAGTCCAGGCGACTTCCGCGCTGCAACACAGCCGGCCGAGCGAGCAATTATCGTAACCGCTTCTCGTTCGACTTAATTGAAATTCACGCCCGCCCCCGCGCGCGCGCGCGGCTTTCCGCGGCGAGATAGACATCTTGTGCAATTTGCGGCTAACAATCGCACGCTCGCTCGTGACAGAATCCAGCCGGCTCTCGCCAATGCGGAACGGTTCACACGAACGACTCTCTGTGACCGATATTTTTATCGCGAGCGGCGGAAAGCCGGGCGGCTTCGAGGTCGAAGGAGACGCGAAAATCGCAGCGCGATTCGCGCAGAAAGCGAGTCGAACAACACGGGGCTTAATGAGCTGCGGCAACGATGCGGCCGCGCTGGATCCTTCGCTTTCCTCTTGCTCCTATTTTTTCTTTCTTTCCACCAGCGTGTCGCGGTTGCGCAATCGACGATTACGAGATTGCCGCGCGGTTATGTTGCGAGCAGCACGCCCTTGTTTCCCCGTCGCGCTCGTTTTCACGCTTCGTATTAGCACGTTCGACCGTGCGAATCTTCAGTGAAATTGCCAGCGAATGCGCGCGCCGAGGGGGATCCGAAGAACGCGCTACGAAACCGTTTGAAAGCCGTTTGAAAACTGTCTGCCTCATTGTGCTGCGTCCCAAGCGAGCCAAGTTACATCAAAAGCGCGATCCTACAACAGCCTGACTACTACGTCGATTTCCGCCGACTGCCGCAGAGGCCTAACGCGGGCGATTTAATTATTGAAGATGCGGCGTACTGATAAGCGTAATCCGAGACGCGCGGGTGTCTTCATCTGTCATCGTCCCCGCCTGCGAAATTTTCCGATTTTCCGAATGCAGCGGGATCGTTATGAGATCCGTAAATCTGTGTCAACCGCAGTCGATACTCCTGATTCTTACGTGTTAATCGCGAGTGAAAACTCTGTACGTAACGTAACGAGACACGGCGAGGGGGTATCGCGGTTTCACCGGCGACCGTCGCGGCGTTCGACTTACGAGAGAGCGATGAAATTTCGCGGCGGCTACGTTCGCTACGGCGCTAACGACGAGGAGGAAACGTGAAATTGTTTGGCGAACGGCAATCGGCAGTTTTTGCAATACCGTCTCTCAGATACGGTGAGCGTAAATCGTGAGCGTTATTCGCTCGGACATATATAACGTTGCAACGTACGTTGCGCGACCGATAGCATTCGCGGGATTAACCCCCAATGACGACTCATCGACATTATTCCCCGTGGAACAATGAGAAAAGAAGCGGAAGCTGGCGGTGAGTACCATATTTTCCAGGGACACGCACGCGGGCGAGAAGCAACGAAGTATCGTGCGAACTCGTTCGAAGGCGCGGGGTGCGAGTCTTCAAGTTCGCGGCGACCCCGCATCTCGACTCTTGTCCTTTCGATTCGCGAGCGGACGTGCGGACGCGATCATTCGCGGGCAACGCTTGAATGGCGACTGAACTAGTACGGGGACTACAGTGCTCGTTGAAGTCGCTACGAAATATCGTACGGCCCTCCCACGCAGCCGACTCGTAGTGAAAGGGACAGCAGAAAGTCAGTGTTGGACATGCACGTACCTTAGACTCTAGAGTCTTAAGCCCCGTTCACAGCGCCGAGACGCCGAGCGTCTCGCGCTCAAGCGGCAGTAATGATCTTGGCAATGAGAGCAAGATCGCATTACGTCCTCCTTCACGTTCGTTACATCGTGCGTTTCCTTTTCGTCGCGCAAACAACACGATGTCGGTCGTGACGTAAAAACGAAATCGGTTTCTAGAGCAGTTTTTAGAGAGCAGGCGAGAAGAGATTGTCGCTGCCGTGTATATCGCCTTGGCGCGATGTAACGCGCCATCATTTGCGATCACATGCGAAATCACGTTGCGCATTACTTCACAAGTAAACGGTCGATGTTGTTGCTTCAGATCGTTCGACAAGAATTTAATGAAAGTCTGCCTACTCTACTCGAGTGTGAACTCAACGCAGCGGACTTGTACAATTACGCGCTTTTCGCGCAATAAGACACTATGATCTCGCGCTTCTTTTGCTTCGGTAAGGATAATTTTTCGTCGAAGCGGACAGACGGCCGGAGCTTCGTCCGAGATTAACAAGTTATTTAGCGAGACAACTGTACAGGACTTGTGTGTGTGTGTGTGTGTGTGTGTGTGTGTCGATTGTGCGCTTTTAAATTATAATATTTTCGCTCCTTGCACCCTCATTGTGCTCTTATATTCGGGCGATATTTGCGTCGCAACTTTCAAGAGACTTTTCTCTTCAGATGGAGGACATAATTTCCATGTAATTCCGTCTAAAGTGGAAATAATTGCGCGTAATTACGTATACAACCTTGTCTTCAAATTTTCTTCAGCTCAAGGAGGGGCTAATTAAGGAGACGCTGATAATTTCAGGCAGCAACGCTCTCGATACCGAGAGACACGTTTTAATCTTTATATGCGCGTTGTCTCGGCGCGAGCTAACACTCGCCGATGTGATTTCTGGCGATCGGTGCTCGCTCGATCTCGCTTGTCTCTCACGAAAGCGCGACCCTTTCCCTCGGTATGAAAGTCCCGTTATAATCGAAGGTAACTCCCAGAGAGCGAACGTATCCCAGGGTCTTCGTTGAGAATCGCGCGCCGAGCTAACCTTTATTGTTAGCCGCGGAAACACGTGGGCCCTCCTCGCGCGTGACCTTTTCGTTCGATCGCCGCTGAAGAGTCATCCGTAGATTGCGTTACAATGGCATCCGTCGACGCGCGAGGAGGCAGCGTCTGCGGTCTTTCGAGCGCACGTCGATACACCTCGATCAAGGCTTCCTCGCTCGGCGAGTAATTACGTTGCTCTCGTATGCCGCATTAAAACCTGCCTAATGAACGGAGAAACGAATAAGGAAAGATCTTTCTCTATAAAGAGTCGCTTTGGATATCGGGGTCGCTCGTTATAGCGGCTGTTAAGTGAGATCGATCACCGTGCTTATTGGCCGTGATAGCCGAAGAGGCCGTCTCGCGCACGTCCGCCATTCTCGCGAATAGCGGAGAAATTTTGATTAATACAGCCGATTCGGCGTACGCCGGTAAAAGTTACGTTAACTCGCTCCCGCGGCGAATTTCCGCGTCGGCCTGTTTTGTATTATACGAGCGTCGAATTTCTTTTCTCATGTCCGCGGCATCGATAGAGCGCGCCGAGTGTTTTCCACGCGCGGAAAAAATGTTACACTGTAAGAAATAACGTGTTAAGTGTAACATATTTCATGTGTCTCGAATCATTCACTCTTATTCATGTGCATAATTTAACATACAGCAAATATGTTAAGATGTAACACGTATAATATGTAACAAATTAACGCAAAAATTTAACATTCGGATACCGTCGAGAATCACAGTTTGTGTTAAATTGACATGCAATGAATGTTACTTCAACATTTGGGAAAAGTAAGGATCTATGATTTGATGAAATGAAAATGTTAGATTGATCTATTAGATTAATCTATGTGTTAAAAATCGAATCTTCACCAGACCATAAATGTTAACATTATACATTTAACACAAGATAATTGTTATAAACTGTTATAAGGAAAGTGACACATTTTAGGTGTTTTAGGTGACTTCAACATATAAAATATGTCATAGCAAGAATTCATGCATTTACATATAAATTGTGTTATTTTAATACTTTGAAATGTCATTTTAACACTTGAAAATAGATAATCTTAATTTAACACAAGAAAGTCTAGGTAACACAACAACGATATGTTAAATTAACACACGACTGTGTAAAAAATTTAACACAAAACTTTCTACATACAAATAATTTTAACAAAAGTACGAAATTTTTTTACCGGGTACAAGAATTACGTTGGAATTAAATTTCTCCTTGCAACGTCATTCGCAAAGCTAGACTGATGTTGCGATATTATTGCAAACGGTGGTCAAAAAAGAGCGAAACAACGAAGAAATGACGTGTGGTAAAAAGTCAAACCTGCGCGCAACATCTCGAGAGAAATATGCTGCATCGCAAAATCTTTCGTCGCGACTTTATCTGCATTTTCCCCGAGATTTCTCTCTTGGTAGTCCTCCAGGTACGACGGCACTTGCGGGGTTAATGTAGAAGCAGAAGTTCGCCAGCCATCACCGACGTTTGCCCGACACCCGATTGATTATCGCGTCCTCTTTCGCTCGATTTCTCACAGGACATCGATCGCGTCACGCACGCGATCGGTCGCCGCGGCGTCAAGGCGAGCCGAAGCAGTCGTATTAGCGCCGTTCGGTAATTAGAAGGACGATCTCGGGAAAGTACAGCTCGGAGAGCAAACAGCGCAAGAACGAGCGGGAGGAAGGAACTTTCACGGCGGCTCGCCGCAAAATCGCAGCCGCCGTCGATAAATCGCTCATGCGTGAACCGCGACGCGCTTTCCGGAGCGCCGCTCCGGGCGCTTCCGGCAAGATCGATCTGATCGAGAGCTCGCTCGAGAGCGCAAGATCGCCGGCGCGCATCTCGGTTCAGGACGGCGCAGCGCAGCGCGGCGCGGCGCGGCGCGGCGCGGAGAAATCGGATCGGATCGTTGCGCGCGACTTGGCGCGACGCGCGACGATCACACGCGCGATCGCGCCCGTCGAACAGATCGGCGCGTTTAACGCGTGACGACGCACGCGTCGCGTGCGGCCTGTTCTCGTGTGTTTACCGCTCCGTTGCATTACTTAAACGTTGCATTACTCGGTATCGCGTTTCGCGTCGCGTCGAAGCGTCGCGATCGCATGACGCGCTGGGACGTAACGATTAGTTTGGCGAACGAGTCGCCGCGACCTCGCGGGCCGCGAATCACGCAAAGGCGGCTGGCGTGAATATCCTTAAAGAGACTGGAGAGTCAGATTGCTGAAAAATCGTGCTTGTTTTTGATAATATTTTGTGACGAACTGAATAAATGTGCAAGAATGAAAATTTTCAGGTACATTTATACAACATATGAAGATTAGAAAAATGTTGTTTATTAACAAATACTCACATAAATATACGATATATATAGCTGAAATATAATCTCCTTTTTGTTTCAAGTTGTCGTTTTTGCAGTAATATCTCGGCTCTCGACGGTTCGATCAGAGCGTATTTTAGCTAGAAATCTTGAGGTGGCTTATCATTATCCGATGAGCCACTATGAAGAAATCAAACAAAATTAACAAAATGGCAGCTATTATTAGAAAAAAATCCAAATTTTTCAGTTCTTTTACAACAACAAAAATTAATATCTCGAAATGAAATATTTTGACGTAATTGTCCATGGTTCATCTGAGAGCTAGATGAACAAATATTATTGCTTTAAAATTTCAAATCGATACGGAGCTCAGTTTCGGAGAAATCATTGCAAAAAGTTGAACAATAAAATTTCGAGGGAAACGCGTTTAAAATTTAAGTGGACATATATTTATATGAGTATCTGTTAATGAACGAAATTTTTCTACTCTTCTTAAGTTACATAAATATATCTAAAATTTTCATTCTTGCACATTTATTCTCAGTTCGTCACAAAATATTATCAAAAACAAGCACGATTTTTCAGTAATCTGACCCCCCAGTCGCCTTAAAGCCTTGCTCGCTCCGGGACCGCGGCTGTTTGCGAGACGAAATCTTGGACGTATCGCGTGAAGTCAAGGAGAACTTCAATAGTGCCCCCCTCCCACCACTTCCGGTATCCCAGCTCGACCGCATCGTATCTACATATCTTGGTGCCATGACTGTTGATTTCCAGAAAAATCAGCAACTCAGGCAGGATAAATGCAACAGCTAGACTGTACTCGATGAATGCGGTTATCGCCGGTGTATTATCCTCTGGCATCGCCCAGCATGACTGAATTGCCGATTTTTCTCGAGAGAAGAACGACGTTCATGGTGAAAATGAGAAAAGTACGCGGACACTCCACGTATCGCGTATATTCACCGGTCGGCTTCATTCATGAGGAAAATCCATCGAGAGACACCGCGCGCGCGGAAACGTAGAGAACGCCGCGAGAGCTTTTCCGGAAGAAAGGCGACGCGCGTCCGAGAAGCGGAAAGCCGCGCGACCGGAAGTCGCGCGGACGCCTTGATTAGCGGTTTAAGCGTAAAAATACACCAATCATGGGGGAAGGGGAAGGGGAGGAGGAGGAGGAGGTCCGGTTTCTCCCTGACTCGCGCGAGTCGCTTTTTCCTCGCGCTTTCACGCGCGTCCGCCGGCTAAGGCCCCGAAAAAATGGCGCGCTCGCGAGCGAGCCGTTCTGACTCCTTTCGTCGTTCGAGAGACTTTTCAGCCGTTAGCGCGCTCACGCTGAGAGCGAGCGAGAGGGCGAGCATGAAACGGTGTGTGTTTTCGGCCGAATTGCATTCGTGTTGGAGCAGCTGTTGCTGTCGGGGCACGCGTCCCAACGGTCGCGGCAGCTGCCCAGAAAATCCATTACGGTGTGCTCACCCTGAGCTCTCCCGCTCCCCTTGCGACGACGAATATCACACCGAGCACCGAGCGCGCGCGCGCGCTCTATTCCGGCCGTTACCTCGCCACGTCGTTCTATTTTTTATTTATTCGTGCGATTGTGCAACGCCCGTAATCCGATTCGGAGAAACACGAGATCGGGTCCGATGCCGCGAAGACGCGAGTCCACGAGACACACGATGCGACCGCATGGCTGATAATCGATCTTCGACCGTTCGACTTTTCGTTTCGGAAACTACAGCGGAGAAAACGGAGTCCCGTCGTTGTTCGGATAAAATATTTCGACTGCTCGCGCAAGCAGAGTCAAGGGCGAGTCGGAGAGCGCGCTCGTCGCCGCGTCAGCTATCGCGAGAGTTTCCGCGGCCGCGAAAAATCTCGGCGCGTCGTGCACTTGCCTCGAAGTTTCCCCAGAAGACGACAGGCGAGCTCCGTCACATTCACAGCTGGCGATGTAGAATTTAAATTACCCGATCGCGACAGCAACGGCGAAAATCCTCGGCGCAACGCACTATAGCCGAGGAAGGGCCCCCACCTCACGAAGGGACACCGGGCCCGTATTACGTGAAACTCCGTGACGACCCTCCCTTCATCTCCCCCCGAGCGAGTGCGCATACACAGATACGCGAGGAAACGCATGGCGAAACACCCTTGACGCATCTGCTGTTAAGGGAACCCGCGAGGCAGTTTATCGGCAGCAACGGTCGCGATCGCGTCGCGCTGCTAACGGAGCCGCGCGCGCCTTGAACGGACATCCTGTCGCTGTCTTGTTATCATTACGGCGTAATCAATCGTTATTGCACAAAGCGAGACTCTCTCTCTCTCTCTGTTAAGATCGCCAGGCGAAAGATACCGGGTGCGACGTTTCGGTCCAGCCGACGCTCTCGACGATTCGAAGACCGCGCTCTCCGCAGAAATCTCGGGCGAACATCCTGCGAACGTCGCGCGAAATTCGCGCGTGAAGGATGCCGGAGAGAGGACTCGCAGGCTGATGACACGCGGGGACTCGTCTCGTTGCCGGCGCAAACTACCGCGAGCTTTGGGAACTCGTTTGTCGTCGCGTCTCCGTGTCAACAGTGACCGATCGTAGTTTCCGCAAAGATTTCGGCAGCCGTTCCGCCAACGGCTGCCGCTATTCGAAGGACTCGGCAACTGCTGTGCCTTTTTGTGTTAACAAAGTGTCCGCGCGATCGTCCACGGTGCAACAGTTTCGACAGAGGGTCGTTTTGCGTGAGTCGCCTCTCGAGTTAGAGTCCTGTCAGATCCTCGACGACGAAATCGCGCCAGAAGGTCCCTCTCTGATCTCACCCACGTGGATTGGACGAAAGTCGCGGGTGATTTCGCGACGGCGAGTCATTACTCGCCACCGGGCGGCCCGTTAAACTTCGATACGCGTGCACGAGCTCGTTCGCTCAACAGCGACCTCGGGCTCAAACGTTTAACTGGCGATTTGCCTGCGCGATAAGCAGCACACACGAGCTTCGTACTCACTTCGGATTCATCAGCCCGGCCGATTTCTCTTCCGGGCGAGATCTCTCTGCGCGGCTTCACCGATGCCGGCCGCACCGAGCTGACGTTACAGAGTTCCTCCCGCGCCTGCCCAACGTGAGGATCATCCGCGCGTGTCGTCCGATGAGTGATACCTGCGAGTGACGATCATGGCTCAGGCACCAGAAACGACTCCGGTGCATTGCTACACCAACCCGTCGTTCTGCCGGCAGTCGGAGTATATCCCGGACGACCAAGCGAGCAACGGCCTACCGCCGCCGCCGCAGTTCCAAGGGAATGACGACTTGCCGCCTCCGCCGCCGCCGCTGCAGCTGCAGTATTACGCGGGCCAGAGCAACCCGGGCTTCCAGGAGCCGCCGGAGACGGCGGGCGTGCGCGAGTCGCGCGATCGCTATTGTTACCTGGACGATAACAGGCCGCTCACGCACAGGCGCTACGCCAGTCTTCCGGTGGAGGAGCCTCGCGTGACCTACAGCCAGTCGTCGCGTTACGAGTACATCCAGCAGGACGACGAGCGCGACCGGTTGACGCGGAGGGGCTCCTCGAGGTATGAGTTCATTCCGCAGCAGCAGGTGCAACAACGTTCCGCGCCGTCGACCAACCAAGACGATCGAGGAGGGCCGCAGACGCAGACCTGTCGCGCTGCTAATGCCGGTAGATACGCGCTTATACCGGGTGAGCAGGACTACCAGGACGAAGGCGCGCAATGGAGGATCGTCCAGTCAGCACCGCGGCACATCAACACTCCGCAGGGTAATTTCTCTTCTTCCTCTTGCCGCCTCCCCCCCCTCCCCCCTCCGTCAAGTCTTCGTCCTGAACTTCTATCCTCTTTCTGAGCGGTGAACTCCTTGTCCCAAAGATTGTTAATTATTAAACATAATCTTGTCATGAGGAAACCTTGAAATAGTAACTTCCTTATCACAAGGCTGTTTTATGCCGGCCATAAATTTATATATCACACATATATTTTTTTTATTATAAAAACGAGATATAAAGGACAGCTGTACTCCCCTTCCATTTTCCACAGGCATGTCATCTTCGTCTAGCTCCTTCCAGCAGGAGCTAGACAAAGATCGAATGTGACTCTGTAATATCCTTTTCGGATGTAGCCTTCGCAGCCTTTCGCGGGGCGCACAGTCTGTGCGTATAAGTCTATAGTCTGTGTATGCACATGCAGACATGTACGCGAGTGTCCTTCGCAGGATCTCCGATACGAGTGCCTTTATTTTGTAACAGGCCGTTACAGCAGAGTACCCCTGCAGGAGGAGAATCCGCCGGCGCTCCCCGAGAGAAATGCGCAGGAGCTCTCGACGTCTCCGAAGAACAACTTGGCCACGCAGAAGCTGCACGAGATATTGGCCACGCCCAGGAAGCCGAGATCCAGGTCCGAGGAGAGAACGCTCTCGCCGAGGAGACACCACTCTTTCAACCGGACCAGCACGCCGCAGAGGAGGGCGCTTACTCCTGGCAGCTCCCCGAATGGTCGCGAATTTATTATTACCGCGTTCTTCTCTTCCTTAATCGCGCTCTTTTCTTCGAGGGTGATAAGTAACGTGCAAATCGGACAGTGAAAGTTCCCTCGGGGAATTGATTGGATCGGTGCGAAAACTGTCGTTTTGCATGGATGTCATTGTTATTACTGTAGCGACATCTGAAATAACATTTCAATGACACGACAAAAATCGTTCTACATAGATGGCATTATTATTGTTATTGTTGTGTTGTTTGAGTGACCAAAAGATCTGTTCTGTGGCCGTCGACATACACAGGATGGATGTGACAGAGAAAGAGGATCATACTTTCTGAATTTCTTGAGAGTGAAATTACTGAGAGCGAGCGAAAATTTACTGGAAGCGCTAATGAAAATACTCGCCACTCGCGGAAAATGCAAGAATGAATATTCAACTCGAACCTACACGAGTTAATGTTTCAATCGATTAGGGTGAATCTCTTCATGTGGAGCCGGATTCTCTTCAGTTTCGAGTGAAAATATTCACTCGAGCGACTCAGGCTGGAAAACTTAACCCCTTGACCGTGGAGGCAGAAATGTATACTAGTCGTGCCATTTTTGTGTTGGAAAAAATGTCGAATTTTCTTTATGATATTTTTATAATAAGGGTTTTTGAGGTCGCTGAATCCAAATTTGATATTGAAATTCCGAAATTCAAAATGGCGGATCCAATATGGTGGGTCAAAATTATGAAAATAATCGGATATTTATGAAAATGGGTATCTGCATGTTTTTGGGGTCGCAAAATCCGAATCTGATATCAAAATTTTTAAATTAAAAATGGATCTAAATTTTGAAAATCAGGTTTTCATGATTTTTATAATTTTGACTCGCCATGTTGGATCCGCCATTTTGAATTTCGAAATTTTGATATCAGATTCGGATTCAACAACCCCAAAAACATATAGATACCCATTTTCATAAAAATCCAATTATTTTTATAATTTTGACTCGCCATGTTGGATCCGCCATTTTGAGTTTCGAAATTTTGATATCGAATTCGGATTCAGCAACCCCAAAAACATATAGATACTCACTTTCATAGAAATCCGATTATTTTTATAATTTTGACTCGCCATGTTGGATCCGCCATTTTGAATTTCGAAATTTTGATATCAAATTCTGATTCAGCGATCCCAAAAACATATAGATACCCACCAGTATGCCAAAAACAATAGTTTTACTATTTTTTTTCTTCGATGCGGCTATACACGTCATCCACAGTCAAGGGGTTAAGAAGCCTCTTCTCTGTCCAAGGCAGATCATTGGAGCGTGGAGCCCGTCGATCCTATGTTACATCCTTCGTTAATCTTATTATCATTATTATTGCTTTACCTTGTCGACATTATACCGTTCGTCGCATCTCGATAATGTTCCTAACGTTAACGTCAAGCGTTCATTTCCTTCCTCAGATCGCACCTTCAGTCCAACGCGTCTGACACCTCAAGGCACACCGCAGAGCCGAACCTTCTCGTTCGCAGGACCTCAGACGTCGACACCTAACAAGGAACCGTCAGCTCGCAGATGCCTCCCCTTGCAGGAAAAGCCATCGCGACAACAAGACGTCTGCCCAGCCAGCAACTGCGGCCGGCTTCGTTACGTGGGAACCGCCCCGGTCGACTTGATAAACATGAGCCACAGCGAGCCGCCACCCCGTTACGCTTACATGGAGAGCAACTTGGAGTCCATGCCAATGGTGTCCGGATCGCCTAGGTATCAGGTGATGCCTGCTGACCAGAAGAACTACCAAAGCGTCGAGAGCGCGTTCATGGCTCGTACGGCCGTGGTAAGAGACCAGACAGGCAACAGAAGACGAAATGATCCTTCTGACCACGATTTCTCGCAGGTGCCGCCGTTATCACCGCCCAACAGCGACGCGAATACGACCCTGGCGAGCGGCGCGGAAAAAGGAGACAGGAAGAACGCGCCGTTCCTTTTGATACTGGTCGGCGTTTTAACCTGCGGCCTCGCCCTATACTTGTCCTGGTCGCAAGGAAGAAGGTAGAAGTCCCCAATTCTTCGCTTCTTTCACTTTCTTCAGCTTCTGCGGCGTCACGTTCACGGGCGAACGTCAAATTTCCATTTCATTTAATCGCAGCAATTCACGCAATTTGACGAACATATTTTCAGGTACTACTTCGACAGCGCGGCCGGCTGCGGTGCTTGCTGTACACTAGCTGGCGCGTGCAGGAGTCTACGAAGGACTTGGACAGGACTCGGTCTAGCCGGACTGTCGGCGTTAAGCTGCGCGGGCCTTCTGCTACTCGCCGTGAAATCTCCGAAAGATGGGACGCCTCTTCACGACATCACAGCTGGTGCTTTGTGCGGTGTGTCGGTCTTGGGAGCTGGTCTGGCACTATTGGCCCTTTTGTCGCCGAGGTGCAGCCTCGGACGTCATCGACGAGTGCACTCTTGGATACCCCGATTCTCCCCTTAGCATGTTAAGCATTCTCGGCGGTCACCGCGGTCGTTTGGGAACACAGAATAAGTAAGGGTAGGCAGGCCAGGCGTATCGCGGAAGTGTCTTTTCGTTGGGAGGAAATGCGAGCATCGCTTACCAGCTGAGACAAATTCTCTAATATCCCCCGTTTCACGAACAAAAGAAAACGCGAGTAGACACAGATGTAACATCACCAATCGACCCGTGCAAGAAGTGCAGCGTATACGAGGACAGGCATTTTTCTTTCTTGCGCCTCTTCTCTTTTTTCAAAGCGCGCTCATCGAAATGAAATTAGTTTTCAACAATCTGAAATTTGTATAAAGGATAAGTCATTTATAAATGTAAGCGCGTTCATGCGTTCATGATCGCGTTTACTGTATAAGTGTGGAAATTTACATTTACGACTCATGATGTAAAATGAGCCGAAATGTATGAAGTTCTTCAACACAACACGCACTTTCTTCACGTCCACGGATGCTTGCGTATACACACGCGATTTTTCTATCTCATTATTAAAAGTTAGCGTTACTCCAATCTATTCTGAAATGCATGAAACTGTATAATAAGTAAGAATAAGCAATACTTGTGTTCTTATATTAGAAAATAATAGTCTAGTGTGCCACTTTCTTCTGCATAATATACGCTGTGAAGGATGTATAAAATTATAAATGTTTTTGCATAGTGCAAAGTACACGCAAAAATAAATTGTAGCATCGCTCAATATGTTACGGAAATGATAAACAAATATTTTTTTACGCAACATATGATAATTTACGCGATGTTAACGTATGAGTTATAGAATTTCGTACAGCTCCAACGATCGCCTGATCAAACATACGTTCGGGCTAGGACTATCTCACTCAGTGTATAATATCCTTAGTTAAATTTAAGACGACTTTAGACATAAGATCTAACTATGAATATCGCCCGCATGTATAATATCTATATAACATGGAGCAAATCAAATGTCACAAATTGCATAGTTTATTTGAAACCAATAAAAATAAAACTGACACAGACATGCGCAACACTCCGGCAGAGTCTTCTTTTTCCTGACGAATTCAAGTTCGACGAAAGGCGGAGTCGACGGTGAGGATATTCGTTATCGTGGTTGCGCTAAGAAGGAAGTTAAGCTGCGTTTAGTTGTCAAGCGTCCGGTACGTACAATATCGAATTTATTCAATAACGAGTTCTCAAAATAAAACACGATCAGAAAACTTTTACAAAAAAGTAATTACGTACAAAATCGTGAGGTGGTAAAAATATAAAACGAAAAAAAAAATACCTATATATATATATATTTGTGTGTGTATATGTGTGTGTGTGTGTCTTTTATGTTTGTCTTTTTTTGTAACAGATTAAAGAGCTGGTCAATACAGTATTCACGATGAGTGAGAATTATTCTGAAAATTGTCCGCTGAAAAAGGGAGAGTTATATGAAATAGTGATTATCATAACAGAAATCGACTTTTCTGATGAGTGTGTTATATTTATGAGAAAAACATCGTTCCACTTTGGTGAGAGTTCAAAGTATCATGAAGTGTGGCTCATCTGCGTCATATTAATATGTACTACAATGTCCGCAGCTTTTTACTTTTATAAAAAATAGCTAAAAAAGTACATTTATTTAATCTGTAAGATTAATAGATCTGTAAGAGGAATTTATCATGTAATTTATGTCATTTATATAATCTTGTTTTACGATATATAATGTGTTCAGTTTTAATAAAAAGGGAAAATAGTAAATCTTTATAGGTAAAATATTGTATTTAGTGCAATATAATCAATATATATATATATATATATATTTAATCGATTTGATCATAAAATGTATATTGATGTATGAAATATTTTTTGCACGACACTGACGTCGATATATTTACCTGTTTTATTTTATTTAACCGTAAATGTCTTTTCCTTGGAAAGAAATGCGTGCCATCGCTTGCCAGCTGAGACATTTTCTAACAATGTTCCCCGTTTTACGAACAAAAGAAAACGCGTATATAAATGTAACACCACCAGTCGACTGTGTAAGAAGTGCAGCGTATGCGAGGACAGACATTTTTCTTTTTTGCGCCTCCTAATTTTTTTCAAAGTGCACTTATCGAAACGAAATTATGTTGCAACATTTTGAAATTTGTCTAAAGGATAAATCATTTATAAATATAAGCGTTCACGGTCGCGTTTACTATATATAAGTGTGGAAATTTACATTTACGACTCATGATGTAAAATGAGCTGAAATGTATGAAGTTCTTCAACACAACACGCACTTTTTCTACGTCCATGGATGCCTACGTGTACACACGCGATTCTTCTATCTTATTATTAAGTTACACAGACATGCGCAGCATTTCGGCAGAGTCTTCTTTTTGCTGACGAATTAGGTGGAGTCGGCGGTAAGGGTACTCATTATCGCGGTTGCGCTACAAGGAAGTTGAGCTGTCAATTGATTCCATGTGTTACTCAAGTGGTCATTCTTTTGCAGTTTAAGTAGCATAAAGCTAGAACTAAGAGTAAATCGCATTGGTAGAAACTTACCGTTCTTATTATATTTGTATTTCGTTCAAGTCAGGCTATTATGAGAAGAAATCCAGATGTTACCTCCATATATAAAAGAGCATAAAATATATATACATATATATGTAAAGTGAATAATGATAAAAGAAATAATGGCTGTGTTAATAGTGACTCTCCTGCTGACTCAAGTGATGCACGTTCACGGGAAATTGACCGTATTGCGTGGACCGCAGTATCACGGCTTAAGGGAATTGTTATGCGTTTCCGAAGATGATGGTAGTGCCTTAGCGTGGAACATCAAACATGAAAAATATACCTACAACATATTTAAATATTATCCGAATAAGGACCGTAAGTTAATCGAATAGTGACTTAATCAGATCATCGACATTTAGTCAGATATGTAATGTCTGTAACAAGTTGCACGTACGGGTTCTTTATGCGAAATTTCTCCTTTAGTCTCTGTCGTATGTATAAGAAAATTCTTATAAAACTCAATTGTTGTGTATTAATTGCATTAACTTTATTCCTAGAACGCTAATGTAATTTCGTTGCTTCATTCAGGACAGTTTATTTACCACGCGCATTTTTTACAGGATTTTACAGTACCTGCAAATTTAGGGCATCCAATGACTGCGAAATGAACAGGGACGAAAGCTGTTTGAAATTGTGGGACAGAGAGCATTGGGAGCTGACATATAGTATGGACACACCTATGGGTGCGGTATTTGATCAACGATGGGAAGGTAAATTTCGGAAGGTACATTTTGTTGCTCGGAAAACGAGAGCAATGTCTGTAAAGAGAGCAATATCTGTTGACTAAACTCTACTTAAAATAGTTTTAAGCAACATCGAGTATTTGAACATTTAAAATTTTCAGAATTTCAAGAAATAGAAATGTGGGCTTCCATAGGTTATATACAAATAAACGAATTTCCGACAAGTGCATTAGTATTTTCCGTTGCGTTTTCGGTTCGTGCGAAAAAAGATGTGCACATATGGATTTGCAGTAAAGAGAATACTTCTTGCCACTTCGCTGTAATAGGCGCTTATAACAATACGAGATCTGTGATTCGAAAATGTTCGATAGACAAACTTCAGTTTCCAACATATGACAAGGAAGACTCGGAATGTAAAATAGAACGTGACTCTATAAACGTAAGATATACAATCCGTTCCTGCTAAACCTGCTTGTTTTTCGCGGTATACGGAGAGGCAACTACACTTTTAATTATTTGTCGTGATTTGCGGCTGTCTTTGAGAGCATGATCCTGAAACATCTAAATTCGCAGAAAATGAAAGTTGATACAGAACATGTAAAGTTTTCTGGTATTTAATATAGCACACAGCATTATCTCAGTACGAATGGCGGACCTTTGTCCTTACGTGGGATTATGTAAAGCGGAAGATATCCCTTTATGATCCCGACCAATTAATTATGACATATGCGGATATGGAAAAGTATAATTACTCAACAATCTCTTACGAAATGTACTTCTCAACAGACAAAAGCACGTTTATTCGATTTCACAAATGTGAGTGTACATGCTCTAAGTACATTATTATTCGTTACTGCAGTTGCTGCAACAACCGAGTTACATGTACAAACGAGAAATTTAATCAACACGTGTTGATTTCAGACCATTTCCTTCACACGCGTAATCATAAGGCAACTTTAAAGAGCCCGACGTTTCTTTTAAGAGATAATGTAACATGTATACAACTGCTGATCGGTCTTTGCTCAGTATGCGATGCAGATATAGTCCTGCGCGATGCTATAAATCATAACGTGCTAGGATTGGCAACGACAAAGGGCTCGTCGGTTTCCGCCGCTCATGAACTGCCCATGTGGCAATCCGTTAAAGTCGACAGAAATTTATCGACGCCCAGTTATAATAGAGCAAAGATCGAGGTCATCCCGAGGTTGAGTCTACCCATCTTTAATCCTCTGTGGGCCATAGCGAATGTTCGCGAATGTCGTCCTAAGGGTGTGTACATTCTCAACTTTTCGGTCATTTGTTATATCTGCGATAATTGTTAACTGTAGCCATGATGTATATGACGTATATGATGTCTTCGATTCGAAGAGTTCTTCCGTAAATTAAATTTTCATACCTCGTTCTTCTTTAACAAAATAACTGTTCTTTCAGGATGTTTAAAAATGAGCACAAAGGACATTTATAGCGATCGAATTTATCGATATATGATTAACTTAACTTGCCAAAAATTATTTTACGAAGAACAATCTGTCGTGAATCCTTTATCGAGTGTTAAATTAAATGCGGAATTGGGTAATTATGAAACATCGTTATCTTCAAGTTCCGTGATTGAACTAATTGCGTAATCTTTCCGTTTTAAGGTCGTCAGCACGAAATGCGATGGGAAAAATTATCTCTAAATAGAAAAAGAACAGATAGTTATAGTGTTGTACGTCTCCCATACCTGTATATCTCTCTATATATATATATACCGCTCTTTCTTCTCAGATGATGAAAATTGTAATTTCGGATATATTGGACCGCAATGTTCGTTTGAGTGTCACAGTATGCTGTGGAGTGCTGTAAACTGCAAGGGAACTGCGATTTGTCATAAAAATGGTTGCACTTGTTCACCTGGGTTCATGGGATCCAATTGTAACCAATGTAATTTATTATTTCGCACGATAGATTAATTCTGCTATTTTACAATGTCGGATAATGTTTGTATATTTATTTGTCAATGCATTTCCAGCTTGTAGTGAAGGTTTCTATGGCCATGCCTGTAAAAAAAGATGTGGCTCGTGTCTTGAGGATAAACCGTGTGGTATAACTGGAGTTTGCCCTACCGGGTGTAAAAATATAGGAAAGTACACTTACTTACCTCCTTTGTGCCAAAAAGGTAACAATTCTCTGCAATATGCAAGGTGATCCTTCTTGTGCTCTCATTAAATAGATATGCGATATTCTTAGAAACAACTGTCTAATATGTTGGTTTTCTCTCGAGGTATTGATAAACTGGACAAACCTGAAATCACCTTTACGAATCAGACAACTATTGTAGCTACTGTTCCAATTAAGTGGGAAGAGGAATACGAAAAAGAAGAACTTTTTTATATATTCCGTATAAAAGTAAACGACATTCAACATTATTCCTTTGAATAATGCACAAAGTATCGAGAGTTTTGTTTGAGTTATTTGAGTTGCAGGCACATACAATTAAATAAATTTATTTTAATATTTTCCTCACAGTCACCGGATGAGCAATTCGTGCAACAAATATCGGAGAAAATATCAAACAAGTCCACAAAATTAATAGGCAGATTCAAAAACTTGCAACCAGACACAACTTATCAAATCATGTGCATTTTATTCATTTCTCTGGTGCAAATAACTAGCGACTGGAAAACTGTGAAAACTGAATGTAATCGTAAGTCGCAATTTGAATGATAGCTACACAACTGTACTTTTCTCAGTGTCTTACAGAAAAGGCGAGAGATACGCCAGAGTAAAATATTTGGCGCAAAATCACCGTAACTCAATCGTCGCAAATCAAGCTAATCGTTTATTTCAATTTAGTGTTACATACTATTTGTATTTCAGTGCCGTACGCACCTGGCAATTTCACCTATTCGTTCAGTAGCAACAGCACAGTCGATTTAGGATGGCTTCATCCTTTGAAGACGTGTGGTCATCATCTGCGGTGTTTTCGCATCACAATACAAAAAACTTGGTCAAATTTGAAAAATAGCTCCTTGCCTGAAAGCAAGACCTACGAGTATTTAATAACGCATTACATGCGCAATTATAGCACGCGGCTATATCTGTTGCCGTCCACGCGGTATAACATTTCCATTCAAACTGTGGCGATAACGAATGAGTCCAGTCACATAAATTCTTTGGAGATTCTGATGCCACCAAATGTAGATCTAGATCGTAAGCTGAAGATTTCCACGCAATCTGGTTCTATAATACAATTGCATATACCGAATGTACTGAACGATACGCGCGACAGCATTACCTACATTGTGTTATTGGAATCCAACATCTGTGAACAATTTGCAAAACTGCCAAAAAATCTTCTAGCGTATATAGGCGAGGATAGGATAAAGCATGTTCTGCAAGTTGTCAAGCGTCCGGTACGTACAATATCGAATTTATTCAATAACGAGTTTTCAAAATAAAGAACAATCAGAAAACTTTTATAAAAAAAAGTAATTACGTATAAAATCGTGAGGTGGTAAAAATATAAAACTGAAAGAAAAAAAAGATATATATATTTGTGTATGTGTGTATGTGTGTGTGTGTGTGTGTACGTATATCTTTTATGTTTATCTCTTTTTGTAACAGACTGAAGAGCTGGCTAATACGGTATTCACGATGAGTGGAGTTTATTCTGAAAACTGTCCATTAGAAAAGGGGGAATTGTATGAAATAATAATTATCATAACGGAAATCGACTTTTCTAATGAGCGTGTTATATTCATGAGAAAAACATCGTTCTACTTTGGTGAAAGTCCGAAGTATCATGAAGTGTGGCTCATCTGCGTCATATTAATATGTGCTGCAATATTTGCAGTTTTTTACTTTTATAAAAAATAGCAAAAAATAATATATTTATTTAAGCTTTAAGATTAACTTAGGGGGACTTATCACGTAATTTATATTATTTATATAATCTTGTTTTACGATATAATGTGTCCAGTTTTAATAAAAAAAAAAAGAGTAAATCTTTATACATAAAATATTGTAAAACGCAGTTGTAACGCTAAGTTAACTAACCTGCATGAACTGATATGACCTTCATGTGTAGGGTGATTGACAAGATTGACCCGTCCCAAGATAAAATTTAATAATAAACTTGAATAAAATTTTACCTACATAAAATAACTTCCTAGCACAATAAACATTATGCTTTTACTGGAGAACACCTTTTTTACTTTAACTTTTCGCCTTCTTTACAAAAAGAAACATTTGTTTTTTAAAGACTGCTGCTCTACAAGCATGTGAAATTTTTTCAAATTTGAAAGCCAACAATTCATAGATATCCATTGGCAATTTGGATTACATACGAGAATTCAATGCAAGAGGTGATTCGGATTTGAATAAAGTATACGCGCAAAAATTTATCTAAAATATATTTCTATAAATTGTATGTGAGAAGCTCTTAATTTTCCGTTACAAGATAATAATTGGATGTAGAAGCTGTCTTCAGAGTAAAAGGAACTTGATAGGCTGTTACTATTATATTTGCTCGTGTTTTAAAAGAATAAGGATAAAGTTATTAAATATACGCAATATTATTGCGTACAAATAATAATGACTTCGATCTGTGTCATCCAAGTAAATTAATGTCCAACAGAACCAAACATTTGTACGAAAAATATCTATATATAAATCCCGTCCTACTTCTTTCCACGTCATATATTTAAAGCTTTTTTTTTACACGTGTATATCACTGCCATATTGAATAATTTAGTATACATAGTTGCACAATTTATATGGTTTGTAAAAAAAAAGAAATGAAAAGACATTATATAAAGTGCGTAATGTTCCGGTGGAGTCCACACTTCCTTGATGCGTCAGTCGCGTTCAGCGGATAGAGAATCTGTTATCGCGGATTCACTAGAAGGAAGTCGAGTTCCTTTCCACCAGTTACTGCCTGAAACCGCCGTCCTCCGTTAGTCTAAATAAAGCTATGCCGAAATAATATAAAGTGTTCCGACAATAATTTGAATCTGCTATTGTTCTGCTGTTCAAGTCTACGTGTTGGGATCTTAAAACCAAGTTGTTCCTTTTGAATAAAAGATTGTCATTCCTTCTGAAGTGCGAATTAAAAGAAAGTGCGATTTTTCGTCTTTATTTTGGTTCTCTTTATTCTTATTATTTTCACTTTATTATTTTTTCTACATTTCTTATTTTATTTTAAAGGTGTTTGCAAATATTTGTTCACGCGATGTGATATGCACGTACAGAACTTCTAAGTTAATCATGTATAAACTGCATTAAAACGTTACAACTTTTATCCCGTAAATCCCTTTTATCACCTACAATTACAAAAAACGTTCGTTTTGCAAATAAAATTCCTGTGCGTGTGTGACAATGTCGAGAACAATAATCGATGTATTGGTGTAAACTGTGTTAATCATGTGTAAACTGCATTAAAACGTTACAACTTTTATCCCGTAAATCCCTTTTATCACCAACAATCACAAAAAACGTTCGTTTTGCAAATAAAATTCCTGTGCGTGTGTGACAATGTCGAGAACAATAATCGATGTATTAGTGTTATCTTTCCTGGTGAACTATGTGATACCTATTTTTGGAAATTTGACTACTTTGCGCGGACCAACAATTAACGGATGGAAAAAAGTGATATGTCTTTCAGAGGACGACGGAGGTGCTTTAGTGTGGAATAGCGATTTACGCTATAGTTACCACAAAACTTATATTATCGATACGAAGGCGAAAAGTAAGTTAAAAGATCAGCTTTTAATAAGATACCGAATGCTGTACTTACAAATATCAAGACCAAAAAAGGTTTCCGTTTTTAATAATTTTCATGTATGTAATAAACTACCTACGGTATATGAAATTTTACTATTAAACAGTAAGCGCAATAAATCCAATTGTAAAATGTTCAATGTTCTACTATCTCATTCGCACAATCTGCTCACAATTTGCGTATATATTATTTCAGAATTTTCTAGTACATGTGACGTGCAGAGCAGCCAGATCGATTGCAAACTGAACGACATCAATGAATGTTTGAACTTGTGGGACAAAGATTATTGGCAGCTCGTAACCTCATTAGATAAACCTATGGGCCCGGTGTTCGATGAACGATGGGAAGGTAAAAGTTTAGTTAGTCGAAAAAAAATAGCAATGTTTATAAATATAAATTGCGGATGCAATCGTTTACAGTTATCCACAACAGTAGAATAAAAGTAGATAAAAGTAGATTTAAATGACATACATTTGACATTTCCAGAATTTCCAGAATATTATTTCCATGTTGAAAAGATGCTTGAGGTCCGTTTACTTGATACGAACATGATACAGTTTTCATTTTCGGTACGTGCGGAGAAAGACGTGCACGTACTGATCTGTAACAATAGTTATCAAGACAATTTGTGTTACTGGGTCATAATAGGCGGTTGGTTCAATACACGATCTGTCATTCGAAAATGCTTGACGGGAATGCCTTCGATTGGGACATTTCCACCGCTAGACTCGCCATGTGCAATAGAACACGACAAACAAATTGTAAGATATCTTCCTGCTATTGTACAAGTTATATTCCTGCTAAATTTGTTAGCCTTTAGTTGTGGAATGGAATCTCACTAAAAATTAAAATCATTACACGTATCACTATTTATTTCGAATTTCGCAAACATAATTTTGAAGAACTTATGGCTCCAGTGAGTAAAGTTTGATAAAATATTTAACTGCTCTTGATATTCAATGTAGCACACAGCATTGGATCCATACGAATGGCGCACCTTTGTTATTACGTGGAATTCTGCTACAAGAAACGTATCACTCTATGATCCTGATAAACTCATTCTAACATATATGGATTCAGACATACAACGTGACGACATAAGTTTTAATTCCAAATTATATATCCGATGCTCTCCATCCTCGTCAGTTCGATATCACGATTGTGAGTATACATTCTAAAAATGATGTTCAGGCAGATGGTGCAACGACTAATTTACAAACACGGAATTTAAGCTGCAAACACTGTTTTCAGATTCGTATTTTTACACCAGCCAAAGAAGTGCAATATTACAGAGTAATTCATTTATTCTCAATACCAATGCTATATGTTTACAAATGCTGATCGGCCTCTGTGCTGAATGTGACGCAGATGTTTCGTTGCATGTTTCTTTTACTGACGAAGTCCTAGAAAATGTAATTGTAAAGGGCTCTTCCGTGGCGGCCCTTCATGGTTTGCCTATGTGGCAGTCCGTTAAAATCATAGTAAATTCATCAATACATGCTTACAATAGTTTGAAAATCGTAGTGACACCGAAACTTAATCTAATCACGCCTAACCCGATATGGGCGATAGCAAATGTTCGTCGATGTCCTTTAAAAGGTTTGTACGCTCTTAATTGATTGTTATTGTTGCAATAGTTATTAATTACAAGCATATATAATACATGTCTAAAGTAGAATTTGACAAGCACTCGACCCTTACAATTTCTTTTTTCAATAACAATATAATTGTGGTCTTCTCTAGGTTGCTTGAGACAAAGCGGCGTGTACATTAAAAAAGATTGGATTAGAGACCGTGATTATTTCTGGCCTAACTTAACTTGCCAAAAATTGTTTTATGAAGAACATACCATCGTGCATCCTTTATACCAACGTGACCTAAATGTGAAATTAGGTAATTTAATTAAAAGTTGTTGAATCTATTTTCCGTTAATGCTCAATTGAATATGAATGTATTTTTGAAGTTTTTAATGCGAAATACAAGAACAGGCAATTATTCTCCAAAAAGAGACAAATGATTATATAGTTACATATTCCGTCAAAGTTTCGTATCATATCGTTATTCTCTTTTCGTAGTTGGCGAAACTTGTCCTTTGGGATCTATTGGACCTGATTGTAAGATTCAATGCAAAAATGCTCTAGAAACTAGGGCTGATTGCAAAGCAGTTGTAATTTGTTACGACAATGGATGCACCTGCCCTGCAGGATATGTGGGCCCTAAATGTGGCGCATGTAAGAATGTTGAGACTTCAGTGCTAATTAGCTGCCGCCATTGTAAATATATCTGAATAGCGTTTGTGCTTAGTTAGCGAATTGTACTTCTAGCTTGTGATGCGAATTTATACGGCCATGCCTGTGCGCAAAGCTGCGGCTCGTGTCTTCACAATAAGACGTGTGATCGAGTGACTGGAGAGTGTACTGGCGGATGCGCAAATTCGATAAATTTCGTTTACGCACCACCTTTGTGTCAAATAGGTAACACTTCTCTGCTAGGAATAGCAGAGAACTTCCTTTTGTTATGTTTACTGAGTATATCTGCCATATATCTAGTATACTTCTAAAAATAAATCCTCAGTATACCGATTCTTTTCAAGGTATTGATAAACCGAGCGAGACTCAAATTATTTTTACGAACCAAACGACCATCATAGCTAATGCTCCAATCAAGTGGGAGGAGAAATACGAACGAGTGGAGCTTTTATATTCATTCGAAATTAAAGTAAACAGCGTTTGACACTACTTCTTCGAATAATTCATAAAACGCCGAAAATATTTTTCTGAGTTGAAAGCAGATGAAACAATTCTGTTGATGTTCTTCTCACAGACGCCAGACGGGAGTTTCAAGGATCAGCAACAGTGGAACACATTTCAAGATAGCACACAATTAGTAGGCATCTTTGCGAACTTGCAACCTGGCACTACCTATCAGATTAGATGCATTCTTTCAATTAACGAGTCGATATTGTATGCAGATTGGATAAATGCCATTACTGATTGTAATCGTAAGTCGATCTTACTTTTGCCTTTACTTTGTTACCTGCTTGTTATTTGATATGCGCGCTACGTATTAGACGTTGGAATTGTTAGAAAAACATGTTACTGTCTTAATTTGTTACCCTGTGAAATAGTATTTCCATTACTTTCACCTAACGAAAAGTCAGAAGACGCTAATGTCGCGATGAAAATGTCATCTTCGTTTTCTTTCCTTTCTTATCAGTTACAACGACGTTAGTTGCGTAACGTAATTCATAATTTTTTAACAATTTAGTAATCACAAACTTCCACATAACACCTAATGAAACAAGCTTAGAGATCAGCGTAGACGACAACGAAAATGTAAGTAGACATTTTGTGATTCAACGTAGGGATATGTCATTCCTAAAATAAGTTATCTCATGTGGTCAAGTGCATTATATCAGTACAATATCAGCCTTCCCATGTCAGCAAATGTATCCGTGCCCGCTGGATTCGTACGTTGTGCTATACAAAAAGAATGATGATGAAAGTGACGGAGGAACACCTAGAGCGATTCCGTATTTTCCGTATACGTTAATAAGTTTAACTCCATATACAACTTATAATGTAATCATATCCCATGGAACTAGGAACGTATCTTTCGAGAGAATTCGTACACACGAAGGCGGTGAGTTTAAATATACTTTCAACGTTTCGCGAAAAATTAATATGCACAGAAATATTGTTTAGCATATATATCCCTTGTAAATGATCTATGTATATATATATATATATGGCAGTTCCATCGGAAATATTAACCTTCCAAGCAATGCCTCTGTCAAGTTCGCAAGTCAGTTTACTTTGGACACCGCCAGGACAACCAAATGGAGAAATAAAAGAATATGTCGTATACTTGAAGGTGCGTTAAAAATATCATCAGTAATAATTTAAGATTAGCTACAAATAAATTAGCAAACAAGTCATATAATAGTAAACAATGCTCAGTTAGTCTTTTTTAGTGAATTACGATAATTTCAAAAATTCTTAGAATATCATAATATTCAAGATATTGTAATACAATCGTAGTCTTAGAGATATGATATGTATGTTATAAAATTAACTTTGGCTAACTTTATAATTTGATAGATACATTGATAGTTCGTGACTGAAGTAAACTCGAGTATCTTTGTGCTAATTTTACCTATAATTTTGATTTTTTCGTAATAATCATTTTCGGTATTATACGCAGGTGTCTTATAATAATTTCAGCTTATACAGTATTTTGGCTGTCCGAATCATCAACAACCTTCACAAAATAATTACACTATTGTAGAAAGAACAGATAAGACTAAAGTTACACTTTCTGAATTACACGCATATGCAATGTATGATGTGCTAGTTGTAGCATACAATTCACGGCATTCAAGTGAACCTGCAAGGACGACATTTCATATGAATGCATCGAGTATGTGCAACATTATTATTTTTTGAATATTTACAATGTAATGACTTTTTGCTAGTTCTAAATACTCTAAATATCTACTCTAAACATATTCTAAATATTCTAAATATCATTTATTTGTCTACGCAATCGTTTATAAATTGATCTAATAAATTGATTTGTTATTGATTATTAAATTCAACGTTTCAAGTTATTAATTTCAATTATAGCTTTCCGTATAAAAATATATTTAATTACGGGAGAATATTGTTCAATTAAATCGACGTGATTAAAATGAAAAATTTATAAGGAATTTTGCATGAGTCTTAAGTGCACTTTATGTCTATAATGCATGTAATCAAATAAGTTTATGAGATTAAGAGATAACAGTGAACAATTTTATAGTGATACCGGCAGTTACGTTTTCTAAAGTGAAAATACAAAATTGGATATTATCGTGGAGCCTTCCTGAAGATTGTACAGCGATTTTAGGACCATTAGAGGTCGCTAGAATCGAAATACAAGGAGTTAGTGAAGGGATTAAAAATTTCAATGTGACCAAGAATACACAAATTACGTATATTGATTTGCATGATGTATTATACGGTGCTGAACGATACGTTGCAAAAATTTTTGCTTTAAGAGACTTTGGGCACCAAGTAAATACTTCCGCTTACATAGAATATGAGTTCGACACTCCGTCTAAAGGTAAAACTTGATACCACTTTTTATCTGTCATTTCTCGTCACTTCGTTTAATCACGTCATCATTTTTTATCCAACAGCACCTCCTAAAGTTAATAATCTCGAAGTCGTGGAGATTGATGATCAGAAAAATATATATTTAAGGTGGCAACGTCCAACTCCACCTCTTAATGGGGTATTAAGTAATTATGGCATCATCTTATGTCACAAATATTATACTGCAAACTGCCACGTAATTCGAGTGCAACTAGATGAAAATTGTGAATTATATACCGATTATATATGCAAAAGTTTTATCTACGCGAATGAAAATATTCAAGTAAGGAAACACTATACTCGATGTTTTTACAAAATGTGAATAATACAAACAATGATACGAGTATTATTCGACAAAAAAATAGGTTATGCGTGATATTCGTACATTTACAGAACGTAAGACATATTTTTCAGGTTGTGGCCTATAATGTTGTTTCTAGTAGAAGTTCTCCTGTTCCTGTGACTAATGAAATGCTTAGTGACACAAGTAAGACTTTAGGGTTTTGAAAATTTATAAAAAGTTGCTCATGAAAAAATATAATTTATAGTATTATGTTTATATATTGTTATACTTTTCTTTTACTACTACGTAGTCTGACTATGTCAGCCAAAAGAAGCTAATAGGTGGTTAATTTTATGTCGATCCTCCTAGTCACGTTGTACACATCTGAAATAAGTGCCTGCAATTTCTCTAGATTGAATAATAATTCGTAGTTGATTATTGATTTCCGTTGAACAATATATTCTGTTTGTTTCAGCGCCGGATGCACCTCGCAATTTTACTATTTCTGTCGGTCACAATAGCGTAATTGACATGAAATGGTTTCATCCTTGGAGGACAGGTGGTCGTTTGCTTTGTTTCAAGATCACCATAGTGCAAATTTCGTCATATTTGACAAATAATTATCGGCGATCTGCCGAGAGCATGCCGCACAAATTCGATGTGATGAATTACCAACGTAACTATAGCATGCAGTTATTTTTATTGCCGTCGACACAATACAACATTTCTATCATATCCGTAACGACAAAGCGCAAGAACAATAGCACGAGCCCCTTAAATTTTTGGACGCCATCTACCATAAATTTCAATGGCGATGTAACATTCGATGTGCACGAGTCTGATATTACGATCTCAGTGAATGTTCCGTCTATTGTGAACGATACACTCAACAGCATTTTGTATATTGTAGTTAAAGGTCCTAATCCTTGCAAAAATTATTTGCCACCACGTAAGGATTTGTGGGAGCAAGCAGGCATGAAGAAATACGATATCGCTTGGCAGGCTGTTGCAGTTTCGGTATGTGTAGATCTTTATCATAATGTATCGAATTACGTAACTGCAATCGATTGTCGAAGCAACCGATTTCGATACATATTACAGACGCTGTATAAGTCTTAACGTTTATCTGCTAAAGTTTCCTACGGTCTATCAACCATTTACATATGTGCGTAAGATTGAAATTTCACAAATAACAACAATTATAATATTACATCATTCGTGACACGCCTGGTGTATGTACTGAGAATTTGTGACAACTAATGTCTGTATATCAATCATCTGTATTTTGTGTGTATGTGTTGAATGCACAGTTTAAATAATAATTTTAAATTTACAAGTATCACATACATACACATACAAATTTATGATATTGGATAAACAAACCTTGATCAAACGTGCAGAATTAATTTGATAATAAAAATATGGTGCGAAATATCAAGATAGAATTGCCTCGCATCCAGTCAAGTTTCAAACTACGATTAACGCCTACAAATATTCAACCAAGTTCTCAATTTTTTTTTCTATGCTTGTTCATAATGGTGGCAGACTAGTACTGTTTCCTCTAATGGCATGGTATTCACGCTTGGCAATGGAGAAACTCATGATAACGCCACCAACTGCCCATTGAAATCTGGAGAGCTGTACAATATATTGGTTATCATAAGGGATTCGAATTTTCCTTATCAACCAATCACGGTCACAAGGGAAGTATCGAGGCGTATCGGTGAACCGATCCCGACCTCTCCTCAATCCTGGCTTATACCTATTCTAATAATCATCATCGTGGTAGTTGCAGCTGTTTACTTTTACCGAAGGTAGTATATCTTCTATCCTCTATATTTCTATTTTATGAAAAGTTACAATAATCTTGATCATAATGAGACGCTCGTTAATGAATTCGCTCGTTTCTTAATTAGAGTCATTTCTCAATTTGACGAATTGAATATCATCAAGTATTGGGTCTGTTTGAAAATTCTTGGGTTTGATCTTCTGCCTTCTTTGAATGGTAAACCAAGAAGTTTATATGTAGAAATGCCTCCAGAATATCAGGAAATGGATTATATACGACGGAAAAAATTATTCAGTATAATTGTATAATTTGTTTCCTTTGAATTTAATCGTGTCAAATTTGTCTCGAAAGTCGAATCGAATCTTTTGACTGGCCCAATATGAGTTAGTTCTAGCTTCGCCGTAACGTAGCGTGTAATTGCTAGAAGGAAACAGCAGAAGTCGAACAAGCAGCTAATGTTGCAAGACGAGATGGCCCTGTCGCAAAACATTGAAACTTATGAGCACGATGCAAAGTCCGTGATATCAGACTCGAAGCAGGCTCCGTCGACTCCATCCGACAGGCAATCCCTATCGCGGGCAACCACTCCAGACGTCCCGACGATCGAAGCCGAGAATAACGACGAAGAAAAGGAAATGATATCATTGATGAAGGTAAAGGATTTCGAGGATTACGTCAGGCAAGCGATAGAGTCCGGATTGTTGGACAAGCAATATGAGGTAAGTGCTCACGACTTCGTTTCGAATTTTAACTCAATCGATTGAATTGCCGCTCGACTTGTTCGAGAAATTAACGTCTACGTTCGTTAAATTTACGTTGAACGTCTCGATTAATTTCAATTCCTTGTATGCGTGAAAAGAGGAAGAAATCCGTTTGCTATATTATTTGTATATTGTTAGCTGCAATCTGTGATCGTGTAAATTGATCTTGCGACTTTCTTTCCAGACATTTCCGAGAGGGCAAACGCAGTCGTGGGACTACGGAAAACTGCCGCAAAACAAAACCAAAAATCGATACGGCAACCTCATAGCATGTGAGTAGAAAGACAATGCGAGCATAGTTGTTCGTGTTGTATGACTGCGTTATTGCGACGATTATAAATAATCGTACTTGTGACTTGTAGATGACGAAACACGCGTGATACTGAAGAAACTTCCGGATGACGCTCACTCCGATTATATCAATGCCAACTATATCACCGTAAGCCACAAACAGCGATAAATATTTCTACTCCGAAGCGCACGTTGGAAAGTTATTATTCGCTTATGCGCGTTCGACGGCGTTAATTAAACAACTGTATTATTTTGAGATCGAATTGAATTTCAAACAAAAAAGTATAGAAAATAATTACTAATTTTCATATTAATGAACTCGAATCTCATATAAACAATACAATTAACGCATGTAGGGTTACAAGAAGAAGAAGCGTTACATAGCAACGCAAGGGCCTAAACCCAACACGGTCGTGGATTTCTGGCGCATGATCTGGCAGGAGAAGGTTCTCATTATTTGTATGCTCGCGAACGTCATCGAAAATGGAAAGGTGGGTATTCTATGCGAAATTAGAGTATAATCGAAACTGAGATTCAAGCGTTGCGACACGTAAAAATGACGATCACGCCTCGCAAAAGTCGACCAACTTTCGGGTCAGTCAACAAGTTCAATGCAATTTTCGATACCATCTTTGACGGTAAACACGTCATTTTCGGTAGATATGAGAGACGAATGAGATCAGAATAACGGTGAGAATCATAGACAAGAACGATAATTACTTGGTTGATAAATAATTCCATAATATTCCCACTAAATGCGATAAAATTAAATTTGGCTCAAAAGTCAAGCTGAACTGTTCAACTGATCCAATAAAATGAAAGCAGAATCGATGTTCATCTTTTCACCGAAAGTCACATCGGTTTCGATTTTAACGAACTTTCCAGACAAAGTGCGAGCAATACTGGCCGGATATTGGTAAGAAGAAAAAGTACGGCGAGATCATCGTCCTGAACGCAACGCACAACGTTTTCGCTGATTATTGCTTCCGAACTTTGCATATCACTTACGAAAAGGAAACTCGGAAGGTATCTATTGAGTTCTTATTCAATATCAACATCGCGACTAAAATAATAAGACGTTACTTTCGCTAAATCGTACGAATCAACAAACAGGTGGAACACCTGCATTACACGGCTTGGCCGGATCACGGTGTGCCATTATACACACATTCTGTGGTCACCTATTTGAAGAAGCTATTGGCGACACCACCCGGAGATGGGCCCGTAGTGGTTCATTGCAGTGCTGGAGTCGGCAGAACCGGGACCATCATCTTGTGCGACATTTGTCTTCATCGGGCTGCAGCCGAAGGGGTATCGCTTTTACTACTACTAATCCTATTCAATTAGAGCACACAGTTCTCTCTCCAAGGCTGATATAATCATGTATAAACGTGTGTAATAATGTCTAAATTAATCGTGTCGATAACTTGATTATCTCAAACATTACTCTGGCGCAGGAGTCTTTCGAATATTGCTCAGACGCCCGAATGTTCGATTATTTCAGACATAAGCCGAATATTACATTATTCAGTTAAATAATTAAAGTTCGAAATAATTATAGATTATCCATCCCCTCCTCCAAGTTATCGAATTGTTAACCAACGAACGAAAGAGAGACCGAGTTTTTCAATCAATATCCATGTGTGTGATATTATCATTTAAATTCCGTGTACAAATATGAACGGATCTGAAGTTTGTTACCAATGCTATTAGTTAAATGAAACATATTTGCATCTTAAGCATTCCTCTAGGCACTTCTTTGTTAAATTGAATGCTCGTTCTTATCTCGCGATTACGACAAGCGATTTTAAATCAATAAAATCGTTTAGGTGGTCGATGTCTTCGCTGAAACGGCATCTATCAGGCGCGAACGAGCAAACATGGTGGACAATAAACAGCAATATTTGTTGGCGCATTTGGCGTTGGTGGAATGTTTGCTTATTATCCCAACTACTCTGCCGTGTAACGAGACGTTACCAACACGAATCAAAGAGTTGAAGAAGCAACTGCCGGTCCAACAGCAACGGTACTTTTCATCAATCGCTCAGTCTCGAAATTAGGTCCTTGTGCTCACTTGCAATAATTAAACGTGCGATAATTTCTAGATTACAGGACACTGCGTGGCAGGACGAGGCTCTACGACCAGTTACGTCTCCGTTGTCATTATCGGAACGTAATCGGGCGAAGAACAGATTCCCCGAATTGATTTCAGGTTTGTCCGAATCGTGCAAAAGTATTTTCGGAACTTTCGATGGGCAAATGCAGATCGAAATGTTACGTAGATTCGAGAAAATATAATTCTCTGTCTGTCTGATGATAATCTGTCTATTAATGTCTTGTATTAATGCTTGCCGTGCATTTAAAGAATATCTAAATGTCAAGATGCAAAAATAGATCGATATAGATAATTAAAAATGATAGTGATAATTAACATGATAGGAATATTGGAACATCGATAAGAGGAGTATTCGTTTAATTAATAACGAAAATTACATTTAGTTAATTAACGATCGTTAATTAACGTCGTTAATTAACGACATCGATCTATTCTCGTATCTTGACATTTAGATGTGCTTGAAATATACAGCGTATATTAATACAAAATATTAATAGCGGATGGTTAATCTGTGCAGATAAGGTGAGCAGAATATATTTGAAAAGATATCCGGCGTCGGACGAAGACAGCGATTATCTCTCCGCCGTTTATGTAGACGGCGTGAGACTTCAAAATCAGTATTTAGCCACGCAGCTTCCTTTGCCGTCGACAATCAACGATTTCTGGAGGATGATCGCTGAATTCAAAGTGGAACTCATCGTTATGCTACAACAGCCCGATCCTGAGGACTCGGTAAGAGACCTTCTTACTGTATGCGTATTGGTAAAGTACTGATAACATTTATATAATCTGCCTTTATAACTTATTAAGAAATAAATAATCACTTCAAATTTATAAATAATCCATTTTTACAAAACTCGGAAAATAAAATTGAAAGAGAATTCTTTTCCTCTTCGCGTCGGCCATTTCAGTCAGACAGAGATTGCAAGCATTTGCAACGGAGATGGTTGCAGACATGAATGAAGTGTGATCTTGAATTTTCAGAGCTGCTGCGCGATCGCTCCCGCGAGCGGCGAGTTTAAGCCGACTCCGTACTTGAACATTACGGCGAAAGAAATCGTAGAGTCGGAGAATTACACATCGCAAAAGTTGCTGCTCATTGATAATTCGGAGGTAGAAAGAATCGACGCGATCGCCGGACATATTTTCGTTTTCGCCATCGACCACCCAGCTTAACACGGCTTTTATTGCAGAAACCTCCTCGGGAGCAATCCGTGACCATATTATGCTGCACGGAATGGAAACCCGGGCGGAATCAACCACCGCCATCGGTCATGACGATGGTGACGTTCTGGCAAGCAACCGAGAGAATCGCGAGAGCCAGCGGACCCACTGTCACGCTTTGCCAGTAAAGTCTACAATATCGCTCGAACGACGATAACGCGTCGAAATGCCGCGTATTTTTGGAAGATAAAAACACGCTTTCTCCCTCCCCCTTACTATCTTGCTTCTCTTCGTTTATCAACAAGCAAAATCGCCGTGCGATGGATTGCAAAATCTTTTCAAATGACAAATTCTAGATAATTCGCGGGGGTGTGCGCTTATCAAGCGACGCTTTGCAAAACTGCTCTTATAAATAAATAATAAAAATCTTTCAGCGACGGAGTGACCGGGTGCGGTCTTTACTTAGCGCTGAGTTTTATGCTGGAACGAATGGCCGTCGAGAGAGAATGCGACGTTTGTTTGGCGGTGCGAGCAGTTAGACGATCGAGGCCGGATTTTGTCCGATCTGTGGTAAAGTATTGATTTTTCAGCAAGGCAAAGAACCGAGAAAAGTACACAACGATCAAAAGTATAATAAAAGTTTCGATATTCGTCGGCGCTGTGTGCTCGAAAATGAAATTCATCGAAAATTTCGAGATACACTGAAGAATCAGGAATTTTTTTTTAATTTTCAGGAATATCTCGAGTATCTGTACGACGCCGCGTTGACGTATCTGGAGTATTTCGAAACATACGCGAATTTCTCATGAGATAAGAATAAATTATTTAAATTAAGTTAAATTGCCGGTAAACGCTAATGCGTGAAACGGTAAACCATGTTTTATCTATTACAGTTTAATTAATGTAAAAAAAAAAATACCACAAACGCACAACACAGCCGTATACAACACGTATGCGATAAAATATCGACTTGTTTTATGTAGCAAGATAAGGCCTCAATTTCCTTCAACCGAAAATACATAAGATTTTGCTTGCAAGAGACAATACCGTGTTGTTTCCTTTTCTCAATTTCCTCGTTTTAACGTACGATCAAGGTAAACCGCTTTCGTTCCTATAGTTGGACCAATTAACAGCGCGACACACTCGACGACTACCTCACGATGCTTTGACTCACCGATGCGTGCAGATACGATCGATTTGAAAGGTTGCGCGTTCTACCGAAGAAAATTCGGAATAAAAATAGAAATCGAGACTGCGATCTTTCTCGAGACGTAAAATAATTCTGCCTCAAGAAGGATCTCGAATTGTCTTATAAATTAATATCGTGTCACGCGCGTGATACATTTTCTCTTGTGACAATACATTTTCTTTGTTCTTTAGTTAAGAAAAGAACGATAAAGAGAGACGCTTTCTTCGAGTCAAAGCGAGTTGCCTTGCAGCGATCGGTATAACATCACGACGCGCGAGTGTTTAGCGATTACGTTAAAACTTTTCTTTGAAAAGCGAGTCTGTGTGTATGTACTCACATGTCCGAAGTTTCTGTAGACGTGTTTTCAATCAGTCTATCCAACAAGGAACGCAAACATCGCAGCGTCGTTATCGCGTTATCAGATTTATTTGCACGAAGTGAATGATCCGCACGAAATTCGCGTAACAGCTGCAAAAATTCATCGTAACATACATTGCGGGAAATATCATGGAATTCGATTTTTATATATGTATATATATATATATATCGTCATAGATTGATCGTGCGGTTTCACCGCGGCCATTACAATTCAATAAAAATTACGCAACCTATTTCTATACAAGTTAACCTATTTCCACGAGACTCCCTTCGCAACGGCGATACAAAAGTTACATATTCTCTCATGAATCATAACTAGAAAGAGATACAATAAAGGAAAACCAAGAAAAATGAAGTTTTACGTTCTCTCTTGACCGTTTCACGCACGTTAAGATCTGTCAGTACGATGGAAAGGAATCATCGAGGATCATTGTTGAACGTCACACTCGTGAAGATCGCGACCGCGATATCCCGCGTGTGTGCGCTAAAATCGATGAAGAACGCGTTTTCAAACAGGATAATCGTACCGATGTGATGGTGATATTCCTCCCCGAGATCTTGCCCAACCGCCATGAACGACTCAGCGTTTCAACGTCGGCGACGACGTTCGCGCGCGCGGAAAACGACGGTATCATAGACCTGCCGATGACAATGTCGGATGCGAATCCGTCGTGTGCTTTTTAACGCGGACACCAGATGGAGCTGCTATCGCGCTAGCCGCTGATAAACAGCTCAAGCTACGGCAAAGAGACGCGAGCCGTCGCGACGACGCAAACGGTGCAACCTCACGTGCATTAACCGCTCGATACGCATCGCGATTGACCACGTGAACTCGTGTGCGACGCTCCAGGACCTCGAACTTCGACCCCGGGACACGGGCCTTATGGGCATTTGGCCGTGAAGGCGCGTGGAATTTCGTGAGAGGCGTCGCGACCGCGTAACAGCAGCAGCAGCAGCAGCAGCAGGTAAGAGAATACCTTGCTAGAGGCGTACGCGTGCACGATGAACACGTGGCGTCGCGACGATGTGTCGTGGGTGCGCGACGACCGAGCTCCGTGTCCCCGCTGACGTGATCGTCGGGCGTCGCGATGACGGTTGACAGCTAACGGCCAAACATGAGCGACACACGTCGCGCGCGACCCAAGGCCGTGTCCAGGGGAGACATGTTGCCGCTCCGTCTCGATCTCTCGAGACTCGAAGTCGCGCGAGCGACTTTTCGCGCGAGTGTTCGAACGAATTCGAACGCGCGGTCCTGCGCGCGTAAAGCAGGAGAGAAAAAGAGGAAGAGAGACGGAGCGCGCGCGCGCGGAATAGCGCGGAATGCGAGACGCGATCGAGACACCGAGACGAGCGGAAAGCCTCGTCTCACTTGTTGTTCTTTTTCCGTTATATAAGCGCTCTCTTGCCCCGCGAATGCGCAAACGGACGCCATCTCGGCCGACGTCGACTTCGGCGCGACTCGCTTCAGAATTCGAACGAACGAAGCGCGCTCGCGACTGTCGTTTTCGAATCGCCGCGACGCGACGTGTCGCGCGGATTCGCGAGAATGGACGGAGAGGCTCGGTGAGGAGTTTTGGTCGATTTTTCTTCCCCTCACGAGAACCGCTTGTCTCCGTTGATGTTCTCTTGATCTCTCTTTCTTTTTTCGCGGCATGTTTTTTCTCCTATTTTTCGTCAGTCTATTCCTCGAGTACTCGAGTGCGGAAGATGTGTAGCGTAACGGTATCGCGATATCAGATATCGCGCGGCTGATATATCGAGCGAAGTAGGTCCCCTAGCAGCACCCAACGGCCGGCACGTCGATGCAACACAATTTTGTCGCAGAACTCGGGATTTTGCGTAATAATCCGTCGGATATTTACGACCCGTCGCGCGACACGGTGCATACGCGGCTTTCGACTACGATCAACTATATACGCAGCGTATAGTGCGAGTTACACAACTAAAAGACCTTTACGTGGAAATCTCTGCATGCAGCGAGGGAGAGAGTTCAGTCGCGTTCGCTCGCGCCTCTCTTCCTGTCTGCGCTCTTTCAGGCAACAGCGATTTTTATAATTGCATATTGAAGTAATTTATAGTCAGAGAATTTAGTTTTGTATGGTATTAAGCACTGTTGTAACACGGCGATGATAAACTTATTGCATATTGCTGTTACCACTTTTTCCTCGGAACAACAAATACATATGGTTAGCGCCGAAGATAACTGTTGTTTATAATGAAATTAATTAAACAGTTAATTAGATAATTATTTCTCTCGTTGCGCTTTTGTTCAACATTTCGTGCTACGTCTACGAGATGTTTTTTCAAAATTAATTGCCTGTTCTCATGTTCCGACTGCCCGAAGAAGAAAGCCACCTTCCTTTTCATTCTCACTATCGCGGCATTATCGCATAATAACGCGTAAATAATAAACAGTGCTATATAACAGTGCACACGTTATGCAATTAGCTGTCGCTAACGCTCAAGCTTGATGTTTGCTCGCGCACAGTCGAAATTAGGGGAAACCGATTTCAGTCTGAAACCATTAACACGTCTCGCTTCGTCCTCGCGCAGACGGCGCGATACCATGCAATTGCGCCTAACTCTGACAATCGATCCGGCCGTGGCCCAAGTTGACAGCAATTTAAAATCGCTTTTACCCACGTAAAACGAACCGCCCGACCGACATCGATTACGATTAAGATTCACCCGCGGCGCAGGATCGTCCGCGCTCCTTCTCACTCTCGCCGAAAGATTCGCTCTTGAATCAACGCTCCTGACCGTCACACGAGAAAATGCCCTCAGACCACGCGATTACGAAAAATAAAAAATACGTCGGTTGATTAGATAAAGTCATAACTTGGATAAGCTTACCTCGTACTACCGGCCAGATTAGATTTTGCAGTAAAAGAAATGATGCGCTAAAGTAAATTCTCAGTCTGTTCATAGAAACAATTTTTGTTGCCAGAGTGACTAATTATTTGTTACAATAAATTCGTTGATACATAAATTTCTGTCGATGCAACAATAGCTATCACTTCACATACGTTTTATCTGAAAATTCTAAACCGCATCTTCCACCGGTTGGTTCCAGAGAATTTTCTTGTTCCTAGACTAACACATATATCGTGTCACGATATATCTGATTTCCTCTTGCGATATATTTAATTTCTTCAAACATAATTATCAGTAGCTCTGAGACTTAATTGTTATAATTGGACAGGGAATTGACTGTACGCATATTACAAATTAGCGAGGCTAGTAGTAGAAGAAAGTTTTCATCCAAAAGTTTTAAAAATACTTATAGCATAAGAGCTGGTGCTCTACAAGCTAGACAGTAAATTACGATTAACGACGTAACAATGTCATTCTCTTTGTGCGCGCATGAGGATACAATGTATGTACAAAAGAAAAAGGAGTAACGAGAGAGAAGGAGAGAGAGGAAGAGAAAACAATTGCTACAAGGAATAAAGAGATAACGACGAACAATCCCCAGTAAACATCATCGCCGAGGAATCTTCTAACGAAAAGTGAAGGCAGCGTCTTTTCAGGCTGGAAGATGTCGTCGGCGAAGAGTGTCAAGGTGAGCAGGACAGACCCTGCGAATCGAAGCTGGACGGCGAAGCCGATCGTAGGTTTCGAGTTCACGGAGGCTCCCAAGCTGCAGGAAGTTTACGTGGGTCTCCTGAAGCAACGGAAGGACACCTCCGCCGCGATCAAAAGCGTATCCGCCATCCTGCCGGGATTCCAGCATCTCAGACGTTGCTCCAACGGCAAGCTGCTCCTAGCTCCGCTCCGCTCGGACGAGTCGTCGCCGGCCAGCGGCCGCGACGACACAGTCAGCGAAGGTGAGCTGAAGAGCCGGCTGAAGGAGAGAGGTTTCGACCTCTCCTTGTTGGAGGACAAGTTCCAAGTGACGAAGGTGCCGGCCAAGGCGCCACGAACGAAGTCGCAGGCCAGCGAAGCTTCCAAGACCTGGCCGGTGAACTTTCACCCCGACGCGACGATCGAGCACTTGCTCGACGGCTCCGTTTTCGATGAAGGGAGCTTGCGCGCGATCGAGGGGATCATGTCGCTGGTGATAGAAGCCGCCCGGCTGGAGGCGGTCGGCGACGAGCGCTGCACCGGCGCCGCGGCGGTCGTCGATCCCGAGGACGGCAGGATCTTGGCCGTCTCCGCCGCAAGGCTCGACCGGCATCCCATGTGGCATGCCGCTATGTTGGCGGTGGATCTCGTCGCGAAACTCCACGGCGGCGGTGCGTGGCGCTTAGACGACGAGGACCGGCAGCGCGAGGAAGCCGCAAAGAAACGCACGAACGACGGGCAAGAAGCGAAGAAGGATGCGCCCGATGGCCAGCGGGCAGACTCGTGCGCGGTCATGAGCGAGGACGAGAAGCTGAGGACACGGCTGGTGAGAATCAAGAGGAGGTACGAGGAGGACACGCCGTTCTGCTACCCGAGGTCCTTGTCTACTCTGGCGTTTCCGCCTCGAACGTCCTTCGAGACTCAAGAGCCGCGGAAAGGACGGCGGAACAATGGCGCGAGGACGATGACGAAGGAGGAAGGTCGCGGGGCCGACGCACCGTGCGCCGGCAAGTGCGGGCCGTATCTGTGCACCGGCTACTGGGTGTTCCTGCTGACGGAGCCGTGTCCTCTATGCGCCATGGCGCTGCTGCACTCCAGAGTCGCGCGGGTCTTCTACGGCGCGGCGAACCCGCGCGTCGGAGTCTTGGGCTCCAGGGCGATCCTGCATACAATGCCGGGCTTGAATCACCGGTACCGCGTGTGGAGCGGTATCCTGGAGCGAGAGTGCCGGCGTGTGGCGGAGGAGCTCGACGTGCGCCGACGTAGCATCTGAATCTTGTCGGCCTGCGCGAGCCCGGCGAGGACGACCAGACGCTTCGAGAGTGACCATTCTCGCCGCGATCTCTGGGAACAATCGGCGACGACGACGCTGTCGCGAGGCCGAACAATGGAGAGGGCTAGCAATTGTCCGACGGACGTTCGTTCGTTCGCTCACTCACTCGTCGTTCCGCGGCTCGAGTTCTTGTGTAAAATGCGTTATTGTTCGTCCCAAGCGACATTGTGGCATTTCCACGAAGCGTTGCGTCACAACCGGCAGCTAGCTGCTCTGCATACGCGTGTATCATGAAAGGAATTCGTCCGTTAATCGAGGCAAAGCTCGAGCGGCGAGTAAAGCTGCCGGTTAACCCGGAAGAAAACGTCTCGAATGGCAGAACCTGCCGAGAAATCATGATATCGAAATTCGAGTAACAAGGCAATCTCCCGGAATACAATTTGCACTGTCACAATCTCGTCGCGCCGTCAGCGTCAGCTTCCGCTCACTTGAGCACAGCAAAAGATACGATCGAGTAGATATCCATTCGGAAAAATTGTATACTTGAGGAAAGTTGTACTCCGAGATATCGCTTCGATGTTTGTGTTTCGCTGTTACGACTTGTCGACAAATCGCCCTGGTCTTTTCATGGACAATGCGCGTTCATCGAGGTGTCTTCGGTCTATTCCTCGACACGGCCCGGATACTTTCCGACGTTCCCGATGGGACGATGATCCAAGCCAGGTGAATTATTACGGGAGGTCTGTCCCGGCGCTCGAATCTCATCAGCACGTCGATACGCCGCGATACGAGCAGCGATAGCTTAGATACCGTGGCGCAGTGCGCGCCACAACCGGTTTTATAATTTCAATCGAAAGCACGCAACGGCGCAAAAGACTTTACACGTGGTGCGGACGTGTGTCCAGGCCATTACGGCCGCCGTCTATACGCGCAACCTTGACGCTTTGACGCGCACGCCTGCGTTCCTGGCGCGTGCATGTGCGTCCGCATCTGCTCGAGCTTCTTGGTGTGCACGTCGAATTAACACTTGTGTTTGCTGTCACGCTGCGTGACGTGCCATCACTCCCTCTCTCTCTCTCTCTCTCTCTCTCTTTCTCTCTCTCCATCTCAAAGAGAAGAGAAGATTGTGAAAATCATTTCTGTATGTTCTTTTGTCTCGTCCACGACGACGACGACGACGACGACGACGAGGCGTGTTTTTCGGCTTGAATGAGCCGCTGATTGTGTGTGTGTGTGTGTGTCTTTAAGACGCACACGTGGCTGTCTTCGTCCTTTTGAGAGACTGAGGAGGGGAAAAGAGAGGAAAAAAGACAAAAACATCCGACACCGTGTCGAAAGAATCGAATCAATTAGCGGAGCTGCCAGTTCCACCGGCAGTTTCTCTGTTTGTTAACACGCGAACGCTCGCGCGAAGTTATCGATGAGGAACGTGTCGGAGGAGCGATTGAAAATTCCCGAAGAAAAAGACATCCTCGCTCGCAAAAATCCACATTGTCGACGAACTGTTGCCTACCGTGACAACGAGACGGGCCCGTGCGCATTCGATTATGTCGGTGCGCACCGCGCGGCGGCCGCGAATCGTAAATCATCGGCGTGATTTACACGTGTGCGCTCGTTCAGACGCCCGCCGTGACAGTCGACAGCTCGTTTAATACAGCGGCAAACATTCGTTCTCTCTGCGCGACGATAAACGATGCGCGCGCGCGCGCGCGCGCTTTTCTCATTCGCCGGCTATTTTTCTCGCGCGGATTTCCCAGCCCGAGCCGCGCGGCGGTCCTATTATCTCCCGCAGCGCGACGTCGTTAATTAACACGTTCATTGCCAAACTGAAAATTTGAATTTCGTGTGGTGGCCAAAGTTATTTTTTCTTTTATTTATTTTTAGTCGTTTTGTTGCACGATTGAACTGGCGTTGAACTGAGTCTTTTCGAGGGTCCTGGTTTGTCACTCATGATCCAAAACAATCGCGTGAGGGGCCGCAACACGCGATATCGCGTGAACGGCGATGAACGTGTTAAGGAAGGAGATCGACTCGGCGAATTCGTTCGTACGAACGCTCCGATATGCTGATAACACACGCGCGCGCATGCGTACTCAGGCAGCTTGGTCGCCGAAAACACCTGATATATGATTCTGCGATGCTACGATGATACGAGGAAACGAGATCGCGCCGGTGAGGTTTCTCCGGCGGGCTGCAGAGAGAGGATTCGCGCGATCGGACGCGGACAATTTGATTAATCGGACGAGATTTAATGATACCTGAGAGCACACGTCGCGCGACGTTTGGAGATTGATGATAATTAATCAACTGTTACATCAGCGGCTAGTAAGTTATGAGGGAATGCGCGCGCGCGCGCGCGCGCGCGTGTTAAGTATTAAGCATTTTCAAATGATCGGCGCGTCGGACAGAATTTGTTGTAATTTGTGCGGACGATGACAGTATTGTATCTCTGCGATTTGTACAAGCCAAACGCAACCAGTTCGGACGACCTCGTTTTCAGCGCGTTAAATTCGCGTCCGCCGATTCCGCCCGCAGATACTTTCCAGCGGGACACACGACGACTTTTGACATCTTTTTGTAAGAATAACATTATGATAATAAATGGGTCACAGTGAGTGCTGAAATACGTATCGCAAAGTATCATTTCTCGTTCATGTCGCTCCCGCCAGCTGTTTTCGCTGGCCGACATTGACTTTTCAGTTGCCGTATAAATGCGACTTCCGACGTCACGACGATCGTCGAGTGTAAGTAGGCGAGAGAGAGAAAGAGAGAATCCCATATCCGGGTCTCCGTGTCTCCGATGAAAAGAAAAAGAAAAAATGAAAAAGACGGAGAGCATCACACGCGCGCAACTTTGTTTATTGCGAGCCGCTCGCACATCGTGGCTCGTCACGATAAGGCCGGGTGAGCAGAACGATCGTGGTGGTCGTTGATCTCGAAAAAGTCCGCCGGATGCAAAGTGCAAGGCGACACTCCGCCGACGGCGGTTCTGGAGAGAGTAGGCGCATACAAATCCTCCGCTTAGGAGACATTATCGTCGGCTAACGCGATTTCCGAATGTCCGGTTGAATGATCAGTTTCCGCGGGTGCTCGCGTCGCGTCGACGTCGCGTCGACGTCGCGTCGACCTTTCGCGCTTGAACTTTCGCCGTTCTTGGAGTTCGCGCGCGAGACTCGCGTAGATTCGCGATGCACGAATTGTGCGCTAACGCGAGTGCATCGCGTCGGCGAATAGTGGTGCCTGTAGCGGCGCGTTTGCCGTAATCTCGAGACCGGCATTTTCGTTCTTGTCGATCGTTCAAACTCCCAGTTGCAAAGCAATCGCGCGACGATCGTGCGACGTGTGGATCCACTTGGTGGAGCACCCGCGAGCGAAGGAATCCCACGGAGGGTATCCCCTTGGAATCTCCGGATTCTTGGCTGCGCGTTCGCGCGCTCCAGAGGCTGCTTCTTGATCCGCTGCGGAGCGAGTGGCGTCCACACGCGACGGTGACCCCGCGGATTGACATCGATCAGCGAAACCACAGCTGATCCATTCCGGAGAGGAGAGCCGCTGCACGCTCGATTGTTTATAAAAGGAACCGAGAACGGGACGAGACGGGAGAAAGGGAGAGAGGGGAGAAATAAGGGGAAAGCGAGGAGAGAAGCTGACGTGATGGAGCGAAGAAATTGTGGATCGTAAATTACGAGACGAGGAAGACGATAGCGCGTTTACCCGACGATAGCTGATGAGGAGAGTTCGCACGATGAGTTGGAACGATGAACCGCGACGGTGGAAATTTTACGAACAGCGAAGTTCGTCACTGACGGATGTGGACTTTAACGGTCATTATGTTCACACCTGTTCGCTTATTATCTCTGTTATTCTTCATGCATGCGATAACAATAATTGCAGGGACTAGAAGACCATTAAAGCTCCCCCGATCCGTAGTCTTGACGTTTCTTTTCTTATTCGTGCTGTCAGCCGTCGTACATGACGCTCGTGATCCACCAACCGTGATCACGATTACGGGATACGGATAAAGAGGATGTCGCGAGGATCTGCAAATAAACGTGACGAAAACCGGCGAGAGCGAAATAGACGCCATCGTGATTGCCTTACGAAGCAACGAATACCACTGTCGCTTTTCTTGTTTCAGACTTTCCTCGAATCAAGTCGACGCCAGAAGTCGCCGAGGAGCGTGCGCGAGTCGGAAAATTTCACGGTAAATCGCGAAACCGATAGAGCGTGCATAGCAAACAACGCTAGATCTGCTCGACAAACAGAGCTCAGTCGAGGTGGTGCTCGAACGGTGAAATAACGTCGTCGAGAGGCGTCCTTCCCGAAGTCGACACGTGATTGACGACGACGACGACGACGACGACGGCGACCACAGACAGACACATCGGCACCTCGGCGTGACGTTAAGCGGCAGAAACGCTCGTGGAACAAAAGAGTGTCGACGTAAAAGAGCGTGTTCTTCCCGCCGAGTGTGCACAGAAAGCGAGAAGCTGCCGAGGTCGCACGGCGCGAAAAGCCACGATATCAGAGATAACGTTTCGAAACTAAATAATTCGCTCAGCAAACAGACAATTCTTACGACTCGTCTGCCGCGAGATTACGACACTGACGATTGTAGCCGCCGGCTGGCAGTCGCGAACTACGCCAATTCGCAAAGTACTGCTCGTCGAGGTCGCCTTCGTCGTCGGCCATCGTCGAGCGCTTCCGTCCTGGAGTCTCCAGCGCGATCTCGGCGGGCCGGCCGTGGGGACCGTGGACTCTCGGCACCCTCGCGGACGAGACCAGCGCGAGCTCGCCCGAGTTCCTTATAATTCGTACGCGCGCGCGCGAGCGCGCGAGTGAGCGAGGTCGCGCGTGTGTATAATAAGAGCAATAATAAAAACAATATTAAAACAGTCCGATAAAGTGTGTGCATCTTTGACGATCAGCAGCGCAGCGTGACGTCGCAGCTGATAAGTAGGACAAATAACTCAGTCGGAGCTGCTCTCCTTTCTTCGAATTTGCAACGTCTACAAGCAGAAGATAAGTTCGAGGCCGCGCAGATAAATTGGGAAGCTATCGCGACACCCGGAGCCGCGGAGCTGACAAATTCGAGGAGACCCGAGACCACGTTCGTGGTCCGTCGTGTGACCGTGCGTGCGAGTCTGTCCGCCGCTTCCCGAGGCACCGCTTCCAGGTGACGATCGCCAGGTGGCAACGCACAAATTCGCGACACACACAACGTCACGACAGCGCCGGACGAGGATAAAGGAATCGCGTCTCCGACGTTGATCAGCACTGAGTGGTTTCAATTGAGCGCCGACCCTCGCGAGCAGTGCTCATTGGCCAAGCTGTTAATTCCTCGAGGCACGACTGGAGCGGATCGCTCGCGGACGTTCCAGCATTCGCGTCGGGACCTCGAGTCATCGGACAATCCGCCGACCGCCATCCACCGTCTCGCCGAGCGCGCTTTGGTCCTTCTGGTCTCGAGCGAGACAGCATCTCTTCTTCGGGATCTTCAGGAGCCCGTGTGTGAACTTGAAGAAACCAACATCGCGCACGCTCGTGGATCCTCAGTGCTCGTGCACAGTGAACACTCGTCGGAGGGAACAGACCCGAGCGCGAGCGACCCGAAAGTCACTGTGAAGAGCGCAGGAAGTGCAACGTGCTACGAGTGTCCTCTCGTCCTCGCGCAGTGAGCGAGCCTCAAGATCCCGAGAAAGTATTCGTCGACGGAAGAAGAGATCGGCTAACGCCTCTTTCTCTCTCTCTCTCTCTCTCCCCTCCTCCCCCCTCTCTCTCTTTCTCTCTCTCTTTCTCTCTCTCTCTCTTTCTCTCTCTCTCTCTCTCTTTCTCTCTTTCTCTCTCTCTCTCTCTCTCTCTCTCTCTCTCTCTCTCTCTCTCTCCAGCATATTGTACCGAGCTTTCGAGGACTCCCGAGTGACGAGAGCATTCGAATCGCATCCGACTCTCTCGGCGACTGAATGGCCCAAATCTACTGGTTGTTGCTCTTCGAGAGACTCTGATAGTGTCTTCTCGCGCGAACGCAGCGGGAACACAATACTGAGAAGAGCTAGAAACGGCGAATATCGCGGGCGAATATCAGGGTCGAGCCCCTTCGTCCGGCCTTCGCGGGAACCTTCGCCTTGCTGATCCTTCTTCAAGGATCCAGATCCTTAGCCGCTATTCGTACCGTTTTGGGGAACGTGACCGACGAAACGGGACGCACCGCTGACGTCGTCCACCACGGGCCTCGTTCTTCCCTCCCAGGGGATCAGGTTCTTCTTTCGAATGGCACCATGGAGCGAAGGATCCTGAAAATGTGGTGACAACGGTCAGGCGAAGGCCTCCGATACCCAAGACACTATCCAGTGTGTGAGCCATAGTCGTTAGAGAGCGATCAAGCGGTCATTCGTGACGTCGAGCCTAGTCAGGCTAGAGCCGAGCAAGGCCCGCCGATTCGTACCGTTCGAGTTTTTCACGCAAAGAGGACCACTGGCGGCGTTGAGGGCTTCCCGTATCGCGAAGTGGATGTCCATCGCTAGCCCTGTCTTCGGGACGACAACCCAGCTGAACTGCGGCATTGCGGAGTCAGTGGTCGCGGCGTAGCCACTTGGAATCTCGAGCGCGAAAAGAAGCGCGAGTCGATCTCCTCGCGAGATCTTGATAAGATAATCAAGGTGTCGCGCGGATACCTCATCACCTCGGAATGTCTCCGGCTTCGCGGGATTGATACTCTCCCCTCTTGGATTCTTCGTCGCGGGGACGAGGTCCTTTTCGGTTGGTTCTTACGCGAGGAAGACAGGACATCAGGGAGAGGGCATCGCACGCTAAAACGCACCGAACAAGGTTAGCGGAGTATCATTAAGAATTCACACATCCAGAGACTACGATCGCCCGCCTAATGGCGCAAGTTCACAAGATGCTCGTTCTGTTCAGTCTGAACGAATTACCGCGTCCAGCTCTTGGCCAGGTCTCGACTCGGCGTTATCCGTTATCCGGTTGCTGAAATTTCAAATTCTCAATAAGCTGACGCGCTTTTCGCGCGAACATTCTTCCAGTCGGAGCAAATTGAACCTAATGGCAGATGAATCATTGTCCATGGATGTACACTCGTGGGCAGAAAAATTGTCTGTATTTTTTTGTGTGACTTTCGGGATGTAGTCCGTCTGATCTAATGGCGGAACTTGTTTCCCAATGGGGGGAGAATGACTCTTTTGGGCGAGAGGCGTGTGTTCCAAAAGCTGCGCAAAAGTTTATGGGCAATCTTTTTGTCCACGGCCGTATGTGTACGTGGAGAATACCACCCGGTAGTTCATGAGTCGCGGTCGAGTCGACATTACGGATTGCTGGCTTCGCACCGTTTGTCAATCAAAGTGTTGCCGCGTGTTACGTGATCAATTAGCTACGATCGCGCGCGCGTTATCGTGGTGCAAAAAGAAAATCGGTCGCAGCGTGTCTGAACTGCGTTTTTATGCCGGTCGCACAGCTTCCATTGGGACGTAATACGATAATACAGCGCGAGATATTATTCCCGGAAACACTCACGAGCAGCTTTTTCTTGCTGAAAACATCGCACCAGCGTTAATCATCGCGCGAAGGAACGGCTACATCAATGAGAGTAAACACTATTCAATCGATTCATTAATATCATTTTGAAACGCAGATTATACTGTCCTGTGTGAATTAATGCATTATTCATACTCGCTCGTGATATTAAGACGTAGACGTAGGTGATTAAAAAAAAAAGAATAACTTAATTTGTTTGTTATATCTAAGAACTGACGCGCATTCACACACACACACACACAGACTCTCGCGCGAAAAATTAATTTAGTTTAATAATCAAGATTTTATTATTATTATTATTATTATTATATATTCGCACAATAGTGTTGTTCAATGTTGTTGCACAATGTTGTTATTTCTTATCACTTGAACAGCATAAATTCTAACGTCACATTAATTCTCGCTTATGGCGATTGACGCGAGTCTCCAGTGAGTATAAATATTTTTCACGATGATTACACGATAAGATGCATCTAGGCGCAATATTAATGCAATCGATTTCGATCGACGATGTGTAGAGCCGGCGCATCCAATAATCATCGTGTTTTTCTCCTTTTGAAACCTGAATAAACAGAATAGATCGTGCCGGACGATCGCGCGGCACGAGGGGGGGGATGAATCTCCGTGGCCTCGGACGGCCACGTGCGCGATCGCGGCTAATTGCGCTCATCCACTTGAGAAAAATCATGGCGTCTGTTGTCCGCAGGAGGAGGAGGAGGTTCTCCGCCGAAACGGCAGCAGGTCTCCGACACAACTAGGAACAAGATGCGTTGCAGCCAAGGCGTGGCGATGGTATTCGAGGACGCGTTCGTCGTCTTTTCGCGTTTTTTGTCGCTCAAGTCGCGAGGCTGCGCACTCTTGGAAACGCACCGGCAGCGCGAGACCACCGGCATCAAGAAACTGTACAACAGCTTCTTCGTGATGTTCTAAGAGAGGCTGGCCAGCGCGCGTACTCGGCCCTGAACCACCGTAGAGGTCGGGTGATGCACCGTACGTCTCCGGGCACATCGAAGATCCGGGCCGAGGGAAGGGGGGGTGGTATCCACGTGGGCGCACAGCGGGACAGCGCGGTCAGACACGAGGGTGGTACTCGCGCAAGAGGAATGAGCACTCTTCGCGGCTGGGGGAAAGGGATCAGCCACGAAAATCCTCGGGAACGAAAAGCGCCGCTCTGAGATTCGGGATCAGCGCGGACTCGTCGCTCCTCGTCCGGCTCGTCGACACTCGAGCCGCGCGAGCTGCTACCAGCCACGAAATTTCATCTCTGACCCTCTTCATCGGATTAGCGTAGAATTAGCGGCGGGCTATATATCGTAACGAGGCTTCAAAGTTTTGTGAGTCGGAAGGCCCGCCGCTACCCTCTCTACCCTCTCGCGCGTCCGCGAGGAACAGAGGCAGAGAGAGCAGCCGAGCGCTCGTCGAGCAAGGTCGAACAAGGGTGCCCCCCTTCGTGAGCGAATATCAACCCCTTTCGTAGATCTGAGATCTAGGATCAACGTAGATACTCGTCTTGCCCGGAAATCCGCGCCGGCGGACGAGCCCGTTGCCGTCGAGTAATTTAGGATATAGGTGATACATACGCAAACATTATCCCTGAGGACGACCTCGGCACGGTCACGTGTACCCTGGGGATAGAAGGCCGTCGAATGGAGCTCCAACTCATCATGGACAGCGGCGCGGAAACTCTGAACGGGGCGATGTGGTTCGGCAGCACGTCGTCTCCGTCATACGAGCAGCTGTCGCCGGTTCGCTCGAACAGGTGTGACGTCGTGGCCGGGTCCCAACAGGTGCGTGAGTCAATGCGTGCGTGATACTATAAATCCGTTCTGCTATCTTCGTTCACGTCTCGTCGTTCACGGGCGGAACAAGGGCGCGAGCACCTTGAATGATGTCGAGAGACGGAGAGTTGGCGGATTTGATCTCGACTTTATTTCATTTCACTTCCACGCCACTTTAGCACCAATTATGAAGTAGTGCCGATTCATTCTCTTCGACTCTCTCAACGTCAGCGAAAACATGTAAAAATGTTTTTGATTTTTGGAATTATTTTTCTCGGAATTAACGCGGTGACGTGTCAAATTCGAGTCACCTCTCGCAGCGAGAGAAGTTCTCCGTTCCAGAAACAAATGACCGGACTGCGAATTAACCCTTTGTCCTACCCGCTAACTCCCGATTGCTCGGGCCACAATAAACAAGAAGGTCGGTCACGCGTCGAGCCATTTAGCTGTTTAGCCGCGTGCTCGAACTTGCGCAAAATGTATGCGTCTTATGACATGCTCGTATATTTCGGCGCAACGAAAGGAATTATCATCGATATTAGATTTTCTTTTTACTGACATGATAGGTATAAGGGTTGTTTAATTCTTTCAGGGAATTATAACCTAAACGTGTGAGCGTAACGAAGAATTGCACGTAACTGAAGTAAGAAAATATCGAGAACAACTGAACCACGAGTCTGACTGATAAACTGTTGTTTATGTTTGGTCCGAACGAAGTACCACGAGCCAGGCTCGTGTTGTTTACGTTTGTTCCGAACGAAGTACCACGAGTCAGGCTCGTGCTCATTGTTTTTGGCCGAAATTTCTTACCACGAGTCTCACTCGTTGTTGTAGGACAAGGGGTTAACTTCGTGAGCTCTGCTGACCGATAAATAAAATCGCGATTGACGCCTTGAAAGGACACTGACTCTGATTGTGAAATTCATTAAATCGACAAGACAAAGTTTCCGGTGTCTCTGCGACAGTCAACGTGTTAGTGATTACTAATCCGCTCTACTCGCTTCCTTCTCGACTCGTGATTTTAAAGACGATCGTGATATCGACATTGCAGACCACAATGGGATATCACAGCCCGCAAAATTCTCTGTGGCAAGACAAGCATAGCTCGCCGAAGGGCTCGCCGGCTGCCGGTGATCGGGTGCACCTGAACGGCGGCTCGCCGCAGCAGCTCTCGCCCGCCGGCTCCTCCCTGAGCTGCGAGCAGAACAATTTGAAGCGTCGCTCCGCGGAACCGTTGCAACACATCGTGGAACTCGAGAAGAAGCATGTCAGAAGAGACGGTTAGTATCTCCCGCACCCGCACCTGTTCACAAATATTTGCGCGCTAAAAGCATTTCGCACGCAACGCTCTATAACGCGCGAATTTATTTGATCTCAGTTTAGTAGCGCTTACCGATTTGTCGCGCTTTGTCGTGTATCGCGAATCTAAAAAGAAACGGCGAATTCGTCGCGCACACCGACGTCCACTTGGTTCTCGTCGTGCGAGACCCACGTCGTTAATGTACTCGGCTGCCACGGGCGGGACTTGATAATTTACTCATGCGTCATATCGGCCAGCCGCTACGAAAAGGAACAAACGAACTCTCGAGGAATGCGGTCTCTCTCGTAGCTTCTTTGCGTAGAAGATCTTCTTGGAGGAAGTAACTGCTCGACGATCGCAGCACTGATATCTAGAATGAAATAACAAATAACCGGTTATCGACGCCGAAATCTTGGCAAGGCAATGCAAGACTTGATGCGAAGTCCTTGCAAATTCTGGATCGATAAGAGGATCCTTGAAGAGTCCCGATTCGGCTGTTTTGACAAAAATGAAATTTATCCCACAAGTGTGCGTTGTAATGCTTGTTCGTCGTGTCGAGTTTCCTCGGAATCGCAAGGAAACGTCGATGAGAATTTGGAGCTACCGTAATTTTTCGAAATATCCGTAGCAAGAAAATCTCGAGTTGCGACTCGCACCCATGAAAAATGTTTCGCGTCAATGTGTAGTGTATAAAGAATATACTCGTAAATGTGCAACAGCGCAAAGTCGATCGTCACTATCGTGCGGCCGTTAACGTAGATATATCTTCTTCTTAAAGGTCGTGGCCGAACGACCTCTCGAGCACTGTCGTAGCCACAACGGTTTCATATTGCCGCACGATTTACGCATTTTTTCTTCACTCGGATATGCGTGTAAAAACAATCCGACGCTGATATTTGACTTATTGGAGGCAAATTTATTTAGGAGCGCAGCACGACGCGACGAAATTCCCGACGAGCCTCAGGATTCGCGGCAATCGAGCTCGATTGCGTATCGCGGAGTACGCGCGATACCTAAAATATACGAGCGAGAATCCGCCGACTCTATCGACGAAATACGGAAAGAGGAAAGCGAATTCGAGATTACTCGCTCGGCATCGTTCGTGCGATACTACCATTGTTGATTAGCCGCCAAGGTCCATGGACGACGGTGCAGCGTCGGATCGTGCGATTCGGATGACGTCGCATTGCCGAAGACCACCTCACGACTGGATCAGTAAACTTGTACGTACGCTCGGTCTTCTTACGTCCGACGCCTTTTCGCCCACGTGGTCATTGCGGCTGATAACTCGAGTACACATACATGCAATATATCGCAGATTAGCTCGGCCGGGGGAAAAGAGGGAGAGAGAGAGAGAGAGAGAGAGAGAGAGAGAGAGAGAGAGAGAGAGAGGAAGAACGGGAGATAGATGGAGAGCCCGAGAAAGAAAGAGAGAGATAGAGAGAAAGAGGAGTCTGATACAAGCCTCGCCATATTGGCGAATCTCCGTGAAGGTGCACGTAGTGCGAGTTACGGTGGTGTATTGCTGCCCAGGTGATCCACGCCGCGGCTAAAGTAGGATGAAGTGGTGTGAGGTCGACAGATCGAGGGTGTCGTTGCTGCAGAGTCGACGTTATCCCCCCGTTGCCGCCAAGAACCGACGCCGTCACATCGTCGATCAGCAGCAGCAGCAGCAGCAGCAGCAGCAGCAGACGAAGGACAGGCCGGTCGCGATGCATCATCAGTTCCATGTCGGTTACAACGGCGTGCAAGGCGGTACGAATGTAAAGAGATACCACTGCCGCACACTGCGGCAATGCCGACGTGAATGCCGACGTCTTGCGACCTGGAGAACAGTGATACGAGCAAGTCGACGAGTTTTGCGCACGGTGTTATGCTTTGTAATTCTTCCTGCTCTGTAGAATGAAAGAAGGCGACGAAGGAATCTCGATTCTGCTTTGGGCGCGCGGATTGTTTCTCAAACTTTGGAGAGACGAACGACTCTCGATGTCGCTCGATTGTAACGGCAAACAAAAGAAGCAATGTTGAGTGCTGAGGCTACGAGAATAGAAAGCAAAAATGTTTAAAATGCCGACGATTCAACTTTCGGATCGAAATCCGTTCGTGTAGTTCAGCTGTTTGAACAGCTCGTTACTTGTTCTTCGAGAAGACGGAAGGTGGAAATTTATAGCGTTCGCGTGGTTTCTGTTTCAGGATCCATCGGAAGCAATGGCTCCGGTCAAGGTTGGTCCACTCAAGTAGAGGAACTGGCGGAGCACCTCGCCGCTGATTTCGATGGATCGTTATCCGCTCTCGCGGCGTCCGATCTTGCAACAGCTGTCGCCTCTTATAATATGAGGTAAGTGTTGCACACTCTGCAGCGAAAATTCATTTGCAACATTCACACGATTCTAGAGAAACGTGATGATCTCTGACCCCGCTGTTCCGTTCGGAGATATCCTTGGACCACTTTTCAGTCCTAAGACACACACAGTTCCGCAATCGCTGTTCCTATCATTACGTAACCTCATAACTTGGCTGTTTGATCTTTTCTGCCCGTGTAAAAAGGTATCGATGCGATACTAAGGAGAGATGTATTTTATATATTTAACTAAAATTATTTTGGAATGTTCAGGTGTCTGTTCGCGAAATTCGAACGCACATCGAATATGTACAGTAAGTAGCGAGCGGAACAGCGGGACTAATTCAAAGACACGAATGTTGGAAATGAGGAGATTGCTGAAAAGAGAACTCCGGATCCCCAACCAATTTTCACGGGGGGGGGGGGGCGAGAGGAAATCAGTACGGTATCGGTACGGGTCGTGGAATGCATCTCAAGTATCACGGTACCCTCCTAAATGCATCCCCGTCCGCGGGTAAAATATCGCTCTCGCGACCGGTTTCGCGGACCGCTGCTCTCGATGACAGAATCGTCGAGAGTTCTCCGTCGATAGCTGCCGTTCCGAGGTATGACCGAGCGAATGGTCGGTACAGAAGGCCGCTGTCGCCAAACGAGATCGAAACCTACCTACACGGAACGTGACAACGAGCTGATCTAGAAATCCGGTTCAAACTGGCCCCAGTTCTTGGCACTGCGTCGTGCAGGCGACACGCGCGATAAAATCAAACCGGTCGGACCGGTGAGCACGGGAGTGTCGGTCTGTAACGTGCACGCACGTGCGTAATTATTCGCGAAACCCGAACGTGGAGCGGAGAAGGAGCGAGCGAGAGAAGCTTCGGTGAATCTCATAAAATCTCATACGTCTTTGTAAATTGCTCTAAAATATATCAGTTCTATAATTGGCATATCATTCATCAGATGATTGTGTACGCTCAATGTCCGGTTAAAATTATCCAAGGATCAGGAGGATATTGAAAAATTGTCCTTTATAATGATTTGAATTTATGCTGTGATAGTCAAAGCATTTCTAAAATTATAGTTTGATTTCATTATGATATTGTCTAATCAACTCTGTCCAGTTTGATAATTTACATTTATTTTAAATTACGTTCATCCATTCTTTCGCATTTTGCATTATGTTGTGTTCCTTTTTATCATTCTCTTCGGAAAACAAAAGGAAACGACACAAGAGGTAATTGTAATTAATGCGCTCACGGATAATAATTTTATTTCTTATTGTCGTACATTGTCTCTATATAAATACGTTGATGGGCTTATAATTTAGTAGTATAAAGTAATCACAATTAAATATTTCGTGCAGAATTGTGCATTAAAATCTATTATAATTATCATTTTGGACGTTTTTAATTTTTTCGAATAACAACAATGATTTCCGATAAAATTTCAACAATTTTGGCGACATAGTTTAATATATTTCTTGCTTATTTTATAGTAACACATAATATAAAAGCTTCCAAACCAATTTCCACTTATTGAACAGGAACTTTTTCTCTTTTACAAACTTTTGTTGGATTGAACAGGAACTTTTTCTCTTTTACAAACTTTTGTTGGATAAATTGAATTATAATAAGATTAAACAAAAAATTTATATGTGATTTTCTCTCTGCATAAATAAATATCGCTGTTGAATCTTTTCCTTATTAAATAGATGAGTCTATAATATATTGAAAATAATAGATACCGGAAATATTTGCAAAACCTTTATGTAAAACCATATGTACTGTGAATTGCGAGCAAAAGCATTATAAATTTTTATTTCTGGACAGTAAATATCGAGGACAGCAGCAACGAGTCGATATAGTCCTTGTAACACATAATGTTTCTATTCTCTGTTTGTTTGAAACTTTAGTATTCTCAGGATATCAGGATATCCTCTTCATATTTGTATAATTTCGTCAAAATCTCGAAAATGAATATTCATAACAATTCGGAATCTTCCCGACTTTGATTACCAGAGATTGTCGCCAGCTTGTTGAATAACATCATTACGAAATGTCGCTTGACCATGAAGAGACTCTTGGCCGTCACAGCGCCTTTTTTTACCGAGCTGTCCGGTAAAATAATTACAGGCAGGATCTTATCTTTGAAAAAGCAAATTACTTCGACAAAAATGCAGTTTGAGCCAGTTTGTTCTTCCACATTTTGGATATTTGGTCACTCTTCACTGTTATTCGGAAAAATTAAAAAGAATCATATTGTTAGCGGTTATTTTATATTGTGACTTTACAAGTACAAATAATTCGCAGTCTGACGATATAGGATAATCGCAAAAACAAGATCATAAAACATACAGGCAGTGTTGCGTCCACATGTGCATAAGTAATAATTAGATCAGTTTAATGGAGTTTTATCGCGATATGAGCACCGCCAATTCCTCGTGTTTGCGTGACTATCATTCCTTTTATTCTTATCTTTTCCTCCAAAAATACATAAAAAGACCAAAAGAGGCAACTTGTGCTTACATGCATTTGCACGCAAACTTTCCGCTAAATGCGCGCCTCGCGATCGATTGAAGTAATCTTTTCAAAGTAATCTCTCGCGCGCAACTCACATATCTCCATTGCGGGCGGAAACAATTTTCGCAGTTGGAGACACCATATCCGGATCGGGCCGCCGAACTCGACAAGCCGTCCGTATCAGCTGTTCCCGTCGCCGTTCGCGCGTCGGAGATGCACTCGCGATGTACGAGAAAAGAGAAAAAAAGAAAGAACGGGAACGAGGCAGACGTGTATCCGTTCGTGAATAAAGACACGTCACGAATACGTCCAGCGTGGTTCAAACCGGTACGGAACTGGCTGGCGTACCAGTTCGCGAGTGTACAACCGGTTTGTTCCCGGCCGCGTAAGTTGACAGCCGGTCGCGGACTTCCTAAGAAATTCGAGCCGCAATTACCCGTGCTCGTACACCGAGATTCGTCATACCGCCGGTCGAGAATCGTTAGACGACTCCTTAGCAACACAGAGACAGACCGCCTGATTGTCCGTGAGTTGCAGTGTATCGGATAGATATAATCGCGAGAGCGTTGCACGGGCATACATCGCATCGCTGTAACACAGCGAAGGCGGCTCTAGGGAGCCATTCAATGATGCTTTAGAATAAATCGGGACGAGACCTAGGAAAGGAAAGGGATCATTCAGATCAGTCGGACAAATAATTCAGATTAGTCAATTCGCAAGTTTGTCCGCGAACAAAGTGATCGCTTAATCGCAAGTAGAGAAATGCGCCAGTATGTGAGACACGGGTGAGCAGAGCACATCGCCTCTCTGACCCCGTGTCAAATTTTTCAAATAATTCTTTCTCCTTCCCGGGGGAGGGGGGGGGGTTATAAGCAAGGTGGCGAGAATTTTAGCCGCCGGACGAGGAATTTTAGCGAGAAGTGTTTGTTCATCCGCGCTGCAACGAACGGCCAGCTGTTTCGTGGCGCGTCTACGCGCACGTCGTCGAGTCGCGCATAAATTTCGGGGCGGATATCGCCCGATGGTATATCGCGCGCTGTTATTTCATACCGATTAAATCCGTTGTATCAGCGAACTAGTTCATTCCGGTTCGCGCTGACCTTACTGACTCACGTATTATCGTAGTAGTGGTTCTCAAATTATTGTTTCGTTATCACGTACGAGTCCTCGTTCGCGGTGTTTCGCGTGACCGAGGCCGCCGTCGACTTTTGATCTTTACGCAAGCGCGCGTGATCGTCGTTTTGCGTCAATGTAATTGACGTACTTAACGGTGACATGGCGAAGAAAAAAGAAGACGGAAAGGGAATAACACGAGGGAATACGAGGGAGACCGGTTGAGGTCTTGCCTGAAATTTTTCTTCCGCGTAAAACGCCGCCCCTCGATGGCGCTCCACGCGTATCATACGCGGATGAAGAAAATCACGCAATTACGAGCAAAAGAAAGTTGCCAAATACGGTTGCCAACTCCGAGCAGAATCGGAGAAGTCTCTGCCAACTCTTAGCCGAAATTTCTCTTCCCTTCCAGCGAAGCCCTCCTCGCTTTGCCGTCGTTAACCGTCTTCAAGCAGGAAGCGCCGTCGCCCGAGAACCAAACCAACAACCCCAAGTAAGTCGACACTGATTAACTTTCCTCAGGTCGAGCGTCCTCAGGGTCGAGAGCGAGTCAGGCCAGCCGCCGACAGCTTCGCGCGATTAAATTTCACATCAATAGAATGACATGATTCGATGAGGCTCTCAACTCTCAATGAAATTAAATAAAAGCTGGTGTCGTCGATCCGACTGAACGCGCGTATGCTTCCCTTCCCTCCGGATTTGCTCGCTCGATTCATTTATGCGCGCGACGTCGTCGTTCCCTCCTTCGCGATGATAAAATCGCGCTGGCCGAGTGACAGTAACCGTACTCGCGCGACGATAGTAATTGGATTTACTACGATTACGCGAGAGTAGTGGTCGAAAACGACCACGACGATCCTCCGCTATCTTCCGGGGGCAGCCCGGCGACGACGGGGGGGTAAAAAGTATTCCGAGCGGAATTTGCCGCGCGGCTCCCCCGCAGAGACACGGTCGCAGATAAATCCGCTATCTTCGCGCTCGGCTTCGCAGCGGTTATCGAGAGCGCGAGCCCTTCCCACCCGAGACATAGATTTCTCTACTCTCTTACTCGCGTTTATCGTGCGCCGCGTCAAGTCAAGTTATTCAAGTCCCCGGTTATTTCGCGCGCGTCGTAAAACGCTAGTCGAGCGCGCGACGCGATCAATCGAGAAGCGTGAATCGCGGATTGATATCTTAGCCTGTGTGTGCGTGCTTTTGTGTGTGTGTGTGTGTGTGTGTGCGCGCGCGCGCGCGTGTGGTGCGTATGTGAGTGAAAAAGACTCGAAAAAGACACGTGATACGAAGACTTAACTGTGCGCAAATGGTGCGCGCAGGAGAAGAAATCGCACGAGCGAGTCCTCCGCTTTGATGAATTATGGCACACACGGAGAAAATTTCTGGGTGTTGGTATCTGGAAGATACTAACATTTTTATATTGAAAAACTATCACAGTAGCTTGCTCGGTTAGAATATACTCATATTATCCGAAACACTCGAACGTTGGAAAACGTTCGAGTTTAACGGGTGATACAAATTTTCACATCGAGAGGTATCGGTTTTCTAAAATTTTTATACCGTTGCATGTGTTTCGTAAAATTGAAGAGACAAGCGGGACGAGTTATCGATGAATAGTCGGTAACGTATAAATTTGTACTTCGGCGTGACTACATCCGTGCGACTACAGCACGGCGTGGTCACTCGATAAATATTTTCTCCGTGTAATCGCGGCGCACAGTCACGTGTGGAAGCGACCGGAAATTGTCGCGCAGTTTCTTTCTTCTTTTTCCCATAAACGACACGCCAAATCTCCCATAGACCCCGCACCTTACGTCGACACGCAGTAGCGCGATAGGACGTAATCTGGCGAGACTGTCGACGGCGAGTTGACTTTCACTCGCGCGGCCCTGCCATTTTCCGCGATTGGGCGGAAATTTGACACGGCGGGGCTCGTACAGGAAATCGTAGTGTGAGCGCTGGACTCCTTATCTAAATGCAAGGTTGTTCAGTCGCGGCCGGGGAGGGGGAGTATCTCGCGGTGGGTAGTGTCGCGTGTATCGTGCGCGAGCCGTCGTATCGATGTGGAGCGATGTCGAATCGAGAGGTCGTCTCGTGATCTTGTTGCTCCGCGGGTGAACAGTTGATTATGTAAAAGGTGCATCTCCGCCTGCCTGCCTGCCTGCGGCCGGCCGGAAAATCGCGTCTCGCGAGTAGCTGATTAAGCTGACGCGATGAGATAATTCGCGCGGAGTGATGCGTCAGAGTGACTTTCCACTCGCGCTTCACGCTCCTGCGAGTGCGACGTGTTGATCGGAGAGAACGCTGCGCGACGCGACGTGAGGAGATGTGATCTTGAGATCACTCGAGACCGGTGTGACGCGGTGCGAAAATTTAGTGCTCGCGAAGGACCCCGTGACACGATCTTTAGCCCGATCTACCGCAGGCAGTCCGCCAGGCAGAATGAGAACGCCCACGGATCTGAACGTCTCGTCGTCCCTCTTCTTGAATCTGTAGTGAGTGGTTCGATACTTAGGAGCGCTCCGACCGCTCGCCCCGCGCCGCGCGAGTGCGTTTCTTACGTTTGCCGTTCTCTTCATTATTCCAGTTTAAATCACGTGTCGCAAAGGGCGATCAATAGCGCGGCACCGTCCAACAATGGGAACGTCGGCTCCGTCGAGACTGACAGCAACAATAACGGCCAAACCGCCGCCAGTCTCCATCAGCTGTTGTATTCCTCCAGCGAGGACTACCAGCCGACTTCGTCCTCGGCCAACCACGTTTCCTCCTCCCAACAGGGGAACGAACTGAACGAGGACTGCCGGTGCGCTATTAATTCTTCAAAACTATGCGATATTAATCGAGACGCAACCACGTAAGAAATCGTACGATCTTTACCCGCGTACCGTTCTTGACTCCTCGTGATCGGAGCAGCATGATCATGAAGAGGATACGTAGCTGCTGAGACCGTGCAAAAGAACACGCGGAAGAGGCGTTGTCTGTGTCTGTGTCGCGTGTACGCTAAGTAAGTAGATGCGGTCGCTTCACGTTCGCCGTAGACACGTACGACGTGGCGCGGCTGCGGCCGCTTCTACTTGCAACGTGGCGCTCACAAAGCTCTGGTATGCTGCAAGCGTGAGATTTTGGAGAAATCATTTTATCACGCGCGAAGAAATTCGCGCATAAAATCCGCTCTGATTTTTCTCCCGAAATGTCGAAATTCGCAAGGATAACGCAAGAATCGGTGATTCGCGTATGTCGAAAAGTGATATCCTAGGAGGAGATCTAAATGCAGAATTGTACAACACGCGTTGAGATTTTCATTCAGAACATTCTCTCGCGTATCTCACGGTGTTTCGGAGCAAGGTACTTGCTCATTAAGTAAGATAGACGAAATGAACTTGGAGCGGTTGTTTCAACCTCTCGGAGGCTGACCGGTATCGACGACGAACACTTGCGGGTCCTCCATTGTTAGTCGAGGGAACACCTTTCGCGTATCATTCCGCCGGTGATTGATACAATTAATTGTATCACGCGAGGTTTCCTATATCTTTAGCTTTCAGTACGTCCTAGCTGCCGCTACCAGCATCGCCACCAAAGTTAACGAGGAAACGCTGACGTACCTGAACCAGGGACAGTCGTACGAGATCAAGCTGAAGAAATTGGGTGACTTGTCCGCCTATCGCGGCAAGATCCTGAAGGTACTTCGTCACACCTTTGAATGCAAACGATCGCTCGTTTGGACGCTTCTAATGTTTGGGTAGCGGCATCTTAAAAAACGCTTTGGTAGTTCCTCACGAGGTGAGCGAGCGAGCTCACGCCGGCGGTCGAATCACCGACGGGACTCACCGAATTAACTTCTCGTCGAGTTGAACTCTCTCTCTCTCTCTCTCTCTCTCTCTCTCTCTCTCTCTCTCTCTCTCTCTCTCTCTCTCTCTCTCTCTCTCTCTCTCTCTCTAGTTCAATGTCCGATCGATCCTCGATCGGGATTCGGTGTTCGGATTATTCTGCTCGTCCTGATTTCACTTGATCTTCGCGCAAAACTTCCGAGTAAACATCGCCCGCGAGCGGTGTCGCACGTGACTCGAGTGCTGATATCATAATAATTGTCGAGGCGTGTAACACGGCAAACGGTTGCATCCAGCTGCGGATATCCTTGCTGACTGCACTAATAACGCACACGGCCGAGACTCCGCTTCTCCTGCGGCGGTCTGCTGGCTGCTGGAGATGGCACGGGAATTACATCCACAATTGCATTAACACGAATTAACGCGATCGGCGTGAGCTCTCACGGGTGTCCACGACGTTCGAAAGATGTGAGTCGCCCAAACGGTGCTACAACGTCTCTGTAGGGACATCCGGGCTTTCTGTTCCAGTCGACGATACGTATTTGCTTCCACGAGCGACGGCTACAGTACACCGAGCGGGAGCAGATGCTGGCCTGGCAACGCGCTAGGCCGGGGGAGAGACTGCTCGAGGTCGACGTGCCCCTCAGCTACGGGATGGTAGACGTCTGCCAGCCGTCGCCGTCCAACAACAGCGTGGAATTTATGTGGGACCCCACGAAGGAAGTCGGCGTCTACATCAAAGTACGCATCTAGATCCCATTGACTCCCCTGATGGGCAGATTTTTTTTCCTCTCGCTGTCCTTAATAAATCGCGCAACCGGCCCGTCGCCGTCAGGAACAAGAAACCATCATAAAGAAACGTTCCTGTAGCCTGAGGCGAAAGCCTTGCCAATTGCGTGGCTCTGGGCGCTCTTGTTGATCTGGCCTTTAAATCTTTAAACTCTAAATATAGAATACACAGGCGTGTCCGGGGTCTTATGGAAAGAAAAAATTGTGAAGATTAGTCAGATCAAACAGAGAGAGGAAAAGTCAAGCACCATTTTGCAAAAATCGCGATAGTCATCAAGTTATTAATGATCGAAAATGACCGGAGTCTAGAGGCTCTTTTAATTGATAACTTGCAAATTTGCGTACGTAAATATTTGTAAAGTGGTAAAGGATTTTTTTGTCCAGAATTATCTAATCCACAATTATATGGCGGTTATTGTGTCTAGCGATAGATATGAATATATTGAACTTTGAGCCCTGAATTTTGAACCTGTCAAATATATATATTATATTCGATATATGTACATATATTCCACATTGAAAGTTGAAGTATCCATATTGAGAGGCCGAAATAATAAAAACGCCCAGAGTTAACCGCGTGTCTGAGCATCGGTATTTTTACCTTAGATCCCCTCGCCTGCAGATCTTTCGGAATAGATTTAGCGAGAAATACCGCGGCGATTCGATCATGCGCGCTGCCACGCTCTCGCGATTACTGCACAGACGCCCGTATTGTCCTCCGACTAGGTGAATTGCATCAGCACCGAGTTCACGCCGAAGAAGCACGGTGGCGAGAAAGGCGTGCCCTTTCGGATCCAAGTGGAGACCCGGCTGCCGGGAGGGCCGCGCTTGCACGCTGCCTCGTGTCAAGTGAAAGTTTTCAAATTGAAGGGAGCGGACCGCAAGCACAAGCAAGACCGCGATAAGATACTGAGACGTCCGCCTCACGAGCAAGACAAGTATCAGCCCAGCTACGATTGCACCGTTCTGTCCGATGTGAGTTTACGCGCGAAGGAGCGTGCCTCCGCCGCGCGATACGCGAAAATATTCAAATTCACCTCGATCTGGCGGCGCCTTCAATCTCTTCCCTATGATTTCTGTCGCGCAGATCCCCCTGGAGTCCTTGTCCCCGTCGAGTTTGGCCACGCAGAACGGAGGCAGCCCGTACGCACCGACGGATGCGATGTGAGTCGATTGTCATTATGCTTGTTATTATGTCAGTATCGCCATTGCGATTGTATCATATATCACGCGTCTCGCTGGCGCCTCCTCGTCTTTGCGCTCGGGGAATCGAGGAAGCAACGGAGAGAGAGAGAGAGAGAGAGAAACAACGTCGGTGTCAAACGCGTTGCGCATCGTCGTGCGAAAAGTTGCGGCAATCGGGAAGAGAGCGAGTCTTGTGCTCGAGCGGGAACCTTGAGGACACGACGACGGGCGGCGCGCTGCATACAAATCGCTCGATACAATCGCGGCGAACAGGTACGATCGAGGTAACACGCTCCATGTAATAATATTATTGCCGCTTCGTGTGTGTCGCTCGCGACTGTTATTCCGAAAGCGGTGATGCTCCGATTTCGAGCAAACTTGCTGAAAAGTTACAGGTTAGGATGGAAGATTATGAGAGGATTTTTGGCGACTCAAACGTTAAGTGGTTTTTTTGAACAATTTTAAGCTGAGCAGTATTTTTATCATATTTTAGAGATGTGCGAACTATTCGAATTCGAATCCGAATTCCTATGATTCGAATCCGAATAATTCGAAAATTTCGAATCGAAGATTCAATTACGAATAAAATATATTAACGTGCATTATATTTACACGCATCAGGTACAAAACGAGCCATCTGGGCCTGTATATTTGAACCCTTAACTTGTAATTAACTCAGCTTATAATTAATAACTTAATTACAAATTACTTTAAATATTTAAATATATATTTTACTGTAAGATGATATTACAATATCAATATCCCCTTTCATATTAAAATCTTCCATCATTATGTGCATGTTTAATAGTCATGTTAAATTTTTTAACGATTCGATTCGATTCGAACTCGAATGAAATTTCGTAGATTCGATTCGATTCGAATTCGAATTAAAAAAATGAGATTCGATTCGATTCGATTCGACATAAAAATTCTTGATTCGCACATCTCTATCATATTTTATATCATATCTTATATCTATTTTATGTCTACGATTCAAAGTTGACAAAGCGTAGTCAACAATCGCGTGCGTAGTGCTATTCACTGTACTAGTATGTGCATTCGTGCATTATGCATATTTGTGACAAGGGGAAGGCGGACGGAACGAAGGGTAGGCGGGCGAGGTGGGGAGAGGCGCGCGTAGCGCGCCCTGCTAAACTTGGAAGTTACGTATTAGATCAGATCATGCGTGCTGCACTGACCAAAAAAGTTTCGTAAATGCGTAAGTTGCAAGTGCGTTTAGCACGGCGCGTTACGTGCGCACCTCCTCTTACTTCCAATGTCTCCTTCCTGTCCGCGCCAGTATATTGAGTTGTAAAAAATCTTTTTGGAATTTTTTTTTTATTTTCGTTGCCGCCGATTGCGTTAATCATGTTTAAGTTTTAATGCGTGGACATAAAAAATATGATGAGAAAGTACTGATCAACTTAAAATTGTTTAAAAAAATCACTTAACGTTTGAGTCGCCAAAAATCCTCTCACAATCCATTCCATTTTAACTTGTAACGTAGCTTTTCACTAAGTTTGCTTGAAATCGGAGCACGGCCGCTTTCGGGAGTTTCCCCGCGCTCGATTCTGCGTTCGGCCGCGCCGCGAGTCAACGACACCCGCTGCGCGCGTCGGATGCGAAAACGGCGTCGTTGCATCACGCGCGGCGTCACACATATCCTTGATTAATGCAAAGCAACAAAGCGGATTACGCGGTCGGCCGGCGATAAGGCCTGTCTCGTGCATACACATTAAACTAATGAAATAACATTCGCGGTTCGGGTCGAGTTAAATATAGGCGTCAAGGTAAACGCGTAGGCGTGCGGATAATTACGGACGCTGCAGTCTCCCCGCTCGCGCTGATGAGCGCACTGTAATTAGCGGCGTCGCTCTGTCAGCGTTATGGATTACGTCTTCCTCGTGTCTGGCGTCTCGCACGTCGTCGTTAACCCTTCAATAGGCGCGTGCTCCGCGCGTGTACAATGTAATGCACCGTGCATCACTAGTCAAAGACACATTGTTTTCCGCGAAACGCACGGTCTGTTGTTTACGTTATACATATTTGCGAAGTAACCAATAGGGGCCAGACAGCGAAATTAAGATAAAAGTCGCAAGCTACTGAAGGCTTAATAGCGAAAAACGCCTAGACTGCACCTGTTTAATCATTTACACGGCTCTTCGCGTCGCCGGCGGTCTTATTCTCGGAGGAGCCGTTTGGTTCGTAAATTTCGTTCTTCCGCCTTTGGAACGAGTAAATGCCTGCTCGAGATATAACGGTATTTACACGGACAAGCGGATAGCGATCGAATCCGAGCCTTTTACGTCGCGGAGTCGACGAAACTCACGATCGCGCCCGGGCGTGAGACTGCGTTGGCAGGAGATTAGAGGGACCACGAGAGTGATCCATTACTTTTGTCCGAAGAAATACCGGTTTTATCATCTTCTCCATTGCCGTCGTCGTTGTTCCGTCGTCTCCGTTGACGCGACGACGGATGATCGATCGGCAGCGAGTTTATCTTCGAGGAGACGCGAGTACTCGAGATCGCGCGGCCGCCGAGCGACTCGTGCTTTACTATGCAAACAGCAACTAGCCGGTTCTGGATACGACGGGTTTCGGGCGCCCGCCTAACTGTATAATTAATCATCCGGCTTGTCAAACGATCCGCCGTCGCTGCCGCCGCCGCGCCGCCCGTCCCGTTCCTCCGAAAATAGCGACGCAACGGCCGCTGCAATTGCGCGCATAACCGCGCGCCTATCGAGACGCGATTACGCGCCCCGCGAGTATCCCGGCTTTTTGCTCCCGAGGCTGCGAAAATCGAAATTCCCAGCAACGAGTCGAATTCGACGCGCCTCGAGCCTCCGCGCGCTTCGTGCGCGTTTCGATTTCCGTTCACTCGCCGCGCAGTTGGCCGCGCGCGGTTGCGTCACTCGATCGACGGATACCTGTTCCTACGGTTATAAATAGCGAAACATTTCCGATATCACCTGGCCCGCCCTGTGTATCCTGCGATACATGTTTTTACTTTCTCGATCTATTTATGTTCGCGCGTGCAATGCGAATTATCGGCTGCCGCCGTCGCGACCTTCGCGGCGTTGCGCGTATGTGGCGGGAAGAAGGCTGTTTTCGCGGTGGGTTCTGAACCGCGAGAGCTGGACCACGCCGTGAAATCGAAAGACCCTCGACCTTCCGGCGACCGAAGATCAGGCGGACATCGCGGACTCGCGATTTCTCTTTCGCTCGGTCGAAGGGAGCTCGCAAAAAAAAGTGAGGTCACGTCATGCTCGTTTTGCCTGTGTGGAAAACGGCCTGACGAAGTCTGGGATGGAAAAGACCAGTCGGAGAGAAACATTGATTAAGGAGGCCGTATCTGTCGCTGAGTTCTTTTTCCTTCTTCTGCGCCGCCTGCGTTATCCTCTGAGCGTGGCTACGAGCGGGAGCGTCCCAGAAGATTTCGAAAACGCTGCTTGGCGGAGACGGAGTTCTCCCCCTTTGCACCTCTTTGCACCTCGTTCTCGTTAAGACGAAGAGAGGTATGGGGTCGTTCGATACGACGAAGATGCGGAAGCGAATTTGCTGCGTCGTAGCCCTCCCCGTGGCAGGGGGAGACAGGAGCCGAGGTGCACCCATTGAAATCCCTCTCTTCGGCTTCTCGCTTCGACACAATTTCCGAAAAATAATGCCCACGAGGAGAAAAACAAATAGCATCGCGGGTCCCTCCGCCAGAGGCACTGCGACGTTGCCGGATAGCCGATTTGCAGCTGGTGGGAGTCTGCTCTGATGGTGGTGGCGGCGATGGTCGCGGTAGAGGAGGTTGCTCGCCAGTGGTGGAGGATGGCAAGTGGGGGACGAAGGTAGACCGCGAGCATCGTCGCCGACAAACTGGCTCGAACTGGCGCAAGCCAGCATCCCGGTCGCCCAGCCGATGGCGACGTCTCGATGGAGGGGAAGTTGAAGAACATCGACGAGCTGAATTGAGAGAGAGAGAGAGAGAGAGAGAGAGAGAGAGAGAGAGAGAGAGAGAGAGAGAGAGGGAGAGAAAGAGCGATGAAGAGACAGAGAAAGAGAGCACACACGAGAGAGGCATGCCAAGAGAACGACACGGAGCATGTGGATAAATTCAGAACGCCATACACCGCGCGTCGCCGCGTTGCTCTCGCAAGTCTCTCGTAGATCCGGCGGAATTAATTCCCAGGCAGTTTCGGGTCGCAGCCAGGGCGCGATCGGCCGTGGCTGTGTCGTCGACGTTGCCATTCGACCGACGACGATATCCGCGAATCCCCGTGCGTCGGGATCGACGATCGTCGCCGACGCGCGGCCCATCGGCGAGCACGTGCGACGTGTAGACTCACGATTGAGCGAACCGGTCGCCGGCACTCTGCGCCGTCGCGCTTTCCTCAGCGGTGCCCGATGGCGGGTTCCGTTCAACGCGACCCTCGCCAAGCGCAATCCTGAAGCGACTTCGTCAGACATCGCTCGGGAGAGCGTCTGAGTCCTCGCGTGCCTCGCAAACCCGCAGCGGAACCGCAGCGGCAACCGAGACGAGCTTCCAGCGCAGCTTCTTCTCGGCGTAGTTCTTTTCGAGAGAGAGAGAGAGAGAGAGAGAGAGAGAGACTCATCTCCAGGACAACCTGCTCGTTCCTCGATAATCGCTCGAACGAAGGCAGACGAGCGAAACTGGTTCTCTCAGAGACCGCTTCGGAGTAACCGAGGGCGGTCTTGCGGGCGGCCTTTTGTACGTCGAAACTCAGGCATCCGTTGCGGAGAATCCGTGTGAAAAAATCGGCAACTCGCATGGCACGAATCGCGACGCTCGCTTGACCGACGCAACGAAAAGGAACGAGCGAGGTTGAGGAAAAGTGCGGAGTGCCCTGGAGTTATCGCGCGGCCGAGATAACCGAATTAGACGTGATCCGGTGTATTCCGGTGCGCGACGAGCATGTACCGGTGAGTTTGTCGACGCAGCCGACGAGTTGGCCGAGATTATCGGAGTCGAGCGACGCAACGCGCTCGGCGAGAGAGAGAGAGAGAGAGAGAGAGAGAGAGAGAGAGCGAAGGAGAGTGCAAACACATCAACCTCACACCGCTCGGTGAACATCGCTCGTCCGGCTCGCGCAGTTGACGAGGAGAGCTCCGGAGATCGCATAACGGATCCCGTAACGAGTATCGCGCCGCTTATTTCCGGGCAAGTAAGAAGAACTCGCGGCTTCCAGTGATTTGTTCCTCTCGCGATATTGAACTTGATGCGATCAATTAGCCATTAATCATGCAATAAAACGAGGCTGCTGCGGATCTCAAGGACGAGACGTCAGCCGTATGACGGATAGCTCATGACAGCTCGAGGCCGCGCCTAATCAGCACTACGTGTGTGATGCGCCCGACCCTCGCGGAGTGATCCTCCTCGTTCGCACAACGACGACAGCGATCTCCTCCTCGAAGCGCGACTGCGAGGTCAGCGGGTCGACACACCAGGAGCAAGCACCGTCTAGGAATGCCCTCGTCCGTCGCAGCCAGTCGGCTTCCGGCAGAGTGCCCGCGAGTCTCACACGCACCGTTGCTCGCGTCGATCGTCGCGCTGTCACGCGAGATCCTGCTCGGCCACGTGCTGCTCTCGCGACAGGATCATCTGGTCAGATGACGAGCGGCCCCGCCGCCAACAAGCTCACGCCGGGGCGGTTGAATTGAATCTTGTAGCCGGGACGTGTCGTGATCTTCCCGACAGTCGGCAGCGCGCGGAATCGTCCTGAAGGCACCGGAGCGGAGGTCAACGTCACCCCGCGAAGGACGGAAGAGGTCCAGCAGAGGCGAAGCGAATCGGAGGAGTTGGCGTTCCGAGGAGGGGCGAAGTTTCTCGGATCCGGAGACGTCAAGGAGAAGCTCGAGAAATCGCAGAAGCTCGGTCGTTCTCGTGCGAATCGGTCGGCGGTGCAGCAGCGTCTCTACGTGACTTTCGAGGAGGACACAAAGAGGAAAGTTGGACGGGCAGTCGCGACACGTCAAGTGCCAACGTGCGAAATTCATCGTGCGAGTCGCGGATGAATAAATTGTCGCCGCGACCGGGTTCCTTCTGTGATCGAAAAATACACTCGTCTCTCTCTCTCTCTCTCTCTCTCTCTCTCTCTCTCGGGGAATATTTATTATAACCTCAGAGAGCGGAGTACTTTCTGGAAGCGAAGGCTCGGCGAACACGTTGGGTGCATCGACGTGTTTTACGAGGCAACAAGAAATTGCGCGTTCTGCCACGCATATGGCATAGTAATTAGACTCGGCGCAAGGTGAAGGTACACGTGTACGCTCGGACACACGCACGGAGATAAACACTGCGGGCTCGACGGCGGCTCTCTCGCGGAGTCGCAAAGTTCACTCCGTCGCGGGCGCCGGAACGACTACACGGCGTGGAAAGCGAGTGAAAACCGGCTCAGCGCGCGCGCGCGCGCGCGCGCGCTCGACCGAAAATATCCTCCAGAAAACGCGGAGTGGAGCACGAGTGCACTCCTTTCTGCTCACGGGGCTCTGGGGATCCGCGAGTGATAATCGAGCGAGTGTGTTGTTTGCTCGCCAGCACGTGACGCGCTAGTTCGAGACGACGCGCCGCCCGATCACGCGACTCCGCTCCGATGATTTCGACTCGGCTGTTCACCGGCTGTGGCAAGTGACACTCTATCATCGCCAGACGAAGGTCAGATTTTTAAAAGAGAGAGACAGAGAGACAGAGAGAGAGAGAGAGAGAGAGAGAGAGCAGACAGACGGACGTCGTCGCGAGCGACTAGCAATATCCGGTTCACAGCAGACAAATGCAAGCCGACTGACTCGAACTGATCCTATCTGCTACCGAGCGAGCCAGAGCTGCGCTCATTACTCGTGTCCACCGAGCGGTTCGTTCAGTCATCGAGTGCCACGTACGCCAGCACAGCTGAGGACACGGCGCTTCGCGCGTGTTCTTCTTCCTGAAGATCCTCTTCAACATCGCGCGCGCGTGCGCGCGCGTATTCGCGCGATGAGGATTGCGAGTTGCCGCAGGGGTTGATCGACTGGCTCGACCGATCGCCAGGACGGATTCGAGAACGTCGCGACCACGACATCGACCACGAATGGATAGACAGGTGCTGCGAAATCAGCCGGACGTTCGAGCGTGCAAGTGTTCCACGTTTATGTACGAACGCGTGAAAAGTCGGAAGAAAGCCTTCAAGGAGAAAGAATAAGGATAAGCCTGCCTGAAAGTTGACACCGAGTGTGCTCGAAATGCCGCGGGTTTACTGGAACCTGAAGAGCCGCTGGTGCCTCAGACGGCCGCGGTACCCGCTCGACAAGCTGGTCGCGTGTCTCCTGGAGCACGAGGTCGTCGTGAGCGGTGGTCCGGCGCACGTGGAGATCGTGGCTCGCTTCGTTCACGCGTTGTCGGACCCACGAGGCAGGAGGGGACACTTCATGCGGGGAGGGCTGGTCAGTCTGACGATAAGAAATCGCCGGGACACGAAGAGAGTCGACGGGAGAGCCAAGCTCGTGGTTCGCGTGGGAGGAAATCCCGTGTAAGCAGACACCTTGAGACTTAACGACTTCCTCCGAGAGATATCGTTAACGGCTTCTCGACCGGCGATCGGAAAGATCGAAACTCGCGGGAGTTGGTCACGTTACAATCGCAGCGCGATGGCTTCGTATGTGAAGTATGAGATGTTACGCGATCGAATGCGGTTTTAAACACGCGCAGTCTTCGGGATTAACGGCTCATTCAAACGAATCCCCGGCTTGTCCCCTTCAGTCATCGGTTCTCGCTCCGATTGATAACATTGTGCCTAACATTGTGCTCGTGCCGCTTCCTCGCACGTGACGCGACCTCGCCGAGCGCGAGGAAAGAACTGCCGGAGAGAGATACGGGCTTTATCGAACGCGTATCATCGGCCCCAATCGCCAAGGTTGTCTCACGTGATGATACCGATTACTTGCGATAATGTGCGTCCGATGCAACTTTGTCCGTAGATAAGAGCTCGATTGCGAAGTGAATTTTCTCGCTTCGCCGCGTGACGTAAGCCGACGCGTCGGCCGCGTCGTTGTTTTGCAGCTCGGCTGCGGTGCGTTCACGATAGTTCAGCTATCGTCTGATCGTCATCCGTGCTTCTTCAGCACGACCCCGTCAAGCAGAGACACTCGATGTCTCCGTGACTTTCCATCTGCGATACGAATTTATTATCATAAGCAAAGTTATTCTCATACGGAGGCGCCGACTTTTATCGGAATTCACACGCCTGGCGCATAACTCGTCACTCCGTTCTCCGCAACATTTTTCAGCCTTCTTGTCTGCAACTGTCAATAATCGACGATTTATGCGCATTACGTCGATTACGAAGGTAGATATTCCTATGGCTCGCTGATGTTTCGCAACGCGTCGTCATTAAGTAAACGAATGGATACGCAAGCCGGAGTCCAAAGCGCGTCTTGACACCTCGGATAAATTTCCATACGACGAGACTCCTTCGAAGGAACACCTTCGTGCGGACACTTTTTGTTATCCAATGCGAGAATAATTGTTCCACCGTCAAACGTTTTTACTATAAGTAAATTCAGCCCTGATAGTCGAAACCTTGGTGTATCAAATATATCGTATCATCGTCCTATTTAACATCTGAGAAAAGTTTTAACCGTCGGTCATTGTTCGTTGAAGTCATTAGCATAGAAGTTGAAGAGACGAGAAGAATGTAATGTTTCAGATGACGATAATTGTTCGCCTTTTGGCTAAGTCAAAAAGAGGCCGGGACCGCTCAGCAATGAGCGCGGGGCTCGACTGAAAGGAAGACACAGCCCTTTTGAGTTTCGCGGGATCGTTCCCTTTTATTTCCTCCTCGTGGGCGATGTTCGTCGAGATTCTGGAAGGACGATACTCGCTGGTCGGAGCGCGAGCACCTCCCGAACCCGCGATCCCAATTTTGTTAACAAAAAAACAAGTTGAAACGCTGACAATTTGGACGAAAATTAAGTTTGTACGTGGCACGTCCAGTCGAAGTATCAGCTTGCCAGTTGAGGCCGCAACCGAGTCTCCGTACGCGAAGACTCGACGCGGAGCGGTCGAGCAGCTGATTAGAGAAAAAACGGTGCGGAACGAAGCGAAATTGATACTTGCAGTCGGTCTCGTGCGAATTCGAGATCTGATCGGAATGAGGAACCGAGAGCGGTTCGTAACTTCGATGTTACATTTAATTTTTGTTTCTCTTTGCTCGGAGATGGGACGTTGCCCGTTGTCGATTTAAAACTTTGCCAGGTTATCGGCGGTCAGATGCTGACAAATCGTGACAATAACAACGGGGGTGTGTCCCGTCGCCGAACAAGCACGGCGTGATCACGCGCTAATCACGCAGAATATCTCGTTCTGTCGAGAATCCTCGATTCCGTCGAAACAAAGCGCCACGACGACGGATCGCAAACAATAATTGCACTCGCGATATTATCTCGGAAGCCTCGTTGAATTATTCTTTAGTTGAACGAAGGAAGTAAAAAAGAAGCAAAATGTAAACATCTGCAATCACTTAAGGGAGATTATTTATTCAAGACGCACGCTGAAGACGCAGAATCGGACGTTGGGTTAGGTGAGCGAGAAAATCACCGTGTGAGAACGCAATTAAAGAGAGCTAACGAGTGTTATTGTATTGTGACGTGTGACTCTGCAATATCATTCGAATAAACGAAGCCGGTACTGAAAAGGACGTTAATTCAATGTTTATCCGTTACATCGCGGCCGTTTCATTTCATCTTCTCTCGCAATGTAACAATCCTCAATCCTTCCCTTCCTTCTCCTCGTTTCCGTTCCTCCTCTGTTTCTCCGCTTTGCAATGCACTCTGAGAAGAATGCTCGATGGCTAATGCGCACCTGGGCCTCTTTCTCTTCAGATCGCCGCAAACACGCGCAACTATCGGCGGTATGGTACCGATGGTCCCCGCTTCGGACGCCGTGAAGGAAAACGCAAGCACGGCTCCGGCCCTGCCATCGCCCGCTGCCATTCTGCCGGATCAACCTTGCATCGAGGCCGAGGTTGGTTTGGCCACACGCAAAGCCACTTCTCCGCAACAGCTACTCGAGACCATAAAAACGGTAAAGACCCTTTCTGTTAAGTAAGAAATAAGCCGAACCTCTCGCAATCGCTCGTTCTCCACTTCTTCTCAGTCGCCTCTTACGTCGCGTCTCTTGTATCGACGCGAAGAAAAATCGATCAATAGGACGAGAGAGAGAGAGAGAAAGAGAGAGTGAGAGAGAGAGAGAGAGAGAGAGAGAGAGGGAGAGAGAGAAACAAGAGTCGTTCTTTGAATGAAGAAATATTTATATCTTGGAAAAATCACTCATACGAAGTTGACAACGTGAGATCCTTGCGATAGATATGTGTTGTTAGCAACCGGTAATCTGTCGATCCAGACGGAACGAACGAACGGTTTAGGTAATTTTGATAAAGACAAGATGACATTGAAATATGAGTTGTGAGCGTATATTTACCGGTGCGTGATATGGCAAGTAAGATTACGCGGCGACAAAAGCAAAAGTACAGAAAACAAAATAGAATAATCGGAAGGACACAGTCAGGAGTCGCGTGGCTAGCGAAGTAATCGATGGACTTGCAGAATGCAAGTGCGAACGAGGTAAATTAATTACGCATTATATATTTATATTAAGATGCTTCCGTTTGGTTGACCCGTTGCGAGTTAAAAAGAAGTAACGTGCGACTTGTGTTCGGTCTTGCGTTCGAAAGCGAGCCGAGAAGACTCGCAATCTTACAACGCTCGTCGAATACGCATTTCATCCACTCGCGCTTTGACTGGATTTTCTCAATCTCGCAGAGCACCCCGTGCCACGCCGAGCTGCCCCCAGATGCGAACGCTACGCAGACAACAGCGTGGCTGCGCGCCAGTCGTTTCAACGCATTCGAGTCGACCTTCGCGAGCTTCTCCGCCTCGGACATCCTTCGCCTGTCCCGCGAGGATCTCATCCAGATCTGCGGAGTGGCCGACGGCATCCGGCTGTTCAATACACTGCACTCGAAGGCGCCGACACCGAAGCTGACTCTCTATTTTTCCCTGGAAGGCACCGGCTCTCTCTGGCGAGTCGCCTACTTGGATAATCTGACGAGTGCCGCGCTCACCAGCAAGCTGCTCAGCACTCTCAGCCTGCCGGCCGACCGACTGCATTCGATCCTGTTTTTGGGGCCGCAGGGGATACACGTGTTGGTGACCGACGAGCTGGTGGCGAACATGAAGGACGAGAGTATGTACCTCGTCGAGACAGTCAAAGGTAAACACGCGCTTCTCCGCTTGCGATTTCGATGGAAAACCGGTTATTACGAAATGATTGTTACATCAGTCTGGCTTTATGTGTGTGTGTGTGCGCGCGTGTGCGATTCTTTCAGATCCCGCCAGTGAACGCTACAAATTGCTGATCAAGTCGAAGACGATTTGAAAGGTTTGCCTATTTGTGCGTATTGAGGCCTGGTTTTATTAACGTGTGAGACAACGTCGCGTGCGAGGCGACAGCTGGAGTTACGCAAAGTGCAGAAACATCTGTGCCCGACGAATACGAACGGCGGAGAGGATCGTCACGATGCAAGTGTAAAAGGTTCCAAGAAAGATTGCGATTGGCAGACCAATTGGAATTTCAACGTGATTGATCATTTGTTAACATTTGTATTTGTAGCAAACGTGTCCGAATGTAAAAGCGAATCGTCGCTCGGAACGGTGTCAACGCCGATGATTGTAACATAATTGAAGCATATTCACTTATATGTACGCAGGTTTGCCCCGATATCCTTGTCATTCTCCTTTAGATACGTTTTCTAGATTAATAATTATGAGAATATTATTATTGCGTTATTGTACATTGCGCACAGTTCACAGTGCAGCGCACGACTACGCGCGAGGTTTCTAATTCCGCCGGTGAGAAAAACCGCCGAAGATGTCTGTACTGTTTTTTCGGCAATTCTGTAAATATATGTAATTATACATGTTGTTACGCCCGTCTGAAGCGTATCGCTTCAGCAATTGCGCGTGTGTGGGATCGCGCGTAATCACGTGGCGGCCGAATATTCTGAGATTGCGGAATGATATTTGTGTTCGCAGCATTTAGAAGCGGATCCTTCAGACGAACGCGAAGTTGTAGAATACTCGCGAGATTCTTATCGTGATTTGTAGGTCGCACACGATTGAGCTAGGGTTAGAATTAGATTGACGGCAAAAATTTTTCGAAGACATGTTTAATACGTGTGAGCGGAGAACGGAGTCGGCGAATAAACGAAGGGATAAAGAGATTACATAGAGATCGAGCACGATTATGCGTCGCTCATTTAGTACAATTTACGAAAACGTCTCGTTTTCGACATACGTGCCACATTAAAAGTAAGAAGTGTAGGACTGTAGTCGCGAGTGTATATAGTTAATGTTATGACTACTTGTTGCTTTCATCATCCTCGTCCGCGTTATTCTTTCGTTTCCGTAAATCTTTAACGTGTTTACAATTTATCGCGAGCAAAGTGATATCGATTGACGCTGTTAGCGCGGAGGATCGAGAACTACCGTCAAGTTTTGCAGTGTAAAATTTTCGCGCGAGAAGAAGACATGTTGTTGAGAGAGTGCCTTAATTAATTAACGTGCCAATAGTAACATATTTACTCGCATAAGTGCTCGAGCAGGTGTAGCTAATTGAGCAAGAAAGAAGTATTTTATCACTTTTGCAGCGCGAATACACTACGATAGAGGAAAAATAGGTAGTAGATGTTCGGTTCTTTTTTTTTATACTAATACATTTGAAATCCCGCGATTTTAGAAATTTCACGAAACGCGAGACTTGAATCTGTAATTTTTTATTATTATTTTAATGTTTATTTTATACACGAAAGTGCCAATGCAAGTTATCATGTAGCACGCTATCGCCTGTTAATTAGTGCGTTAAGAAATCGCCGAGGAAGATGGTTGTTTGTTTCGTTGTAAGGGGTGTGGAGTTACTAACGCAATTTAGATATGACAAAGAGTACCACGAATAACAATCAATTAGTTAACGAACATAATCACTTTCTTTTTTATTGTTACGAACTTTTGCGCGCCTGCGAACTGCGGCGCGTTGGAAATGCTCACTGCGACTTAATCGCACGATATCGACTACGTAGAATTCGTCGTACATGCATACCGCGGTACCTCGATTATGCGAATAAGTGTAAATCTTAAGTATGTTATTTTATAAAATACAGTCTATTTTTCTGTTATAATTTAAAGATTGGAGAATACGCACGTTGATACTTGGAAAGCCATAATGAGTGTATGCCCGGTATGTTAATTGTTATACACCTCATACGAGTGTTTCCGTCGGGATGAAATGGCACAATAAATACTTCTTGCTGCCCAGTCCTTATTATTTCTTGTGTGCGTTGTGCGCACGGGTCCTGTTGTCCTTCAACTACGCTTAGTTTGTCGAAAGGAAGCGGGATAGGTCGAATTGCAGATCGAAATATTTTCATCCATCAGCTATTTGCGCATTCAAGAAAAAAGATCAATATTTTATTCGTATCAACATATGTATTTGAGGGAAAAGAAATATGTAGATCACAAGAAATATGGAGTATTTTTAATTTTTTGGCTACCTGTTAAGTGTCTGAAAGTCTATTCATGAACTCGACTGTGAACATCGCACTCAAATTTATTATAAAAATTCATTGGATTTCATTCACAAATTTCTCTTCCTACATTAAAATGTACGGACGGTTGTGCTTCGTGATCGCGTTGATCACGGGTCGTGCAAAACGTTAATTCCTCTTCTTTTTCGCTTTCTGTTCCTTGAGCCGTCTTTTCGCCTCTTTGCGATTCTCTCGTTCCTTCATGCCCTTGTACAACTTGCGAGTGACGAGAACTGCGGAAAAAATAAGAAACAGCACGATATCGTGATCAAATTATCGCAAAAGAATATCACTCAATAAAATTCTCGATTTTCCGCACTGGAAGTGAAAAGGCAACGATGATTCGAAGACATCTAATGACTACGAGAGATTAATTAACCGGTGTGTTATTGAGAAATTATTGCTAACGGATGCACCATCGGCTTTATTGAGGTGCTCATAAAATTCGTTAGTGCAAGAAACATCGTACCTAGTAAGAGGGCCACAATTACTACTGCGAAGATAAACAGCATGTAAGACTGGTACGGGACGAGCCACGTGGGCAACATCGAGTCGCCAGTCAATTTGCGAGTAGACTTCGTCAGCACGTCGAAAGCGCCCTTCTGGAAGTCCTGCTTCTCCTCATCGGTCAGCTGCTCATACTTTTCGAATATCTGCGACAGTTTCTCCTTCACGTCCTCCGGCAGCGGCTCATTCTGCCCCGTCGGGTCCACAAAATTCTCGTCCATATCGAACGGAACGGGTAGATGCGAGCGCAAAGAACCAGAGATCCACGCGAACTCGGGTCAAAAGTTGGACTGGACGGATAAGGACGCGCCGATTCACAAGTCGAGTGGGTTTGATTAGATAAAGAACGGCGGTGGCACGGTGGGCTATGATGCAAGTGACATCGACGAGCCGATTGCACACTCGGCGAATTTTACAAGCACGAAACAGCGCGCACGCGACAAGGAAGGAGCGTCGCTTCGCGAATTTAATGAATGCAACGATTACGTGTTGTACGGTTTCTCGCGGTCTCGACGCAGCGGAAAGAAGTTGTCAAACTGATTGATATCGCGAGCGCGTTGGTGTGTTTAAAGGCGGATTGTCAAGGACTTTTGTGTATTACGGTCGAATTAATCGACGATGTACTCAATATTTGCGGAAACTGAACAAACAGCACATGCGTCGCTGCGCTGTGTGAACGGTAACAAGAAAGCAAGTGTTGAAATTGTCCTCTTAAACGACGAAACATCGATATTTTATGGAAAATTAATAAGTGCAAGCGCTTCCGCAATAATTAATTCGCATGCAGCGTTCAAATGTTTTAAGAGATTCAATGAATCTCTTAAAACAAAGCAAAATAAATGTGCAAATAATAGCGGTAATATATGCCGATGGTAATTTAATAATAATTAAATATATGTGCTACGCAGAAATATTGATCACTCGCCAGACAACGCAAATTTCTAGAAAATGTCTCTCAACGGTGTCTAAAGAAAAATAGAATGTCTTTCGGATATATCTAAAATATCTTTTAGAAGTTTGTGCTGTCTGCGTTTCTACGATCACACAAAGTCATTGAAAAAGTATCATACAAATTCTGTCGCAAATCTACATCGTAAAAGTAGACGATCATAAGCGTTTGTCGTATACTTGATAAAAATGAATATATGTTACTATAAACCATATCATAGTATACTTGAAATCGTAACTTCTACTCTACTTGTGGCGCATTTATTCTCCTGTTTCTTTCGAGACGTACAGCGATTTTACATCCTGTTTGATATCCTATAAAAAGTCCTGTGAATAAACAAAGAAATCGTCGATAAGACAATTTGTTTTAAAACAATCTGCTTTTCTTCTTTCATTTTTGTTACGTTGTATTGAGATATAGTGGATGGATACAGGATGGATGAGTGTATGATTTAACGTATCCTATAGAGTTTTCGATTAAAGTGGCTTTGGAGCAATTGAAGGCGTCACAAATTCTACAATAGGCTAAACGGTATTAATTATTCCGATTGATCGATACAAACTCGCCTCGAAAATATTATTGATTTCAGTGCTCGAGTGCAATAATTTAAGGAAGATTCGTGTCGGACAGATGTAACGTTAGATGCCGTGTTATGAAAATTATTGGAAAATATTTGAAGCAGACGTACTCACCAAATAAAAAGGCAGCTAATATATAGACTGCATTATTTATGATTTCATTTATAAAGGCAGTGCGCCATGGCATCATTGATATTTTCATCTTAAGATATAATGAGTCTGTTATAATTTCTATTAACTGCACATTCAGTCTCTTTTGCATTTTGACGTGAACCTGCGGTAGGTCTTCGAGTACTTTATTGAGCTCATAAAGACCCTTCTTAAGTATTTTACTGATGTTAGAAGGTACGTCTATGTTATCATGCATATCATCAAGTGTGTCGTTGAGTCGTACAACCCAACCTCTTTGCGCTTTCCAGGCATTAAGATCCTTTGGTACGTACTTTGCATCTCTTATTTGTGAGATTAACACGTACGTTAGCAGAGAAAACAGACTAAACTGAAGTATGAGGTGCATCCTAGCTGAATAAAATAATAATAACAATAATTAGAATAATGACACAATGAGACTTTACGACATACGTACTATTTGACATAATAATGACTTGATGACACAACACGTGAAATTATTCAAATGTAACGTTTTTCTCGCGAAACGTCAGGAAGATATCTCAGTAAAATTATATCTCGGTGGAAAATTCAATCTCGGCAAAATTTCTTATTCTTATTCTTCACGAAGCCGTTTCTCCACGTTTCTTCAGCTTTGGCAAGTTTTCGGTCATATAATGTTAATATTGATAATAATTTTAACGTGTATATAAACTCAAGTGTTAGCTCGGAAGTAACGTACACGGGAACGATACTGTTTTTTTTCTATTCAGCCGTAGTTGAACAATTAAATGTAATGATTTAAGATATTGTCGCAGTTTCGATAAGTTTCATACCTGTGAGTGAAGTTTACATGTAAAATGACGAGATTGATCGTCTCCTAGGAGGTTCTGTAGAATGTGAACTTGCTAAATCCTTTGCCGGAAAACAAAAATCAGCTTTGACGGGAAGCTAATCGCTATAAACAAGATATTTGCTGGCTGATTCGACTGACTGTGTTTATTGTTATGAAATGAAAAGATGTACACACAACTGCCACCTTGATCCTATGAGTTTGTAATATAATGTCAGCTATCGTTTGAATCATCGATGGATATTTCGATGTAATTGTTTTATTGTTAATTAAATATTAAAATTGATGAAACATTGACAGAATTCTACAGAAATTACCGATAAAATTCCATTATAGAAATTATTTGTACTTTTATTCGATTTATTTAACTGATAATTTACTAAAACTTTATAAAAACGGTATATTTCAAATTAATTTCTTTAATAACTAATGCTTCTTAAAATGTTTTCCGACTGAATCTTCTAATCAATAATTTTGTCAAAGATTAATTACAAAATTAATTACAAAAGTAGATCTGTTGGAAATTTAAGAAAGTGAAAAATTTTTTACTTTATTAAATAATTAAATAGAATTTATTCGGGTTTTTCGGGAATATAAAGTACAGCACTATTGCAGATGTAAAAATCTATTGAATTAATAAAGCTATATACAATTACATATATTTTCAAATTTTACAGTTAAAATTAAATAATTATATATGAATTGACCTCCAAATATTAAGAATTAGAGGTTGCAGAGAATGTATTTATCATGTGGTTCTCTTCTCTTTGATTGTCGTCTTCTTTCCTTTAACATGGCTTACTTCTTGTTTCTTCTATTTTTAAATATTTAATTAAGGCTAATTAAAGCTGATTTATTCATTCATTTTTACAGAAGTAGCCACATATAAATCCCATGGTGATTCCTGTTATGACAATATAAACAATGAAATAACACATTAATAAGTTTCTTTTCATTATGACGTGCCGAAATATCACAGTTATGATATGCAATACAATCGCCAGAATCTCATTCGACAGAATATAATTATTTTAACGATAATTACCTGATATGTTGAAAGCTAACATTAACATGAAAACATTTTTTTCTATTAAATCCAGCAGGAGATAGTCGTGCCATTTTTTCATTATTTCTGTAACCTCGTTCAACATAAAATCATCTGTCATTATTAACAGTTTCTTCAACATAAGATGCATGTCTCTAACGTTTGCTATCCATAGACTTTTTAAAAAATCTGTAAGTTCTGGGTGTTCCCTCGTCAGTTTTAAATTCAGGAATTCCTGTTGAAGGAGCTCCTCAATCGCCTTATTATTGGTTATTAAAAAGCCCGAGTCCGAGATGTTGTCATCCCTGTCAAAGTCAAAGTCAAAGTCAAAACTACTCTCCGTCTCATTTGATTTATTCTGCCGATAAATCTTGTTCTTAATGTAGTCGGTTAACTCTTCATCTTTCTTCAAGTTGTCTTCCGTGAGCGTGAAGATTATCATGAAGACTGTCATGGCAAACATTATGACCATCCTCCACATGCTGATTAAACGTAACAAATATTAACAAATGTTTGTAAGAATAAGGAAAATGAGAAGAAACGAACGCACATGTTGATGTTACTCAGAACAATTTCGAAGACAATCTCAAAGCTGCATATGTACATTTGTATGACTCCGCTGTATCTCTTTGAACGATTTTCACCGCGAGAATCGAGGAAAGACTCGAAGAAATTTCTTACCTGAGACTGTATGTTTCGTTGTAAGTTTTATTATTTATTAAAACGAGATTTCGGCTAAAAGACGATGCTTCCTTGTTGCGATCCTTCCTGAATACGTGAACCAGGAGCTGATGTCGAAGCAGCTGCAGAAGGAGCTCCGGATGACGAAGAGCTTTCTGTATCGGCTGGTGTTGGCCGATGTTGAAATTGGTCGTCCGCGATATTGCGCGGACGGATGTTGGTTGTCCGATACGTGTGGCTGTCTAATTTGGACTACGAAGTAAGACAGCTCTCACGAAGTCATACGATCTGTGATATTTACATGTTTTGCATCGTGTAAACAGACACGTGTGAAATACATTTTAAACACAGGACTGAGACTAAATGTCCTGCGATCGATTAACGACCAATGGGAAACTGAGATAACGAAGCAAGCGAGAGTAATCACGAGCGACAAAAACGTTTCAGTAACAATTTAGTGGGCGCTGTAGAAAAATCGAAGACTGCAAAAATGATCGTAGTTTTATTGCATTTTAAGCAAACATTGCACAAAATCAATCTTGATAATACAACAATGCAAATTACAAAAATGATATTACAAAAATATAAATAATATACATGATATTACAAAAAATGTAAATAAACAAATGATTACAGACTTCGGTGATGAGAACAGACCTCGGTGGTCTGCGCGAAACAAAAATGTGTATATAATGTCGAAACGAAAGCGACGAGCTTTTCGTTCTGCCTCATCGCGCATCCGAGCGGGAAGATGTCGGGCGCGCTCTGGCTTTATCGACCTTTTGCTTGCGACAAAATTCACGAAGGCTGATGCGTTTTTTATCTCGACCGCTGGTCTCGAACTCGACATCCGTCTCGTCGATCTGATCGTACACGTCGGCACTTCGTTTCTGCACAGATCTCGTCGCCGGCGCCCTCCTTCGTTTCCGCGCGTTTCTTCCGCGCTCGCGTTCGATTTCCAGCTCGTTTCGCCGTTCGACGTTCTCCCCTTCGGAGTCGTTTTCCCGCTCAGAATCGCTGCAAGGTTCCCACCTGCGCGAGACCGCGTCGCTACGTTCGCGTACGCGCTTCATTCCTCGAGGTATTGGGTCGATTCTTCGCCGCAGACGGCTGACATCGGGAAGACCTCGCGCGGAGTCCGTCAGCTCGACCGGCGTTCGCGCGGACGGCGGCGCTAAGTATTGCGATACCTCGTCGCGAAATTTCTCGACGAACTCGTCCCAGAGCAAATCGCTCGTCGCTGTGGGGAATCGCAAGCGAAAGGTGAAATTCTTCGGTCTCTGTTCCGGGCTTTTCTTGCGCTTCGGTGGAGCGGAGTATGTCCTTATGTCTCTCTCACAGTCTGAAAGAACAATTCGTGTATTATACGTTTTCATGAGCGGAATGAGAAAACGGTAATGGGGTAATTTGATGTAATTACGGACGAGCTTTTCTCTCGGTCTTTATCCGATTGATAAAAACAACGTTGAGGAAAGTAGCTAATTTGAGAAACGATAATTAAAGAACAACGTTAGGAGACTCTTTACGTCATGTTTCATAAACATGAAACCAGATTTTAAGATGTCGACGTTTAATTGATTGTACCGCGTGTCACATGGAAGAGTGACACGACTTAAAAATAGTAATTACTCTCGGCTGCAAAAGAAATGATGAGGTAAATTAAAATTAATTATGTATCAATTGGAATCTCGCTTTTCCATGTGACGCGTGACGTACGACAGTTTTTTTCTTTTTCTATTTTGCACGGGAAATACGCACGGAATATCGGCATATCATCGTCCTTCTCCTTTTCCTCCTCTTCTGGAATAAAGTCTCGCGTTCTCGACAATTGCAGATTTGAAACTGGCAGCAACTTTTTGTGCTGCACGATATTGTCCTTCGCCGGAATTAAACGTAATCTTCGAGAAGATTGAAGAATCGGCGACTCGACCTGGGACTCGTACACAATCGGCTCGTGTCGAACTTTCTCCGGGGAGGCTGGATCCTCGAATAAATTGCAACATGCAACAGGAGCATCATCATAACGTTCCTCATGAATGTTCCTCGAACTGGATCTTGATAAATCTGTCAAAGTTTCCTTGACTAAGGTTCCCTCCGATTTAGTCTCCCATTCGCTGTCAGTGTCCGTCAGTTGACCGCGTCCGTCTACTCGCCTTTTCTTGACGGTTTTAGTCCTCTTGCGCTTTTCTATTATATTGAATGTGACGGTGTCACAAATTAAAATAAAATAAAATAAAATTAGTTTTGCCAATTGGAGATTCCCGCGAGAATATCGCGGTAACGATTTAAGTTAATTAATCTGTCAATTAATCTGTCACCTGATATCTTCGACCGCGGTCTCTTTCTGATCTCCGCTGCGCTCGAGGAGGAACCTGTGTCGATCCTGGACAAGGATAAACTGTAATGTCTCACCGGTACATTTCTGTACGGCGTGCTACTCTTGTAGTGATAAGTAGCGGCGCGTTTGCGTCCTTGCGTTTTCTCGGGTGTGCGAAACGTTTGAGACATGTCACTTGCTCATACCGAACACCCGTTCGCACCGAATTATTCACATTCAGCAGCCCGAGATCTAACTCGTGCGATTGAAACTCTCATTCGCAACATCAGTCCTGCTCGGCCGAGCAGAATCTACTGTAGCCGCGACACGCAACATGTCGAAGCGCGGCGACGTGCGTTTGAGAACAGATGAAAGTCGCGACGGCGTCAAGCGGCATAAGACAATTGAACGCGTATACAGATAGTTTACTTCGACTCCTGGGCGTTGACTGGAACCTTCGCGGTAAATACACCACGCTCGTAGACAACTTGTGTGCAAGAAGCCGTGACAACGGTCTCCTTCAATCTTTTTTTCTATCGGATTGTAGGAAATCGCGACTAGAGTCGTCGGACAGTTAGCTGGCTGATCGTTGACTCAAAATATTTAACTCGCCGAGCAGTCCGGGCGAGGAAACTAACGTACGTATTCTATTGTGAACGTTTCTCGGAACTCATTTATCAAGAATCTCCCGTTTCGCTCGTGCGCAGAATGTATCGGACCTACTTCTGACGTGAATAAACAAATAATGTTTCGCCGCAAGCGTAAGGTTCAAGCGCGTAACGTAGCGCGCTGAGTAGTGCGCGATACATCGATAATCGCGGCAAGTTCAGGTCGTTACGGAACGCTGAACGGCGCGTCGCTTCGTACCTCGCAGCCGTCCCGTTTGGCCGTGCTTTCAGCGCTTTGCTCCGCCGGAGATGAATCTCACGCACGAGTCGTCGCCGGGACTGCTGGAAGTGAGTTTCGCGACAAAGGACCTCCGAGGACGAGCGTTTCGCGCTCGGTGAGGCCGAGTAAAGTATCGCGCGCTCGGCGGGGTTATGTCAGCTCGAGTAGTGCAGACCGCTGCACTTCGCGCTTTCGATCAACCGAAGTGGCGTCTGGAGCGCGAATTATCTTCGGGAACGTCTCGAGTGAGTACATCGCGCTTTTGTTGCGTCGAAATGTCGGATATTATTGAGAGCGAATATCTGCGGAGAAAAAGTCGTTGGCAATGTCGAGTGAAGTTCGCGCGTTAGCTATCTCAAGAATCGCAATCGCTGCAGTGTTCACTCGGTTGACCCAACCGACCACCGTCGCGTCGTTTCATGTCCGAGCAAGTCTCGATCGCTGAGAGAGTGAGTCTCGTACGCAAATTATCGTCGGGGGTGTCGAATAATGAGCCTCGCGCGTTCGTGATAACAATGTATGGTTGAATAACCGTCGGGAGAGAGAGAGAGAGAGAGAGAGAGAAAGTCTCGTGGTCGGGAGTGAAGAGCGCGCGTCCGGGTTGGGTTATGGCGGTTATGGCGGTTGAAAGCTCAGGTTGCCGAAGCGAAATGTCGTGCGCGGCAATCGTCGGGAGTGCCGAAAATATGCATCGCGAATTCGTTCCGATCGTCGGAAGGAGATCGTTGGACGAGACGTCAGGATTCAACTTGAGCGAGCTCTACGCTTTCGACTGCCGGGGCAAAGTCGGTAAGTACAGAGAATCTGCGAGATGTAATCTGTGCATGTCTCGGGTCTTCTTGTACGTCGCCTTTCGTGAATTTAAATAAAAGATGGAGTGACCGATTTCTTTAGAATATAAGAGAAAGGAACAAGTCGTGTAGGACAGGCTCAGGTTAGAATTAGGATACAACATTCGAGAAGCATCGCTGCGCTTCTGGCTTTCACGCTTGGCTTGAGATAAATATCAAGTTATTTGTAATAAATCTTGTTTTACTTCACCTAATCATGCAAGTCGATTTCTCGTAGAAACTGACGCGTGAGCAGTGCTTCTTCATGATTGTAAAAATATTTCAAGCTACCGTTTCCGCTCAGTCGTTATGATACAAAGCGTCGTACACAGATGGCGACTCAGGTACGCCATTTAACGAGGGCGACACGTGCATCTTTCATTCAACTCGTTGTGACTACGGTGAATGAGAACTCGCTGTCTCCCTCCAAACACGTCGATACGCTCTCGTCTTGTTCCGAGTGTAAAAGTGCACACGAGTGTAACCGTATGGAAATGCAGGTCCGCTTGAGCTACGTTTTCTCTACACTTTGCCCTTGCGTGCGCGATTTGACACAGTATCAATTCCATGCTTGAACTCGAATCATCCAAGGAGATTCTAAACTGAAAGAGAGCGAACATAACCTCGTCCCACTCTCGACTGCACTCTACTTCGTCGTACAGTACTCCAGTCTGCTGTGCACGTTGTCGGAGGTTATATACTCCTTCTCCGCCAACGGAGAGGTTATGCACGGTCGCGGAACGTACCGAACAAACGCGAGCGATGAACAAGTTGTTGTCCACGTCGATCAGGGAAGTTAGTCAGAGGATCCACGGTGGCACGGTGCGACCGTCCGAGATCTGCGAGGCATCCGTTAAGTTGACGTCGATCGTCAAGCCTCTGAACGCCTACATCACCGTGACGGATGATGTCGCGCGAGAACAAGCGAGCGATGCCGACGCGAGGCAACAGAGCAATTCGTTGCTGGGGCGGCTCGACGGCATCCCCGTCGCCATCAAAGATAATTACTGCGTCAAGGGTAAACGCACCACTTGCGCCTCTCGTATGTTAGCCAACTTCTCGCCCGGTTACGATGCCACGGTTTATGAGAGGCTGAGGAAGCAGGGCGCTATCTTGATCGGCAAGACTAACCTCGATGAATTCGCCATGGGTTCTGGTACCATAGACTCGCTTTATGGGCCGACGAGGAATTTATGGGGCTCGGAGGTGTTGTCGCGCTTCTACTCATACAAGTCCGACGCTTCGCAGGTGGCCTCTGAGGAAGCGCAGGGGAAAGATACATGGCGGATAGCAGGTACATCGCTGGCAAGCGGCTAACAATAATTCAGTGTGCCTTGATTTGATTTTAATTCATCTTGAGAGGATAGCTTTTAGTACTCCACCATGAGAATAGGTCCGGCGATGATTCTATGGAATGACATGCATGGCTCTTAGGTGGCAGTAGCGGAGGCTCCGCAGTGGCGGTAGCCACAGGTACCTGCTACGCAGCCCTGGGATCTGACACCGGTGGTTCCACTCGCAATCCTGCGTCTTATTGCGGCCTGGTTGGACTGAAACCGACCTACGGCCTAGTGTCTCGTTATGGCCTCATCCCGCTGCTGAACTCGATGGACGTGCCTGGTATTCTCGCGAGGACGGTGGACGACGCTGCGCTGATCTTGAACGCCATAGCTGGACCTGATCCTGCGGACTCTACCACTGTGCAGAAAGAGTACCAGCCGATCATTCTACCCGAGACGATAGACCTCAGCAATCTCAGTATCGGTATACCGAAGGAGTACGGGGTGCGTGGTATAAGCGAGGAGGTGCAGGCGTGTTGGGACGAGGTTTCCCGTCACTTGGCGGAAGCGGGCGCGAACATCGTGCCGGTGTCTTTACCGCACACCGACTACTCCATAGTGTGTTACTCGGTTCTAAATCGGTGCGACGTGGCCAGCAACCTGGCTTGTTACGACGGTATCGAGTACGGTCACAGAGCCGACGAATGGACCACTGCTCACGAATTGTACAAGAAGACCAGGTCGGAGGGCTTCAACGACGTGGTCAAGGGTCGCATACTGGTCGGCAATTATTTTCTCTTAGCCAAAAATTACGAGGAGTATTACGTGAAAGCGATGAAGATGCGCCGGCTGATCGCGCAGGACTTTGACGTCCTCTGGGACAATAACGTGGATCTCCTGCTGACCCCGACCACGTTGACTGAAGCCCCCCGTTACGATCACTTCGTGTCGTTGGACAATCAGACGCAGTGTCTGATTCAAGATCATTGTACGCAGCCGGCGAACATGGCCGGCTTGCCGGCGGTCAACGTGCCGATCAAGCTCTCTCGCGCAGGCTTGCCGTTGTCCTTGCAATTAATGGCACCGTCTTTCCACGAGCACAGGCTGCTCACCGTGGCGAAGTGGATCGAACAGACTGTGCGATTCCCGCGACTCGAACTGACGGATTCGTGTTTGTTCGAATAAAGCGGATCTTACTTCCAGACAATGCTGATCCTTCATTCGTTGCGTCTCCTCCTTGCAGTCAAATTTTATTTTTTCTTGATTTTTGACACGCCCTGTTGAACGCGCGATCGATCGCTCACACGGGTCGCTGGTTCTTACGGCTTCGCGTATGCATTCGCGCCGGAGTATCGGAGTGTTCCGGAGTGAACGTGCGCAATTAGAACGAGAATTAGTACGTAGAGATTTCCTGCGGCGCAACGGCCGTAACCCTCGAGGCCGTAACGCAAACAAATTATACTCCAGTGTGCCATTGGCCGTATCTGAAATTCTATTCGTCGTGTAACGGCGCGTGTTCGCCTTTACAAGCAAACGAACCTCGTCTTATTACGTCGCGCTGTATAGTACTCTTCGCAAACGAAGTGCAAGAGAGGCAAACTACGAAACTGCGACTGCACCTTCGTGTCGCCGAATTCATTCGCCGGTCGGAACTCCGTGGCTACCGATTACGATTAGCGCGAGAGCGACTTTTCTAACATGGTAATACTTACATATATATATATATATATATATAAAACTGTTTTCGTGTAAATAAAGTATACGATGATACCACGAGAAGAACAATTCGCCCCTTGAGAGATTTTATTCCCGACCGCGATCCGCGGTCGTTCTCGCATCGAGTCTTCGTAAATTTCGTGTTTGCCGTGCGTCCGTCTTGATTCGCTACTCTCAGCGATATATCCTCATCTACCGCCGATCGCGTTACCATTGCAACGTTACTGTCGGGGTGTTGCACGACGAGCCTCTGACATTTCGAGCCTCATTGTTCCCCGGAGAGCAGTTGAGGATGATTCGAATGACGGGCGAACAGCCACGCGCTCGCGCACGCCTGCAATGCCCATTCATTCACGTGGCGCCTTCAGTAATTAGTTCGTTGTGACATTTTGGCCCGGCCTATTGTGCACGCTTCCGATCGAAAAAGCTAACGAGAACGGTGAGATATACGCGCGTCTCATTGTTCGCCGTGTTTGCGTACGATTTGTTGTTGCACAGTAATTTGCATATTTTAATATTGATACCGTCACGCGCACACACACACACACACATACACATACAAGAAAGAGAGCTACTTCGATGATCACGGATTACCCGGCGGGAATTTTTGCAATGGAATATTACATAATGGTCGCAAGGTGTTCCCAAGAGGGAAGCGGGGTTGCGCTGGGCAAAATGAATTCTCTTCAAACAAGGACAATATTTCTCTGTCTCCCTTTTCCTCCTTCTCTCTATCTCTCTTTTTATCTTGAAATAAATCTTGCTTCTGTTGCCTTCGATATCAGCTATTCACGCCGAAGTATTCATTGAAACGTTCGGGTAAATAACGGGGAGACGTTGGACGTCCCAATTGAATTTTAAATTGAATTGTACATATGTATTCATTCTCTTTTCTTACATTTCGCTACGATATCGAGTCCTCTCCGTGGGAGCTTTAAAGGAATACTTCGTACGACTTAGAGAAATAATATATTCTTTGTACATATATCTGTCATATCTCGTCCTCTCTCTCTCTCTCTCTTTCTCTCTATCTCTCCCGTGATAACGACGCGCGAGTAGCGCCGCGAACCGTTCGTACTTTCGACGTGAGATAAAGCCAGGTCGTCTAATTTCGTATTCCCTTTTCTTGCAGTAATATCCCACTTCCCGTTCCTTTCGTCGCGTAAATTGCGAAAACTCGATTCTCACCAGTTACGGTACTGCGTGAAACAACGCGATCGCGTGTTCAGTTGAGGGAAAAACCGCGTACTGCTGTCCAATTTTGGACAGTAGCCTCTCTCCGCGTTTACGCGCAGCAGCATTAAAAAAGATAAACCCATTTTTGTCTTTCAAAGTCGACTTTGGTCTCAGTTAACCACCTATTACAGAACGGTTATACACAATCGGACGCAGGAATAACAATGGCGCGTAGATCGAATTCCCGGCATTCAAGCGACGACGCATGTCCGAGCGAGGACGACCATCAGAAATTGTGAAAAAGTCCGATACTTGCGTGTCAGTCGCAGAGGAAACTTGAATGAACTTTTAACCGATCACTGATACAATTCTTGTGGCTTTGCGCGATAAATCTCTCTCTATTCAGTTCAGTTCTCCCTCGCGTTCTTTTTTATCTTCTTCTCTTGACAAGCACGGATCAGCGCGAAACTGGACCATTTTGTGTATAAATTTCGCGCAATTAATGACGTAGGAAATAATTAATATATCTAAGTACCGTGCAACCGATATCGAGTAAGCCGCGATTGCATTACGCGTTTTAATCCGATCTCATAAAGCTTTAAAGCAACTCATCGGCGAGAACGCGCCGAGCGCTTTGAAAGATCAAACGCGTGCGCGCGTGCATGCGGTAATTTCCCTTTGAGATTAAAAATATGGAACCTTTGTAACTGATGTAGCCCCGCTTGGTGTAGCCCACTTCTTCTCCTTTTTTCTCTTCTTTCATGCCCTTTCCCCCCTCTCTCTCTCTCTCTCTCTTTTGCGCGCGCACCTCGATTAGTTCTTCGCAAATTTTTGGCTAATATTTTGTCCGAAAAAATGCGCGCCTGGCGGCTTCGTACGTTTATTATTGCGCGTGAGGTTTTTCCCACTGCAGCAACAATATCGAAAGAGAGAGAGAGAGAGAGAGAGGGGAAGAGGGCAAAGAGGGAAAGAGCAATAACGCAAGCGGTAGTCATTAAAACTTTTTGCCCCTGCTCGCTCTTCTTTTTCTGAGCAATTAATGTCGCTACCGTGCATCGCGATATATTTTCGCGAGCCAACAAATCTCGCGAAAAGTGCTTTGCGGAAGATCAACGGAAATAACTCTCATGAGAATCTTCCTGTCATATTTGAGAGCTGTCCCGCGTGATTGGCCGCGTGTCATAATTCCGTCGGCTCTAAAATCGCGAGCTCGCGGATTCTTAATTTGAAACTTCGCTTTTGGATCTACGCGCGCGCCTTTGATTCTTAACGATTCGCATCGCCACACTGATTCGCGGCCAATTAACGTCCGCTCGTTCAGCAGCAAATTATAATGCTGTTAATGGAAGTTGTATTTCGAGAGAAAGAGAGAGAGAGAGAGCAAGCGCGAGGAAGATCATTCACGCTCGATCGAATTGCACAGCTGTATTCGACGAATTCGACGAACTTCTCATTCCTCCCGCGTGCGATAGACAGGAAACGCTTGTCACAATATCAAAGTCGCAAAAGAGAAGTTTACGGGAAAAGTTTCTGAATGGACCAACACCGACCAACACTAATTGACAAACTGCTCGATTTAATTTCCCTTTTCCCGCTTGTGTTCTAATTATCCTTTCTACATTTTCAAATTCAAGAGTCCGACCGCGGCGTATCTTATAACCTCCCCCCTTCTGCGTCTCCTACCTTCAAACGACACGATACACGCGACATACATCGGTGCATACGTTAGCGAAGATCGAATAAAAAGACAAGGTTTCCACGATGTTACGCTCGGCGGACTGCGCACGTGCTGGACGAGCGAGGGTGGACACTAAAATTCGGCAGCCTGCGACCTGCCGCAGCGATCGGTGACGCACGTTGCACGCACAAGCGACGCGTGTGTCTGGGGAAACACAGGGACACCTCCTTGGTGAAATACGTCGCAGCGACAGCAAAGATAACGAGACGCGGGCAGGGAGAAGCCGTGTTACGGTTGCGTGGCTGGCAGGTTTCTGGGCAAACAGGTAGCCAGGTCCTCAAAGTCGCTCGACATCGGCGCACTGCTCTCAACCTCGCCGTCTTCTCTCTCTCTCTCTCTCTCTCTCTCTCTCTCTCTCTGTCTCTTTCTCACGTTCTCTCTTTCTCTCTCTCCCTCGCCGCGCGATCGCCGAGGAAACCTTCAGAAACAAGCGGCCGACGACAGTCAGTAACGGCACGAGATGGAGGGTAAAAGGCCTCGCGCGCGAGGGTGTACTCTGGGAAAACAGGGTTGGGCACGGGGTGGCGAGGACGCATGCGTCGGACCCGGGCCGGGGGCTGTCGTGTCGCTCTCTGCCGTTGGTTCCGCCAGTCGTCGTGACGACTTCGAGCCGTCGTTGTCGAGCGTCGTGTCTTTAAAACGTCCACCCACGCACTGTCTCCGAATTCTCTTCCCCTCTCTTTCTCTCTCTCTCTCTCTCTCTCTCTCTCTCTCTTTCTCTCTTTCTCTCTTTCTCTCTCTCTCTCTCCTTCGCCTCTCTCTCTCTCTCTCTCGCTCTCTTCTTCTTCCTCTCCCTCGCTCGTCCTCCCATCTCCGGCGCGCAGCCGCACGCGCGAACATGTCGCGCGATTTGAACCGCCGGCCGGATTCGCGCCGCGGGTGTCCTCCTCGGCCGTGATCGCGTCCCCGTGCTGCGACAGCGACGCGAACGCCGTCGGCTCGGCTACGAGCGAGCAGGTGCGGGCGATTCGTAGGCAAGTGGTGCGACATCAAGTGACTACGCACTTGGACAGGTGTGCGCGAGAGTGGCCGCGCTGCAGCCCCGTGTTATCAGCGCAACCACCCCCGCAGGAGGCGGTGATGCTCCATGATTGCGCGTCGCGTCGCGGCGAGTAGATCGGCTTGGACGGACAGCTCGGATCGTCGTCGCGCGACATCAGCGGTGAGTGCGTCTTTCCCGATCGTCGGCTGAATTCTTTCTCGCGAACGTACCTTCCCGACCGACGCTCCAGTCCGCGCGGCGGTCTTTACAATGCCGTGACAACGGGCTGAAGAAAGGGGGATCTACGCTTGCGGAGCGAGCAACATCCGCGAGGGAAATCGATACGTCGTTTTTCTCACGTGCTCACGAGGGTGAAAGCGTCGTTTCAAGCTGGAGTTTGTTAGAGACTCAACGCTTTAAAGGCATGGCAATGAATGGCTGGAGTCGCGAGGAGTCATTTTCTAGGGACATTGGAGCTGATTTTATTATTAATTAATTCTTAGAAGTTGAGATTCTTGATCGAGACAGTGTTCGCTTCGCGTCGGAGATCCTCGGAGAGTACGTTTGTGTTTCAGTGCCTTGTCTCGCTTTGTTCACGTGGAATTGCGTGAATGCAGGAAGGTGCGTGATAACGCTCGTGGTAATCGTACGCGGCTGATATAACTATTTAATATTGATTACGAGCACGTGATGAGAGGCGGTTTGTTAATTAGAATGTCGCAGTAATGCGATTGTCGTCGTTCTTTCTTATGGCAGACATGCCTACGACCTGCGTCGCCGTCTGCGTTAGATGCGTCCCGACGCGAATCGATATTTTATTTCCGTAACATATGGTACAAACATACACACACACACACACAAATACATATACAGCGAGAATGGGATAGTTTAAAATACAGACGTGTTATTTGAATAAATCGCAGCCAGATAGATTGCCGTCGTCACGCCAAGTTTTCCAATAAACGCTGGGGACTTTTTTCACGAACCCGACAAGCGAGGATATTTTTACATCGGACCGGTCTCAGCCAGAGGACGACATTACGCTCGCGAATTCGATATGTGAAATGATCTCGGCGCAATTCCGCGATTCGCGAATGTCGCGCACACGATGCGGCAGTTATCAGCGCGCGCGCATACCGCGCGCATTATACCGCGATATTACCGGAAAAAATATTTCCGCTAATATTCCCTCTCCGTCCGGCTGGCTGTTTGTCTCTTGCGATGAGATCCCCGGTTGCGTAATGACTCGCGTTTTCGATAGGCGGCACGTCAGATCGTCGAGATGAAATCCGCCTGCCGTGTGTGTGCAGGCGGTGGCGAGAGGAGCGCGTCGCGGCAATAAACTCGGCCGGGCAGTGCCTCGTTGTAACGCAATATCGCGGCAGTTTAGCGCGCCGGCAGTGCCGCGATACTTTAGCCGTTACAGTTCGCGCGACTACGTCATTTCCTTTTTCCGTCTAGCATCGGCCTGTCTATATAACTCCGTTAGGCGGGTAAACAGAGATGTGTGCACAGGCTCCATACAGCGCGCGCACTTTCCGCGGTGTTACACTGGAAACACCTACACCCCCTGCCGCAATACTCGCGCGCGGAATAACGTGTATGTTTCACTCTTATGCGCGCGAGGCATAAGGGGGAACGTT